TCGAACCCTTTTTAAGGAAGGTGTGACACAAGTTTAGTCTTACATTGCTTGTGCGTTGAACTTTCAAGTGAATATATAGTAATATTACATTTTGGAAACAAGTCTCTTCTCTCGCGTGTACGACCACTCCTTGATTCACAATTGGCTAGCCACTAATGACATAGAAGGAGAGTGACACACACGTGCTTCTATCAATCTAAGCCACTCAAGCCTCTACTCGTGGTTACTCCTCAACTACACTTCCAACTCACTTGTGGGCCCAGCTAACTGGTGGGTCCCCCTATTTTATAATATTTTATTTTTATTTTTTTTCTTCATTTATCTCAAAAGTAAGGCTGTAAAAATCATATAAATTCATATAAAATCACATAATTATTCAAATTTTCACGTTAATCAACTGAAAACTACTTTTCACACTTTAACACAAATATAAGTCTATTTATTATGAGTTAAAGCTAAAACTATATTATTTACTAATTATTAACTCATGATAATGAAGACTTATCAGCTCTTATCTAAGGTGTCATGTACACAAGACAACATACATCTCTTTCCATATGCAACATTATAGTTCACTTGTATGTCGGTACCATCCATGTCAAGTCATTGATGCTTGCAAACAAGTAGGCATTATTCATACACAACACATCATGTCATCACACTCTTTTCTATGCACCTAAACCATGTCATTGCACAACTCAAAATGTGTGGTACTCATCCATGCATGTCATGTCATGTTATGTTATGACACCAATGTGTATGCTACACACACTCCACATGGATTGTTACTCTACTTGGTCTCATTCCACTCTTGGAACCTGTCTATTGTGCTAGAGTTGTCATATGAGGCTATAGCCAAAATGATTAAAAAGTTTAAGCTTAACTTTATAAGCCTAGCTCAACCTAAGCATAACAATGATTTATTTCTAAAAGTAGTCAGTTGAGAAGTGGAATGGAACCATTAAGTGATGCTACAGATGTTGAGAGAAATGAGAGAGCCTACTAAACCATGATCCTAGGGCCATTGGGGGGGCGGGGGTAGGGGGGATATTTTGTAGAAGGAATCACTTTGTCATCATTCTTTCACCAAGTGATATTAAGAGGGGGTGCCCTTTCACTAAGGGAATGAATGATATTATTATAAATAATAGAGGAAATGTAGTAATTAAATAGTTAGAAAATGACTATCAATTCTTTTATGATTGCAAAATTTGAAGAATACATAGAAAGATTTAAAATAGAGAAATGTTAATGTAGGAAAATTTGATGGTCAGTATTGATATATTTAAAATTCTAAGATAGATCACCTTCATTATGTGCCAAATTTTGAGTAGTTCATGCATAAATCATTCCAATAGATTAATCCCAATGTAGGGATATGTATGCTACAATGGAAAGATATTATATGTTATAAGTCACACTACATTCAAATCAATGCTCATTAATTTTATCAATAACAAACAAATTAATGAGTTCATCAATATTTCTTACTAAAATATGTTACCTATAGCTTTTCATTTAATATTCTCTATCCTAAGAGCATTTGAATTTAATTTAATAAATATGTAATTTAGTTCAAGCATACCTAAAGTACACATCTCTCATGAGAAGTCCATAAATATATTACATGGAACTCTAAATTGCATCATTAAATATTACTACCGTGGGACACCTAATTATCACAATCAATATTGTACTTAATTGTGTCCAATAGGAAAAATAGATAGGATTTACGATAAAAAACAATAAATGTTACTAAAATCCATTTAAAATGAGTTAAATAATGAGGTTTGCAATGCCTTGTTAAGGCCATGATCATGTCCCTCTATGATTTATGTGTTGTTGAGTATCATTAGCTACAATCACTAGCTTATTTCATAATTAAGTGTTGCATCTTCCAAGACAACCATGCTAAGTAAAAATGCACTTAGATGTAAAGAAGAATCTAAATTCACTTCATAAACTTAAAGAACAGCATGACTTGACCACCAATTTTGACTTTTAAATTTTCAACCAACATAATATGTTGATTACATTCAATATAGTATGTTAATTGAAATAATTCTTATGTAGAGGGAATGCATTTGGTTATTTTAGTAAAATGATTAAGTATAAGTATAATATTTATTATAAATAAGATCAAGTAATTTTGTTAGTCATAATCTAGAAATGATGATCATGTCTTTAACCAATTGATTATAGGTAATATTGATCATCCAAGTATGAAGCTTTTACTTGAACAAAGGATGGAGACACCTAGTCAACAACAATATATTATGAAGCTGATTGACTATGATTTCTCTGTCTAATATACCATGATGGCTCTCTTAAGATTGTAGTAGACACCTTGTCTCCAAACTAAGTGGAGGTCAACTAAGTTTTTTATCTTACCTTCTCAAATATCACACCTAAGAAATCATATTATCCAATATTCATGTTCAAAACTTTTTCCCTAGAACAAAGAATGTGAGGCACTCTAAAAGTCCTTAAAGTTGTACAAATATTGTTATTTAAAAGCTAACTTTATATTTCTACCCTCTCCTTTCTCAAGGGGATATAAATTTCTCCCCATTATGACCACCTTATCACTAGTCTTGTTGGATCCCACAACACCTACTAATGGGTGAAACAATTTCGATTTTGCCACAATAGACTGAGACTAGACATCACAATTGAGAATACAATTCTTGCCAAGCCACAAGGCTGAAGATTTGTATCCCATTATTCTTACATTTGTTCAAAGGCCATAATCTAATATGAACATCAATCTACTTAAATCTCAAGGGAGTCATATTTTTTGTATATTAATTAATTGATCAGGACATCTAAGAATTTATTCTTAGATCACATGCTCAATTTATATAGGATATCAACATCAATCACATGTGAGAAAATCCCATCTTTGTATAAATGTTTTGGAAGGAATTTTTTAAGCTATAAGGTGCAACTTTAAACCTAACCTTTGCATATCATATAGAAATAAATGATCAGATAAGGATTGCCAAAAAATTATCTAGAAAAATATCCATTAGAGCTTATTGTGCCAAAAAGAGTGGAGAAAGCAATTTGATTATTGAGTTGAGAATTAGATGAAAGCAAGGTGGTATTCACGACAACATAAAAAGATTCCATGTAGAGGAAAACCAATTAGATCGATGAAGAGTATTACAAACAGACTAATTAGTAAGGCATGGTTCATCTAAAATGTTGATGTTGGCATTGTCTAAGTGAAATAAAGAGAGTTGTACTTCAACCCAATGACATTACCTTTGATAAATTTCAATTTTTTAAAATTCAGTATGAAATTGAATTTGATTTCCTTTAACAAAAAATTGGAGCCTTCTGTTAGTCAATACGCAATAACTATCACACTAACACTTAAAAGAAAGTCAATCCCTTGATTGCTCTAGTCAAATATTGGTTATTATAGTACCTTAGCCAATCTTTTATAATTACAACGTATAAGTGATAGCTTCCAGCATACATGAACTCTAGTGAGAAATCACCAACCTATATATTATAGAAGTTAACCATTTATCTAAATATGGATATTATATAACCTCATGTATTACCCATTTGTTCGCTAGAAACCAATTATTTCATGAATTCCTTTGGATTAATTATTGGCTAGAAAGCAAATTCAACTAGTTATTCTTCTTTTGATGAAATAGTCATTAATAAAGGGAACCAAGTTAATGTTTAAGTGAGCTAATTATCATCAAACATACAAATATTGAGGTTACTACTCAAATAATAGAAACAGGTTGAATCTAAGATGCTATATGTTGAAAATATATATTGACACATCAAAGGTTTGAGAGGATACTTGTCCTTAAGGAGTAGTTTGCACAAGCAAACCTTTCTTTTAGTATTAGAATTTCTGAGGTGCGAAATTGTTTTGTTCGAGTGTTAAGTCCGTAAGCTGCCTCAGCAAACTTGACACCCAAATGTTCTATTTTGTTAGCAATTGATAAAAGACCTGCCACCTTTTAAATCTTAGCAGGAAACTTTTGACAATATGGAACCATGACTACCATGCTACAAGAGTATCCAATTCTTAACTTGGCCATCCAAAGCTGGCCCTTCCCATTCAGTCTCTATTAGAGGTTTTGTAAGATTCTTATTGAATTAATTACCACATAATACAAGACTGAAGTCTATAGTAAGCTGTTCTCCATTATAAAAGTACATCATTGATACCAAGGGAACTTAATTTAGTATAATGCCCATCATAGTAAAGACTTGATGAGCAGGGTTCGTTCCGAGCATGACAAACAATAGAAGTACAAAAGTTCTGGTGCATGCTTTGATTATCCACATGAATAGCACAACGCACTTCTATATTTGTAGTGATGAAAAACCAAAAGTGAATCCATTGGCTCCATCTGAGTTTAGACGAAAGACTAATCAATCTAGCACACCTCGACAACCCCTTTTTGTGAGGCTAAGTATGATATTTTATAATTAAATATATAATTGAATCATCACATTAATGATATAAAATCAGTGATTATAACGTATTTAATAGGCATCCAATGCATGGGAGTAGTGCATAAGATAATGAAAGGCCGACTTTCATTGGTCCATAAAGATGGGGTCATTGACTTTATATCCCAAACCACAACAACAAGATAGACTAATCTCTGATCCTATGAGGAGGTCGGGCGAAATGTAGAAGGGGGGGCCAGGGTACCCATAGTCAATACAGAAAGAACCTTCTTAAACAGAATGGAGAAGGGAAATGAAGAAAGGGAGCTGACCTCTGATTTCCGCACAAAAATACATCTGCTCATTGGGTTCATTTGCCAACTCCTGTGGTTAGATCTCCTCAGAGCATTAATCTGTATGTGGCTCAAGAGACCCACCAAGCATCAATGCCTTACACAGACCCCAGATGCCAGCGCCATGTCCAGTGAACCAATATAGAATATATATTACAACTACAGAATATAATTGCTCTCCAGGCCCCAGAAGGTCAGGAAGAGAGCCTCATCACCTTATCAATCTTCTTCCTTTGCAGATCTACACGTTTCTTTAGAATTTGCTCTAGAGCAGAAGATATACGGAACTGTGGTGCAGAGGAAAGTTTCAAGTGAGGCCTTCCTCGGAACAGATAACACTAGTCTGCCTCGAGGCCATCCCTTGACAGAGATGTGTCCAGAATCAGCTGCGAGGGGAGTCCTCTGCAACTTCCCAAAGCAACCAGGCCGATTTCCAGCAGGGGTGGTAAGATCCTCCTCACTGACAACACCATTTGAAGTTATGTGACAATCTGAGCCAGGCTTTCTTGGCAGCTCGTCCTGAACCATAGCTCCGAGCGATGCAGCAGTGTTGGGACAATGGAGGGGTTCTATGTGTTTCTCAGGAAAATAAGGGTCAACGAGTGATTCTGCCCGGAGTGAGTCAAATGTATATTGCCTTTTGCCAGAGCAACCAAGCAACTTGTATGTTAGCTCTTTGGCCTTGGTCAAAGAAGAGCAGCGGGCAAGACTGATTCTGAGCTCAACATTGTGGCACAGAACATGCTGGAGCGAGTTGGTTATCAGTTTCCATGAAGCCTCTGCTCTGGATACATACTCAGGAGAGGAGAATTCAACTTGGGCAATAGCCAATCCTAGACCAAGACAGAGACTTCAATTTCTGTAGAGTGGGACTAAATATAGCAAGTAAAGCCAGATCCTAAAAGAATCCACAATATTACTTTAGGACGAAAATAAATCGCTTAGAGGGAAAAGATATGAAAATTCGTCGTCATTTTAAAAGGGACTCGGATTTGACAGATAGGTGACTTTCAGAATCTGCAGGTCCAAATTAATTTTTTTCATTCCCATTTTACCTTTTTAAAAGGATGAAACAAAGTTCCCCGGGGAATCAGTGGCTTCCATCAAATAATGGCCAAATTTGATGTAATTTAAGGAGGGATATATGAAATCTCATAAAATCCACAGAAAATATTTGCATAAAAACCGGCTAAAACTATAAAATACATTTTCTTTTCTTTTTTTCCCCAAATAACGACGGATGAATTACTATTAAGATGGAGGCAGAAATGCAGATGTAACAGGAGAAGACATTATCATTTTAGCTTATCATCCATGTGCACGTCTAAGTCAATTGGAGAAGCAATTTTTAGTCATTTAAGGAAACGTGGAAGAATAAAATAGTGCTCGGCCAGTCCATAGGGATTTTGGTTATACCTTGTTTCAGATAAATCGAAGCCAACCTTCCTTTCTTTAGGAAACTTCTAGGTGGGTCTGATTGACAGCTTTCAATTGTTCTCCTCCAGATAGTATCCAATTTTTTGGTTGCATTGCAATATCCCTCGAAACAATTGGATCTACCAAGACTGCACTCACAGAGAGAACTCTGAAGACTCTCCCTTGTTGAGAAGCTTCTGCATAGCGGTTCATCTGCATTGCACAGATATGTGTTGTAAACTACAAATTATGTACAGAACACTCTTTAACATAAGTATTCTCCAGGTAAGGATTCTTCCTCACCTTTAAGGTTTGATGTTCGCACAAGTGTCATAGAATCATCAATATCAGTAGGATCTCCAGTGTTGAATTGTAAAAGTGCAACTGTGAGCCATGTTGCGCAACTTTTTGATGATCTCAGTTGTTTATCCGTTTCAGAAAGTACTTTCAGTGCATTCCTAAGCTTTTGTAAGCCCAGGTCCGCCACTGTAAAACGCAAACAAGAAAATTATTAAGGAACATATACATTTGTATAAAGACTGAAAAAAAATATAAACCTAACAAAGATTGCAAATCTATACATGATTTTTTCAATAACGTCCAATAGAAAGCCAAAACTACATAAGGCAGTATTCTATAAAATCACAGGACAGTAATGAAATAGTGTAACAATTAAAGGATGAAATATCAGCCATCAAATTTTTCTAAGACGGACTAAATGAAAACAGGCCAAATCATACTCAAGGTCTCTGACAGAAACCTCAAAAATACAGGCTGACAATTTAGTATGGATCCACATAGTACGTACGAATCACACAGCAATATGAGTCCAATCCCCACACTTTCAAGTTCAAATGGGTTAAGGACATTTACAATGGTCTCTATTAATTTTCACCTGCTTTTTACTTCCCCCAGCAGGTGATGGGCCTTGGAAAAGAAATGAAAAGTTACAAGAGATGGAAATGAAGAGATTAGAAAGAACAATAAGGCATCCTGTTCTTCCTGCCATCAACACTATTTGACGCAAGTAATACCATTTCTTCTCGCCAGATAACTAATATCATGTTGTTATAAATTTCTTCCATGTGAAATGCACCCAACCCGATACCAGACATTATTGTTTATCAAGGAGAAAGAATCCATGGAGGATGGGATTTTATGCAACATTAAGGAAAAGGAAAAAGGGAGCGTGCAAGAGGATTAAAAGAGAGAGCCCAGCGCTTAAATATTAAAGAAGTGGTCATAGTAAAACATATATATACATTAGAAAGTTATTATTGAAAGCTTGATCCATTTTCTGCTCTTATCAAAACAAAAGATTCATGTGAATACACTACAAATTATCAAGCTATGCTCTTATATATGTTTGCACTTCTTACAGAGCCATCTAAAGCCAATTGCATAAAACAACGAGTAAGGAGACTTGCACCCAAGTCAGACAAATGTGCTGCCTAGTAAGCCCTATTCTAATCATGTCTCCAAGACAAGCCGACCACCACTGTCTCACCAAGGTCACACCTCCTGCTCCGTCAAGTTCTCACACCGTTATTCAGCAGATAATTTCAAACCCATTAAGGAAAGACTTTCCCACCTTTCCACTGAAGAGCAGCACATCAACGTGACCTTGCAAACTTCAAGCTGATCTACTTCTCATGAGTTCAAAGTAAGCATTAGCTAAACTCAGGAGATCATCATTTTCAATGACATGACACTGAAATTAAATCTTGCACGGACTACTCCAAAAGTAAATTCTACACGTGACCAATGGAATTCATGGAGAGCAACTTTTTTAAGCATGCTAAAGGCTTCTTTGTGGAGAGTACAGAATATCACAGTCCAACTAAGTCTCCATCTTATAACACATTATCATTAAGATAAGATCCCTACAGAATCCATCTCTCCAGGAAAACGGTGGATAACTCCCTTAAAAATGATTCACTGGCCACTCTGCAATAACTCACTGAAAAAATCACACACATCAGATTCGTAAATCCTACTAGAACATAGCCCTAGAATTGTATTTCTATAAACGCTAATGAAAACTTTCTCATATACCTAATGGAACCAGAAAAAAAACAAGCAACTCATCTTCATATCAGCAACTCATCTTCCTTGAACACCAAGAACATCATAATAAACCTGAAAAGACCCTAAACCGAAGTAGGCATCAAGTACAAACAAATAAAAAACGTCACATATTATATTCATACTATACCAATGCAATACAAATAAAAAGAATCATAGACATCCACAAAAATATGTAACCTTTCACAATATGCCAAGTCTAATATATTTTGCATACACATACCCCCACCTCCTACCCTCCATATCCACCCTGCAGAAGGATTCTTCTTAACATCCATACCCATGTTGAAAAGAAACTTAACTATCATTGCTTTTATAGTAATACCAGATATGCCCATGTTAATAGCTACAAAGAACGTGAATGGAAACTAATAAAAAATATACTCGCACCGAATATGGTTTCCAATATTAAAATGAAGCATATTTAGATGATTCTGCAATGTTTTCAGTTAACTGCTTATAACTAACAGAAGCAGGACTAACATTTGTGTCCTCCAAAAAATTTCCTTCCAACTTTCTCTGGTCGACATCTCCCAGCTATAATATCCATGATTAGATTAGCAAGTTGTGATGTTAACTGCATAGGGTCAACTCTCGAGCTCATCAGTTCCCTCGCCCTTCTGACGGTGTTGGAGGTGTCAGAAGAAAGTGCTAAATCTAGGAGATCAAGTAACTCATCCTCGGAAACAACTCCTGTCTGCACCACAGCAAGAAGACAACGAAAATTAACTTCCCACAAATATCCAACAGATTGTAAAAGAAACTAATAATTGTAGCAAGTATGCTTTCATTTCGATATCTGCACATGGACCCTACGGCCGTGAATGATTTTTTGCAGCAAGACAGCAGTTGTGGCATAAAAAATTAAGACCCTACGGCCGTTCCTCTTTGATCATTTTCATTGTGCTAACGAGATATTATCCAAGCTCAGTTCGAGGGTGAGGTGAAATTTTTCCATTGTGCATGACATGGTACTATTCAGCGTTTGTAAAATTATGACCATATTCGTCACTCACAAGTTCATGAGCAAGAGAAACGGTGATCCTTTTCCCCAGCAAGCTAAGCTGGTCGAGCAATGTCTCCGCCTCTCTGAGAGAACCATTGGATTTAACTGCAATAAAAGTCAGAGCATCATCGTCAAAGTCATAGGCCTCTTCCACACATATCTTCTGCAACCTCCATACGATGTCTGCATCTTTTAACTTAGTAAAGTGATATTTCTGACACCTCGATAGAGATATAGGTGGCAGCTTTTCTAGATCAGACGTAATCATAATAAAAACTGTTTGTCTCGGGAGTTCAGTCAGACTCTTCAAAATGGCAGCCCACGTCTCAACTAATAGAGACTGGCACTCATCGATGATAAAGACCCTATAGTGTGAGGAAGATGGTACAAGAGAAGTGCTCTTAAGAAGCGCCTTTACTTTATCCTTGCAGTTAATATGAGAAGGATCCAATTCTTTGATGTCTCTACTCCTTCCAGAGAAGAAGGAGACGCATTCTCTGCAAATACCACAGGGCATCTTCTCACCAAAAGACAGGCAGTTCAAAGAAGCTGCAAAGATCCTGGCCATTGATGTTTTCCCTGTTCCCTGTGGACCATAAAATAAATACATTGGGCAAACTTTTGCTTTACAGATGGCATTCAAAAGTGATTGAACAACAACAGGCTGGCCAACAAATTCATCAAACGACCTTGGCCTAAATTTTTGACTCAAACCTCTTGGGCTATCTGGATATGGGTTCCTCTCTTTGAAAGCAGGCTTATGCACTTCACCAACCAACAAAGGATGAGATTGCTCTTCTCCATCAGATAAACCACCCAGGTCTCGATACTTTGGCGTTCTTGACCAGCAACTTCCTAGACCACAACCATTTTGATTTGATTCCGTTACATCAGGCTCGTCATTGAAGAATCCCAACGTCCTAGGGCTAAAGGCATTATCACTTGGTGATAAATACGGGCTTCCCATGTATCTTCTATCCGTTTTTTCTGCTGCAGCTGCTGGCCTCCTCAATTCACTATGTAGAGTTTTCTTTCTAGTATTTCTGTTAACCATCTCGGGGACTTCCAAGTGTAAATCACGGTATGAATCAACTTCCTCTTCAAACAGATCTGGTGAATGTCGAAGCCACGAGGAGTCAAGCCGCAGGCGATGTTCCCCACATGACTTACGAATCGCTTTGGTCCTTGTCGAATCTCGATCACCAATTCTATGCTTAGAAGATTTTTTGGCAGAACAGAGTTTAATGTCCTGCAATCTTGAACTTTTAACTGATTCAGCATCACTATAATGTGTATCTCTTCCTCCGTCTGAATGAAAATAATGCCCATCGGTAAGGACAGCATCATTGTGATCATTCGACTTTAAAATTGGATCACTTGCTGAGTTGGTTTCCCAGTTCATATTTTCAATGAACATGGGAAATTTACCCATCGAATTTGTCTCCGGGTCTCGTAGGGACCGAACTCTTTTGAGCGCCACCAATGTTTTTGAAAGGGGGACGTCCACAGAATGCCTCCTTCCCTCCAACATTGTCTGAGTCCTGTTTAGGTAAATATGCTATCCTCGACGCTGGTGTGTAAGTCTCAGAATCTTCGCCCTCTTCCCTCTCTGAACCCTGAAAGATTATCGTTTGGTTAATCCGAGTGCTGTACAGAGGAAATCTCCAACATCAGGAAATTAACTCAGCTAACAAATAGTATGCCATTTTCAGGAAATGAAAGAGGAATCAAAGAGAGTAAACAACGTTGGACGATCCAAATCAGAACAAGATTGCCAATGATGATCGATTCCTCACTTCCGGTAATAACACGGCAACGTCGTCGACGACACGTAGAGAAAAAAAAATAAATTAGCAGAACAAAAGTGACGGATCATGTGGTTTCCAAGAGAAGCAGAAAAGAGGAAAAGAGTACCGATCCAGTGACGAGCACAGAACGGAGACATAGCATTCCCGCTTTTCTTATCTTCGAAAACAAAAAAGCGGTCGCCATAGGATGCGGAAAAGGAAAACGAGAGTGTGAGTTCGAGCGAGAGTGTGTGTGTGTGTGTGTGTGTGAGAGAGAGAGAGAGAGAGAGAGACAAAGGAGGATGGGAGAAATGAACTCCATTGTTTTACCCTACTTTATACTGATTCTACTCATAAATGAAAAGGACGTCCCCACAGCACCACTAAACATCAGGAGTCCAATGCTGCGCGGTAGCTCTGCAAGCTAAGAAAGTCAGGTCAAAAGGAAAATAAGAGGCAGGAAGAATACAACGATGAAGTGGGAGTGAAAGCACGGCGAAGGAGTGAAGCGCAGGGGACTCACCGGTGACGCATTGTCTCGCAACTCCCGCCCCCCGGCGATTGAGCTGAGACTCTGGCGTCCTGAGCGTGTACGTGAATAAGGATGAGAGAGAGAGAGAGAGAGAGAGAGAAAGAGAGAGAGAACGCAGAGCCGATCCAAACCCTAGAGCCCGGACCCCGCGGTGCTTCCAAGAGAGGGAGGCAGTACAATACGTTCGCCGCGGCAGAGGCTTGCAGGGTCGTAAATACTGCCACCCGGAAGGGGTGAATCCGACGCCATTCTCGCACAGAGGAGGCATTTGTTAGAGAGAAAGAGAGAGCAGAGGAGAGAGAATCTTCCCCTCTCCTACGCAATGCCAGCGCCCAAACCTGCTGGCTGCAGTGAGAGTTGCAGCGACGACACCTCGGGGATCGCGCTCCGAGTGGCAGCTCCAGTAATTGACGCGAAGACCGCTGCCCCTTTCTGCAACCCTCCCAAAAAGCTGCGACCACGACAGAAGAGACCGCACACTGCATAAAGAGAGAGAAGAGAGAGAGAGAGAGAGAGAGAGAGAGAGAGACGATGGCGACGATGGAAGGAAGAAGCAGACATAAAACAGCGACAGAGTTTGTTGCAGGTTGACCGATCAGGCAAGCACGGGGTCCACCAACCCGACGGTCCCGATGTCAGATCCGAAGGATCCAACGCATAGGATCCCACCACGACCGAGGGTCCCACTGTGGCGGTCTTCGCACCTTTCGATGACGGTCCCTCCCAGGTGAGTTAATTGGATCACATGGAAATGGGAGCCCCTCCCTCGGCAGCCGGCGGCTTCCGTGCGACGCCGCCGCCGCTTCTCCGCCGGCGGCGGTCACCTGTCACAGTGCAATGGAACAATTAACGTCGAGGATGCCGCCTTAATCACCGATTAGACCCCCCAGTTAACTATCCCCAAATTAACGTTGATGTGATCGTAGTTCTGAAGGCGAACTTTTCCCCTGGAATCGCGGCTATTGGGCTGACGTGGACGGAGGATGAGATGCTAAGGTCCACCAAATGGACGGCAAAGACTATCATGTGCACGATCCTACGGACAATGCTGGTGGACCCTAGTAATTAACGGTGACGATGCCGCAATAACCAGCCAGTTTGCCGCCCAATTAAATCCCCCCTTCCGAAAGCGGGCTTTCTTTTTTTCTGAGAATCGCCACGAGATGCCACGAACGGGTTGACGTGGACGGGGGATTATATCATGGGTCCACCGAATGGACGGCTGTGATCATACTATGCGATCCAACGGACGAGCCTAGTGGAACTGTAGGAAATGGAGGATCACGAGGGGGAGGGAATGCGCGCACGAATGGAGTGGGTCCCGCGATGTATATTTGTTCTTGTTCTTGATGCCGGGGCGGGTCTCCTGTGGTGGTGGCGGCAGGAGCAGCACGTTGTTGGAGCACGGCTACCAAGAGACGGAGGCTCGCCCCACCGCGGCCATTCTAGGGACCCCAGCGTACTCTCTGTCTCTCTCTCTCTCACACACACACACACATACACTCTCTCCACATCTCTCTCACTCTCTATATCTATCTCAATGTCTATCTCTCTATCACTCTCTCCCTCTAATGTCTATCTCTCTCACACTATCTCTATATCTATCTCAATGTTTATCTCCCTCGTCTTTATATCCGTTTATGTTTATCTCTCTCTCTACTCTCTCTGTATTTCTGTTTGTCTCTAACTCTCTCTCTCTACTGCGATTAAAAAATAGAAAATATGTATTTTTAAAATATAAAACATTTCTATTAAATTTAAAGTTGTAAGGTGGATTATGGCAAAGTTAATTGTTTTCTTATTTAACAAGTGGAAAGCAGAAGTAGGGTTTTTATTGGGCCGAATAATCCCAGATATCAAAACATTTTTTAGGCCCGGCATGAACCGAATATGGGCCAAGATATGGACTGGGACAAGGACGCAGAAGAAAAGATGGGTAGATAAATAAAGAAAATCAATGTGAGTCAAGATGGAGTTGAGATTTAGAGGAGCAGAGAAGGAGAGGGAGAGAAAGAGAAAGAGAGAGAGAGAGAGAGAGAGAGAGAGAGAGAGAGAGAGAGAGAGAGAGAGAGCTCTTCGCTAAGGAAGATTGACAACTCTTGTAAGCGTTGTCAACTTGGTAGCCTTGCCATGGTAATCTACAATAAAAAAACACTGAAGTATTATCGCTCATAAATTCTAAATGCATAAAAAATGTCTCTAAAGTTGTTTAACACTTAAAATATGATCTGGTTGAGCTTTTTTTTTTCCATGTCATAGAATTTCTTGGGTGATACAATCTTTTGCTCAAGATATCTGGTCCAACACTCAATGAGGAATAAAAGAACCTTGCAATTAATATATGTTAAACCTACTAAAATTAATACAAGTTTTTTCAGTGGTGGGTTTTTACCACTAATATCTCTAATCTCTCTTTTAATGCCTAATTAAAAGATTTTTTTCTATTGTCACCTACTAACAAGTCATTGATTGGTGATTGGCCTAGCAATCTTTAACTATATAAAGTAATGAAAACCAACTTACGGGTGTTTACTAGTAAGTTTTTAATTAAATAGTTTCTGATATTTGTCTTATTAAATAAGATAATTAGTTAATCATTAGCAAATTTTATTTATTAATTCGATCAATAGGCAGTGTTGGACCGGTCATTAGCTTTGCTCAAGGGTAAGCGTACTTACCAAGGCTTGAAGGTAATAAAATCCATATGCCAAGCCCATCTTTGTCCTCCATGTATACCTATTTGAGAGAGATGGATTGTTGGACAACCACATGACCGTCAAACGCTATAGAAGGTTCCCTAGTAGTCTAGATAGAGACCAATATTGGTAAGGATCCAAGATTTTAGACCCCTTCATTCCCCTTCACTTGAATAGAGAGATCTCAAAGATAAAGTCATCTTCTTCTCCATACACTTCTCCAAAGTTATTCTCAATAATAATAATGATTATAAAAGTTTCACTTGACATGAAAGCTCATTGAATTTCACTTGACTTACATTGATACTTAGTTGGATCATGAATCAGTTTTTTTTTCAATTATAATTTTTTATAGAGTTGGTATTCTGAAGTTATTTAAATGCAGCAACAACTTGAACATTTTATTTTTTTCATCAACAACTTGAACATTTTATTTTTTTCATTGCCAACATATCTTAGTCATTTGACGGTAGGTACATAAATATGACATTGAAAATAACTTCTTCATACTAAGTGATGGTATAGATACTCTTAATAGCTATTACTAACCCATGACACTAAACTAAAAGATAACTCAAAGTAGAAGTCTGATTAAAGAAGTTATCTTGACCTTCATTTAGCCCTCAAAATTAGGATTGATCATCATTCAAAGGATTATTTCCTTAAGATGTTCCACCATGGCTTCTCCTCAATGAAATTCCCCCTAATGAGCAGGTTGGATTCTCTTCAGTGGAATCATGAGTGACCCTGATGAGAATATATTTATCAAAGTGCCAAAAGCCTCACATCTTATGGATTTGATTCCATTCATTAAAGTTCATGCATAATTGACATAGTCGTCAAATATCTTTTTAAATTTTGATAAACTATATGCAATATTTTTATTTCATTGAAGGAACATTTCACTATACTTGAGAATGTGAACATGAAGTCAAAGACAATCTTTTCTTAAATAAATATTCCAGACATAATGTTGATGTCCATTTTAAAAGTATTAATGTTCAAAATATCAACTATTCTCACATTTATAATAAAACGTTATCTCCCCATTGTGTCAACATTTTTTCCTAAACCATTTTTCAAAGATGATGGTTTATTTTGTTGTCATTTCAATCAAATCTATTGACACATTTTCCATTTGCAAGCCTTGGTCCCCTTCCCAATTCTCATAATTTTTCAGAACCATATCCCAACCCTAATGGCAAAAGAAAATGGGAAGTTCAGTGCAAAATGTCAAGTTCAATACCTCAAGATAAACCTTTCTATTAATTTAAAATTTTTTAATTACTGTGACCTAACTTTAGGAACATGCTTAAAATTAGAATTTAAAATTTTCTTGAAGGGGAATAAGACTGAACTAATGTTTCATGCTTTAGCTCAGCACATTGTAATCTTCAATCCATGGCAAGATTATTAGTTTCATTAAAAATTTGACATCGTCATTCTAGTTGAAAGGCTTCCCAAGATTCCTCATATTTGATGTTGAAGAATTCAAGACCTCTCATTTTATATTATTAGTTATTTCTCCAATTTCTATCTCTATAAATGAAAGTCAATCTAAGCCTTCAAGTATCCTGAACCCATTAAATATTCTACCTCACCGGTAATCATTCTATTGTTCTTCAAGTTGACTCATACAACAATCCCATAAAAAGTTAATTGCCTTTATGATACATCTTTAGTAGTACCCTATCTAACCTATAAAATTCTTCAAAGTTGTTAAACAAGTTCTGAAATTCTGAAGCAACTTTTTATTTATGTTAAAATTAAAAGGGGATAATCATCAGAAATTAAAATTCTTGAATATTTATGTTAAAGGGGATAAATTCAATGGATTACTTGTACAATATGGATGCATATTGTGAAGGTAAATTTCATTGAATATAGTTGCTTCAATTGACAGTAGACAACATATAGATTAAATATCTTTCCTCTCTCTTTTTACAACATTTTTACTCAAGGAGATTCTTCTTCCATGATGCATGCCCAGGAAAAGCAACCAAGTTATTTTGATCACTGTGTTTCACATATTCATGTTATTATTTAGCTATCAAGGAGAGAGTGAACAATTGCCTTGATTGGAAGGACTCGTCTAAATTTCACATCATTTGACAAGTAGAATCATTGAGAATCATGACAGAAAATGGGTTAATACTTACTGCAATAATCCTATTGTTTTTTAAAAGTTAATATAAACCAATTAACCATTCTTTAATATCATGGACTAAATGTTGTATCACCCAATCCTTCTTGACTTCAAAGAAATAAGAGAAAATAAATTATTTTTTATTTAAAACTAATGTCCAAGAGAGGTATCATCTCAATGTTCTCTATTTTAGTTAATTTTTTTCCCTACATCTCCTTCATATATATTTTTTGTTTAAATGGAAAAATATTTCCCCATTATTACTAGACCTTCATGCCTCATCACATCTCCTCGGTTTTGATGCAAGTATGTAGGTTTCCTATTAGAGCACGATGCCAGGTTGAAGTAATAATGGTTGAACCTAAGTATGGTTGGAATTGGATATCTAATAGAAATGCTCAAAAGTTGACTTGGAATGGAGAAGAAGTGTAAGGTTTAAACATACCACTATAATTTTATTTTACAAATTTGTGATTGGTTCATTCTACAATAAATATCTAATTTCATCTATTACATGTATTTCAAAAAAAATTAATCAACACTTTACTAATTTACTCCCCAAAAAGGGCCATCAGTATTTAAAATACATTATGGTGAATAGACTTTGTAATTGAAGGTATTTCCAATGACACTGAAAGGATCCTGTTATGGTGAAGATGATGATATAAATAAACAATTATCTCCAACATCAAAAGTATTTCCTCACATTAATGTCGGGCCCAAACTCCTTGTTGCCACCCAATTCATCAATCGCCATTGCACTAGTTAAATGATCTTGAAGCAACGAACTCCAAATTTAAGGGGACTCACAACCGGTTGTTATAACGTCGTGGGCGGTGCGCATTAAGTTCTTGTCACCACGGAGGCCCCGATCGCCTGCCCCCGTCCGACTTGTCCACGCTTCTTCCTCGTTGCGGTCGTCGCCGGGAAGCTATCCAAGGTCAAACCCTAATTGCCGGCTCTCGCAGGCACGCCGTTGGATATCCATTGGCCTACTTGGCCCAGGCGCATGTTAGCTTGGCCCACGTCCCCACATGGCGGATGCAAGCCCCTGACTCGTCATCTATTGTCTAGAGAGAGAGAGAGAGGGAGATAATGAGAGAGGAAGGGAGAGAGAGAAAGAGAGATAGAGGGGAGAGAGGGAGATAATGAGAGAGGAAGGGAGAGAGAGAAAGAGAGATAGAGGGGAGAGAGCCAGACAGAAAGAGGAAGAGAAAGAGAGGGAGAGAGGTGTTGATGGGCTAGAGGAAGCCCAAAAGGAGGAGGGATGTCAACGTCGGAGCAGATGCCGGCAACCAACGGCGGCGGGAGGGTCGACGTCACCCACGATGGACGGCCCACCTTCCGCTGACCAGCGGGTCCCCGTGGACTCGGTAGATGACGACAAGGTACGGACAAGCACATGGGATGGTGGGGGAAGTTACACACAGATGGGACCCACTAACGAGATTGAGGAGAGCCGCCTTTTTCGAAGGAACCCCTAAAATATTGGGAAAGATTTCAGGCCCTTGAAAAATAAAGTACAAAAAAGGGCCCACCCCCCCCCAAAAAGAGGCTTGACGTCGGTCAGGGCGGGGATTGTTGGGTATATATAGAAGGTGGACATTTTTATTGGGGCGGGCCCGAAAATGCGCGCCACCCATGTGACTGGCGGCGGGTTTATGGGCCCGTTGACTTCTCAAAGGCCAAAATTTGATAGCTTGACGATGGAGAGAAGTTGTGTTCATCGCACGCCATGTACCTCATCGTCTCTTCGCCGAAAACACTGGGCTTTGGGGTTTCCTCCCCTTCTCGGTGGTCACCCAAGGAACCCACAGTCAACGAGGGAAAGACGAGATTTTTGCCATTTTAACACGTTTTATTTTGTTCTCAAGTCACGTAATATAGGTATCATTAGCCCAACACGGCAAGGTTATGCGCCACACATAATCCCCAAAATACGTCTAGATTACGCCACTAAGATACTATGTTGGGCAATGATTGACATGGATTGGAGAAAATCTTAAGGGTAAGAGCCCAATAAATTCCCATGTGCACCGAACCTTTGGAAATATTTCTTAACATGCTCCGTCCTTCTCATAGTGGGTGCATGCTTGTCTGAGAGAACAATGGGAGGTTGGCATGCAGTTCGCAGGTTCGGTTGGGAAGACTCATCAATCAACGTGCTTCCGACCTTTTTTCACCCCAATATTAAAACGAACTATTCAAGGAATTGGAGACAACTTGAGATGAGAGATGGCGACTTGGAAGCGCACTGTACGTGAATCATGCATATGCTGAATATGCATGAGCTTGTGGATATGAATATAGAAGAGTTTCCAAATCTAGTTATTTCATCGATAAATCAACTGCCCTTGACAACCGTCTCCATGATTTGATTTGCATGCAATTCGTCAGCCATGTGTCATCTGAAAGAGTCAATTACGATAAGGTTAAACAAGTAGTCAATTGTTGCATCACTTAAGTCCATTATATTTTTTATATTTATTTTTTTATATAGTTAGAGTACCAAATTTTGGGCTCAAAGGACCACTAACCACATGACTTTGGATTTGATTGCTAAGAATTCCACGGTTGGCCCCTCCAAGAAATCATCCGTCATTTGAGCCCACAATGAATAAAAAAATCGAAGGAAAAGGGGTAATTTCTAGGCACTTTATTCAAGAAATTCATTGAAAATGACTGTCAAAGAATTTTGATAGTAACCTACCTCCCTTACATCAGAGAAACGCTGACATTCACCCTGAGGGAGTATGACGTCCGGACGAGTAATATTTAGCTAGTATGATGGGCGATTTTGACTTGGATCGAAGATTTGAGCGGACTTTTATCAAGTACGAGGAGATCTTGATCATCGAAGTCATTTAATCATCCGATAGAGGTGAATCATGGGGGTGCCCATTGACATGGGAGTGGAGAGGCACGAGGGTACATTCACAATTAATACTCCATGGGAGAATAATTTTCATCTGACAGGTAAGGGAGAGTACTCTGCAGAAGAAACACAGATGAAGGCGGCGAGGACAAAGAAGGTCCACCCGTCGAAGATATCCTTGAAGTGCACGAATCTGATGATCTATTTGTTTAAATCTAGAGCTATGGAGGGCATGTTGGTGTGCCCGCAGCAGCCCGAGGCTGGCTCTGCCATGTGTCAGCACATTTAAGTCTTGCTCAGCTGCACCTCACATGCTCCAGGAGTTGACCAATTGAAACATCCCCCTCTCTTTCTCTCTCTCTCTCTCTCTCTCTCTCTCTCTCTCTTTCTCTCTGAACTAAGGGATTCTCACGCATGGATTATCCACAAAAAGATTAGAAGAGCTCTATACTTGAATTGGCATTCATCATATTGGTTGATCTCATCGAATGCTGGTGTACAAAGAGAAGAAATTTTGCATTCATCGATGCATCAAAAGACAAGAGGAGATGAAAATTATGGTGGGCAGTCATCAGATTATGGGTCCGAACACTGCATAATGAAATAAGTGGGCAGTTATTGAGAGATTCCCTGATTTGGTGGTGGATCAAGGGTTGCCGCTTGATCGTCCCATTATCATCTACAAGGACCAGTGTCTAAAATCGGTTCGCAGCCAATCTTGACTACGCCCTCTTACCTAACATGGAGGCATGTGGCTCCTCCCCCCCTTCTCTCTCTCTCTCTCTCTCTCTCTCTCTCTCTCTCTCTCCCTCTCCTCCTTTTTCTTGCTCCTCTTCCCCCTATTGGCTCACAGCATATTGTAGGGTAAGAATTTCCCCCATCTGGTGGCATAAGCATGGCATATATGTGGATCACTGTGCCCCTTTTGTGAGAGAAGCTATTCCTCGAGTGTTAGAAGAAATGCCGATTTGACTTGACTAACAATCACTAGGTTCGTTCAAAGGCAACGTCCATCCACTCTTCGTGACTTTTACGTCAGTGATATTGATGATTATGATCAGATCAAACCCTAGAGAGACGTCGATAGCGTTGACCAAATAACTAAAAGTCACCCAACTCAAAGTCGATCGTACAGTAACTACGCTTAAGTTGTCCTCCCCAACGGAAAGTCCAGGTGTCAGTCGGCGCCGATTAAATCTGAGTTTCGCTGACTTGGGATACCCAACCCAAGAACCAATTGACAGTGAGTGGGGAAGACCGTAGACGCCATACGAATATCCGTGGAATGACGATGAAACCATACTAAATAATTCCATTAGTTTACTTATGGTTATATATTATGAAGACTAGGTGAAGTATGCATTTATATATCGAGATATATATATTTATTAAACTGAATAATTTATGTTTTAATATTCTAAGAGTTGGTACTAGCCTCAACCGCCGGAGGTGGCCTGCGCCGCGGCGGGTCCGAGGCTGCATGGCATCTTGCAAATGGAACAACATGCAGCGTCTCTCTCTCTCTCCCCTTCGGTAGGTTAGCTCGCTCTCTCTCCCCTTCGGTAGGTTAGCTCGCTCTCTCTCTCTCTCTCTCGCTACCTATCACTACCTTATAGAGGAATCAATTCGCTGAAGACGGCAGCTGGGAAGGTTACAAACCGTACGCTAGCGGCGGTTGTCCAGAGAGATGAGGAGTGTAGGTCGGGCGCGTGATTGATGCCATAGGATGGGATAGTGGGGCCCCCCCGGGGGCCCAAAATCCAAGAGTCGCGTTAGGGGAGAGGGTCCCACCAGCCGATCTTGTCCTCTCGTTCCCGCCGTCGCCTCCCTCCGACCCTCTTAAAACCCCCCCTTCCCCCCGCTTCCTCCCACATTCATTACCATTGGAGGAGGAAGGAAGACCGCCATGGCCTCTCTCTCTCTTCTTTCCTCCTTCATCTGCGTCTTCTCCTTCCTCCTCCTCTGCTCTTCTTGCTCCTCCGCCAGGACGGCGCCGTCGTCTGCGGCGGTGCAGGACCCGGAGCTCGTCGTTCAGGAGGTCATCAGGTAGTGATCCATTTCTCTAATGCGTCATCAGGGGAAGGTCCTCATTCTTCGTCTCAAACAAAGCTTCCCCTTTTGGCCTCCGCAGGAGCATCAATGCCTCGGTGGCGCGGCGGCGGCGACTGGCGGAGCTCTCCTGCAACACCGGCAACCCCATCGACGACTGCTGGCGGTGCGACCCCAACTGGGAGCAGAACCGGCAGCAGCTTGCCGACTGCGCCATCGGCTTCGGCAAGAACGCCATGGGCGGCAAGAACGGGAAGATCTACGTCGTCACCGACCCCAGCGACGACGACGTGGTCACCCCAAAACCAGGCACCCTCCGGTACGCCGTCATTCAAAAAGAGCCCCTTTGGATCATCTTCGCCCACGACATGACCATCAAGCTCAAGGAGGAGCTCATCATGAACTCCTACAAGACCATCGACGGCCGAGGCTCCACCGTGCACATCGCCGGCGGGCCCTGCATCACCGTGCAATACGTGACCAACGTCATCATCCATGGGCTTAACATCCACGACTGTAAGCAGGGGGGGAACACCTACGTGAGGGACAGTCCCAATCACTACGGGTGGAGAACTCTCTCTGACGGCGATGGTGTCTCCATATTCGGGGGGAGCCACATCTGGGTCGACCACAATACGCTCTACAACTGCCAGGATGGGCTCGTCGACGCTATTCACGGCTCGACGGCGATCACCATCTCCAATAACCATTTCAGCCGCCACGACAAGGTGATGCTGCTCGGGCACAGCGACAGCTACAGCGCAGACAAGAACATGCAGGTCACCATCGCCTTCAACCACTTCGGGGAGGGACTCGTCCAGCGGATGCCCAGGTGGGTCGTCGAGCTTTGGCCATGGACGAAGAGAGAGAGAGGCGGCGGTGGCTGAACCTTCTTCTTCGAAATGCAGGTGTAGGCTCGGGTACTTCCATGTTGTGAACAACGACTACACGCACTGGGAGATGTACGCCGTCGGCGGCAGCGGCAACCCCACCATCAACAGCCAAGGGAACCGCTTCCTCGCCCCCAACAAACGCTTCAGCAAGGAGGTAAGTCAAGTCTCTACTCCGATCGTCTCCGCATAGTTCCTTCCGATTGTTTGATTGAGGAGTTTTTGACTGATGGGTGCTGGAAATAGGTGACGAAGCGCGAAGATGCCCCAGAGAACCAGTGGAGGAGCTGGAACTGGAGATCAGAAGGGGACCTGTTCCTCAATGGTGCCTACTTCACTCCCTCCGGTGTCGGTGCTTCCTCCACCTACGCCAGAGCCTCTAGCTTGGGTGCCAGATCCTCCTCCCTCGTCGGCATGATCACCGCTCGCGCAGGAGCCCTCGACTGCAGCAAGGGCTCCCGCTGCTGACCGACTGCTAGAGGGAAGGGCTGGAGGATAACGAGCCCTCATCACGTCGATACTACACGTTCTATCGACTGGGTTTCTTTTCTTTCTTTTCTTTCTTTTTTTTCTCTCCTTATGTTCTTCAAAGATGATGTATTATTGATACAACCTCGGCCTGCTCGACTCCCCGACGACTCGGGTCGAAGATTAAGCGCGGCTTGAAGCGTTGTCCAATATCATGGAATTTCTATATAAGAGCAGTGAATTAAAGCTTCTACAGTGGTCTCTCTCTCTCTCTCTCTCTCCCTCTCTGATTTTAACCGCACCGTCTATCAGTAACCCTGCCTTTAAACTCTCTTCACTGATCTCTCTCTCTCTCTCTCTAATCTGTACCCTCGTTATAAAGAGGATATCTTTTCCTGTTTAGGTTGAAAATTTTATACTTTTGTCTCCTCGAATCGGATTTAAGTGTTAAGAATCCATGGACATTCCCCCAATATGTGCAGAGCGCATTAAAGTTTCTACAGTGATTCTCTCTCTCTCTCTCTCTCTCTCTCTCTCTCTCTATCCGTCTCTCTGTGTAAACTAATCAACCCCCAATAAAAAAGGCCGCCCTTTCAACACCATCCAACCTCTGGATTCATTCCCAACACCGTCACATAACTGATGCCTTTGTCCTTTTGCGAAGCGATGCTTCCATAGTTATGATCTCTTCAAATAATCAGGAGATATGAGAAACCCTTCAAGTTTCACCTCAGAGCCGGTCTTCTCCATCACCCTCAAGGAGAAGAAACAAACTTCCTTCCCAAGTATTTTGCCCCCATCGACATCCGAGAAACCGAAAGCCCGGGATTTAGCGGTCGAATCCGGAACGCGTGGAGGCCTATCAAATTCCACCGAGACCCATCAAACGAACCACAACGTCGATATCGATGTCGAATCATCAGGATTTAGCGTAAATACGATGTCGATATATGTTCATCGACTATGAACTGATCATTTCAACACGTCGATGAGCAGACGGAGCTGCGAGAAAACCCAAATATTTTTCGCCGCCGGGCTCACACGTGTGGGAAAGCCCCTTACATTCCACGCGAGACCCATAAAATAAGCCTCGACTAGAGTAGTAGAACTAAAGATGTACGCTAAAAATTATCCACCAGAATATTTTAGACATATCCACTGAGCTACGAGGCCACGGACACAGGAATCCTGGTGATTCGCACGTGCGGAGAAACCAGCCAAAGAAAGCTGGAAATACGGGAATTAATGGCGCGTGGACGATGAAGATGGAGCGATAATGGAAGCAGCAGGGACGTGAATGAGGTGAGATGGTGCAATCGTCGAAGGGGACAGGCATGTGAGCTTGTCCTCAACGGGAGGCGCTGTCGGTGGAGCCGACAATGGGGGAGGGCGGCACGTGCCGGGTCGCTGTGCGTGCCCGGCCAGGGACGGGTTGCTGGGCCAGGGTGGTCGGGTCACCGTGCCCCCTAAGCTCCGCCCCTCCATAGGCCCCTGTTGTTATCATGTGCCCACACAGGACCCCCCGCCTACTACCACCCGCCCCACTCCTGCAATTACGTTGCGACGTGGTGCAACTGCTGCTTCCATGACTGGGCGGTGACTGCAGCCGCAAGGGATGCCCTAACCCTAGGAGGTGCGCTTATGGGCCTAATGGGCTTCTGTATAATAGCCTAGGAACACACGCCTCTGTTGGCCCAATAAGGCCCACGTAAGTTCTGGTGTTGTGATTACGTTGGAGCCTATAGAATGGGGTTTTCCGCTTGATAGATAGTCGAGTTCCCGATTTAACTTAGATACTATAAAATCTAGTCTAGTTCAGATATTTGGGTCTCAAATGGGGAGTTTAGAGGGGAAAAATGGAGGAATATTATATCTAACTCTGCTATAATTTTCAGCTAAACAATTTGAGCCACAAAAGATGAACTTTGAATATAAATATTATAACTAACAATTTCTATCATCGGTTACATGTCTTCCCCATGAAATGAATAAATTATTATGTAAAAAGATCAATATGGGGTATGCAATAGAAGGTGAAGCAACCCTAAAATTCAAAACGTCTTTGAAATTAATATTATCCTAATCTTTGTTAATCCGTATGTATATATATATCCTTTACTAGAATGTAATGATTTCTAAGTATAGTAATTTGCCCAAAAAAATATGCTTCATTTCTACATGATTTTTTATTTTGTTTTTCAGATGACTAAGTTGGTCACCCAATTATAGTTTCGCTAGTGAACCAAGGTAATGCTATGTTATCTATTTCAAGTCTTTCTAATACGTTACCCTCTTAGTGACATAGTAACTTTTATCTCATTAGGTATGTAAAAAGGTAGGCAAATAATTCCATACGTTTTATCATATGTTTAGTAATTTTCTATTTAAAATTTGTGTTTACCATCTTAAAAACTTTATAAAAATAATAAAAGGGTGAATCTAACTTTATTGTAAAGCCATAAACAGCATTTATTAGTCACGTAGAAATTAAAGTGCGAATGTCTTTACTAATTGGGTTTAATAAGACGATTGAAATGCTAGAATAGGATTTCAAATGACTAGAAATTGGGCAAATGACTAGTTTACTTACCAAATGAAGGCCTAATTATATAATAAATCCATATTCAAATAACTCAATTGAATGAAAATATTGATTTTCTACCTCTTAGCTGGAATTTCTTATCTCGTCCATTTTATAATACTATTTGTTATCATTTGGTAAATAACTCTTCCTTCCACGTATAGTTTCTCACAATACTCCAATTTTCAAAGCTACAAGTTTTTTCTTTACCGAATACGTGATTCCAACAACGTGACACCTCCAAAATCTCTTACAATCTCGTTTAAAGACCAAGGTGATCGATTGAATAACTAGTGAATTCCAATATGATATATCGAAAGGACATCCTCTCTGGTCCTTGCGACAATATGACAAAGAAAGATATATGTACGGACCTACGTGCAAATATATATATATACATATATGCGCAGAGAGAGAGAGAGAGAGAGAGAGAGAGAGAGAGAGAGAGAGAGAGAGAGAGAGAGAGAGAGAGAGAGAGAGAGAGAGAGAGAGAGGACTTGAAGTCAACCCACATCAAATATAGAAATCCACCTCACGACAACTCAACCCCCTCGACCATTCCTCGGACCCCCTTTCTTGGTCGTCCGTCCACAATATGACAAAACAAGTGGTCGTTCTAACTGAGAGTAACTGCTATTCCTGGACCCACCCAATCCCCACCGCCCGTCCCTCTCTCCCTCCCCACGTACTCCTTCATGTCTATAAGAAGACCCTCATGGGACTGCACCCTCCACCCATCTCCCACGGCCACATTCATCCTCCTCCACCACCTTCTCCTGTAACCCTAACTCTCGCCGTCGTCAACCTCCACTCTTCCCCTGTAATGGCGAGACGGCAGCCCACATTCCTCTTCATCTTCTTCTTCGTCGTCGTCGGTCTGGTCGCCGGTGCCGGCGCCCAGGGCCCCGCCACCAGTCCCACCTCTTCGCCTGCCGCCGGCGCCGCCGCCCCAGCAACTGCCCGCGCCACCGTCTCCCCCACCGTTTCCCCCGCTGCTTCCACGGTTTCCCCGGCCCCCGTCTCACCGCCGGTTGCCGGCGAGACGCCAGTTGTGGCCCCGGTGGCCGCCAGTGACGGCGCTCCCGCCGCTTCTCCCCCGGCTCCCGCTGTCGCTGCCTCACCGGCGGCGCCACCCGCCGGCTCCGCCGGCGGTGGCGCCACCCCATCTCCGGTGGCAGAGGCGCCGGGGGACAACGCAGACGCGCCCATCGACGGCGGTGACGAGGGAGGCCTCGGGCCGGTGGCGGATGGGCCAACTACGGGAGGATCTCCTGCTGATGCCCCCGCCGCCGACGACAGCGGAGCTTCCACGGCGACAGCAAGCTCTGCCGCCGCCGCTGCGGCTGCAGCGCTTGCGGGCTTCTTCCTCTTCTAGGAGCCGGAGTCGTCACACCATCGTCGCCAAAATCTCCTACGGCGACTGTCATGACCCTTTAGAAAAAAAAAAGTCAAGAGTTCGTATCTTCATCTCGCTCTATGTCTGAGTAAAATAACGCAAACAAAGGCCCAACACTTGTATTTTTTTCCTCAACCATTTATTGATTTTAAATCAAGCATGCTGTCCGAAGAATTTGTGTTATTCGTTTCCTTTCAGACATGGGTTTGAAAACGAGAATGCCGTAATCGCATGTGCATGATCTTGAGGACTGAGGTTGACCGAAGGGAGAAAAAGATCGAGAGAATAATCAATAGTTTGCTTGAATCTCTGCCACAACGGCGGCAGTACTTGCCGGCTTCTTCATCTTCTCGGAGCCAGAGTCGCCCCGCGGTCGTCGCCAAAACTCCTACGTCGTCCCCCAAAAAAATACAGAGTAAAATAACGCAAACAAAGCCCGCACGCTTGGATTTCTCAACCATTTATTTAGTTTAAATCAATCATGCTTGGGAGAATTCTTGTGTTATTCTTCTACTCTCTCCTTTTGTTTATAAGTGAATCTATTCTGATTCAGTATAAGTATTACCCAGTATAATTTTCAATCATTCTTGTGTTATTCAGTATAATTTTTCAAGATCTTGGTTGAATGTGATATTTTCAACATTTCAGGGTATTTTTTGTTGTTATAAAAGGTCTCCCTCAATTTCCAGACCTCTCCTCTCTCATCAAGAGGTGAGAGAACGGATATATATCTTCTAGAGAAATGGAGTATTTGGCACTATTATTTTAAGACCCTTGTTTACTTCTATCCAACAATTACTCAAGGAGAGTAGGATCATAATACTTGCTGCCTGAAGACATAGTGCTTCTTCTATATCTGGGGTGACAAATATGACTTCCTCAACAATTAAGATCACTAATATACCAAAATATGTTCTACACCTGCAAAACATTGTGAGTGAATTCAAATTGAATGACAAGAACTTATTATAATTGAGTGAGTTCATTGAAGTGATTCTCACATGAAAAGATAAACTAGACCACATCCTAGATCTGGAACCAAAATCAAATGATCTAAGATTTAGACAATGAAAATAAAGAGGATGCTAAAATTAAGTCATGGCTCTAGAGTGCTATGACCTTAAAAATCAACATAAATTATGTGTCTTTAGATCAAAAAAGATATTTGAAAAAATACTAGCAAAGGTTTTTTAGAGGAACTTGATGAAGTCTACATTTTTAGGCTTGAGTCAAATGTGATGACTCTAAAACATGACACAAAATTAGTTAAAGAATATACAAATGAATTGAAGTCTTTATGACTAGAACTTGACTGATATAGGTCAATTATCACATGAGCTCTAGAAGATGTCTTTTTTTTGGACATATATTGAGAATGATCAAATTTACAAATTCCTTAATGAGCTTAATCTCATGTATGATCAAACACAAGCTCAAATTCCAAGAAGAGAAAATTCTATACCTAAAAGAAGTCATTGCACTAGTTAGAAATCAAGAGAGTAGGAAAAACCTTATGCTACAATCAAAATTCATGGATAACTTGACATTTATTGTTAAACATAAGATATAGAAGCTCTAAGACACAAACCAAGCCCCAAAGTGAAGAAAGGTGACCATAGGGATAACATGACACCCCCTTGACAATTGTAACTGACCATAAGGATGCATCTATTGTAAGTGATCATGGCACCCCATTGACAACTATTATAAGCTTCACATATGACCTCAACTTAGAGGCCAAGTTCATCTTACCACCATGTCAACTCTGAACAAAGCAAAAACATTGGAGACAAACACTATCAAAGTGCTACTAGTACAATAGGTTGAGATTGAGAAGTTAACATTAGCTTTGACATTTAGCTCTACAAGTTCCTCTCCATGATCTTTTGCATTATATACAACAGACAATTCATTATATATGATAGACAAAGTGCTACAAGTTAACGACAGGTTGGATCTTTAATACTAGAGCCACTAACTATATAAATAATATCTTAAAATTTTCTTAACTAATCATCTTTGCCTATGTTGTAGAAAAGTGGCCACAATTGATGAATCATTGATTTTTATAAGTAGTATAGGTAATGTGAAAATTGATTCATTAGATATCATTAAAAAATTAATTGATGATATAAATTGTAAGGTGACTACTAATAATGATATATGTGATGCATACAATAAGGTAACAAATATGAGTATTGGATGTGTGTAGAGTACTTACATGGTGGGCTTGCAATCTTCATCAAGGCAAGAAGATGGAAAACCTACTGCACGTAAAAATGATTATTGTTATATCATCATCATCTTGGTCATCTTTTGTTAAAAATAGTGAAAATTTTATTTCTATTTTTTTTCCAAGTTTAATGTTAAATGTTTTAAATGTGATGTATGTGAATTTGTAAGGCGAAGGCATCTCTACCCATGAGTGATTTATGTAGTACTACTCCATTCTCACTTGTTTATATTACGATGTGTGATGATGTGATGACCTTCAAGTATCTTAGAAGCAAGATGATTCATCATTTTTATAGATGATTATTTGAAAACTAATTAATTTATTTACTAAATCATAAATATTAAGTAGAGTAAATTAGTTCAACAATTTTGTATAGTAACTAATAATCAATTTGAGACAACAATCAAAATATTTAGATTAGATAATGTTAGAGATCAATGGCTTCTTCAAAAGTAAGTAATCATCATAAATCATTCTATGTCAACACCCCAAAACAAAATACGATAGTTGAGAGGAAGAATGGATGCTTATTAATAGTTAAAGTACTTATATTTCAATATAGGATAATAAAAGGTTATTTGGAGAGAAGTGTTCTTAAGAGTCATTCACCACATAAATCAATTACCAACAAGGATCTTAGGATTTAAGAGTCCATCAGATGTTCTTTCATGTTATTACTTGTATGTCAAATTAAAGATGGATTTGATTCTTAACATCTTTGGATGGTGACATATGCCCACAATCATGATTAAAGTATAGAGAAGCTTGACCTTAGAGCACTAAAATATATTCTTATTAGATATTTGAATACTAAGAAAGAATATAAATGTTTCAATTTTTATTAAGAAAGTATTTTTCATCAATTGATGTGATTTTTAGAAACCACAAATCATTTTTTAATACTAAAAATATTTCCCTTGAAGGAGAAATTATATCTAAGGATGATGGTGGAAAACAAGAAGGTGAAAACTTCAAATTACTAATGCCATTTTGCAATGAAATTACACATCCTTTGAACATGGTGTTTGAGGAGATTGCACTTACTCTATCTTTTGAAAGTGATAATATTCAAGAAGAAATTGTTAAATCGTCATTTTTAGAAGAAAATCAAGAAGGCCTACCAACTTAGAAAAGGAAAGAGAAAATATTTTAGAAATCTTAAGTATTCTATTTTTTAATTATGCCATTTATATATCTATCTCCCTCTTATGGAACATTTCTCACTTCTCTTACTTACATAACTATTACGTCAAATGTAACTGGGACAATACCTTATGAAGAATAGAAGAATACTATGGGTTAAAAGAGAGAAGAGTTAAAAAAGAACAAAATATGAGACCTAGTCAAGTTACCATAGGAAGAAGTTAGTCTGATATAAATAGATATACACTATTAATATAAGACTGATGTAACCATATAAAGATATAAAAATAGATTAGTCACTAAAGGCAAGCCTCAAACTTATGATATAGATTATTTAGAAACATTTGTCTTAGCTGCAAAGATAGATACCATTAGAATTGTACTCTTGTTAATAACTAATTATGATTGAGACATACATGATGTGAAAAATGACTTTCTATAGGAGTACTTGATGACGAGATTTAAGGGTTGCAATATTGATTATGACAAGGATGTAGTATGTAGGTTAAAGAAAACTTTATATGAACAAACAATCTTTGAGGACATGGTTTGAGATATTCTCAAAGGTGATATAAAGATCAAACATAAACCTAGCAATGTGGATCATATTTTATTCATTAAATATTAATCTTTAGGGGGAATTACAATCCTTCTAGTTTATGTAGATGATAAAATAGTGACATAAAATGATGAGAAAAAATGGAACATTTGAATAAGTGTTTATTAAAGGAGTGTGATATTAAGATGTCAGAAAAACTAAAATATTTTTTTGGCATTTGAAGTTGCTTACTTGAAATAAGGGATATTCATATCCATAAGTACATTATTGACATTCTTGAAAAAGTTAGGAAGTTATGATGTAAACCATAAGTACTCTTATAAATCATAACCAAAAGTTTTGAGAAGCAAAAGAGAGTAGACATAGATACCTTAGGATATCAATATTTTGTGGGAAAGTTAATCTACCTTTATTCTTAGCCAATTTATCTATAGATTAGACAGTACATATTTGGTAGAAGTTCTTAGCCAATTTATGTATAAACTTAGGAAGGTTCATCTTCTAGTCGTAGATAAAGTTTTAGTATATTTATAAAGGACCCTTGATAGGAGGATTATGCTTAGGAAAAATAATAACATAAATTTAAAAATTTATATTATTGCTGATAATATAGGTTCTATTATTAATTGATGATCAACTTCGGGTTATTGCATATTCTTCGAAGGCAATATTATAATATGGAGGAGTAATAGGCAACAAGTGGTGGCACAATCAATTGTAGAATCTAAATTTAAAACTATATCATAAGGCATATGTGAAGTTTTGTGGGTGAAGTGGATCTTAAGGGATCTTAGAGTTAAGTGACAAGGCCTAATTGAGTTCTATTGTGACAATAAATCAATTATAAGCAATACAATCTAATGAGTTGTTGATTGAACTAAAGATATTGACATTGATAGATTCTTCAAAAAAATATTAGATAGTGGTGAAATTTGCACATCATGTCTCCACACAGGACCAACTAATTAATATCCTCACCAAAGGATTAAATTGATCAATTTTTTAGAGATTAGCTTTCAAGTTGGAAAGATGCCATTCACTCACCAACTTGAGGGAGAATATTGGAGAAGTAGATTTTTTTTTTCTTCTTTTATCATTTTACTTTCTTCTCTCTCTCTCTCTCTCTCTCTCTCTCTTTGTGTGTTCATAATTGAATCGGATCTGGTTCAATGTAAGTATTACCTAATCAACAGATCTGACCCACTTGTATAAATACCTATAATTGAGAAGGCCTTAACAGATTTTTTTACTTTGCTTGCTCACTTTCTTTCTACTTGAATGATAGCAATAGCTCTCTCCCCAATGATTAGTGCTCCCAATGGCTTTGATAGTATATGAGAATACTGTCCTTGTAAATGCACGATCTAGGATAGAGGTTGACTAAATGGTGGGAAGGATCATGAGAATCATCGATAGTTTCCTTAAATCTTTCAGTAATACTTTTAGTTGTGTAAATTCATATTCCCAACACAACAAGGGACATATGCATGCCTTTTTATTTGAGGTTATTATTCTATTATTTTTAGAATGTTTTTCGTCTCCTTTGAGACATGGGTTTGAATATGAGAATGCCGTCCTTGCTCTCTGATCTTGAGAATTGATGTTGACCGAAGGGTGTGAAGGATTGAGAAAAGAATATGTAGTATCTTGAATCTTTTAGTAGTATCTTTAGAAGTTGTGTGAAGTCATATTCCCAGCACAACATGAGGCATATGCATGTCTGGCTGTTTGAGCTTATTATTCTAATATTTGGTCAACGAAACCTAAACTGCTAAACGAATTATCTCTCATTTGATCTCTCTCCTTTCATTCTTCTTCACTTCCACTGTTCTTGCCCTTGTTGGTTCTATCGATTGATTAAAATCATCTGACATATACCGACTACCCTCAACATTGCAGTGTAAAAATGGTAGTTTTTTCTGAAACATAGCTCACTTTATATACATTTTGGAAAATGGTATTCGGTCAACTAGCTGCTTACGTGTCTGTCTAATAGATTGACACATCCTCATTGATTTGAAGAGAAGGCACTCATGGAGGGAGTCAAAGCATATTGCCACTGAGCACCCGAATATGGGTCAAGCTCTCTCTCTCTCTCTCTCCCTCTCTTAGTTATCTCTCTGCTACTTCTCTCTCATCTGATCCCTCGCTCTCGTTTGACCTAACTTATACAGGGTCGACATGTTTGACTAGACCAAATAGGCCTCAGAAGTGGCCTTATTTGGAATTAATAGGGTGCAAGGGGAGTGTCTTATGTTTACACATGGATTCTGATGGGACCCATGCAGGCAAGTGCGAAATTCACCCGCTTTGGAAGTGGTTTCGTGACGTCAAAGATTCCGAGAGTCCCGTCTCGAAGCGGTACCAAATAAGACCTGATTTCGAACCTGATTTCGAATTTCCTTACCGGGTAGGACTCGGTGCAATGGACCCGATGGGGATCCGAATTCGCTGGCGGGAGAAACCTGCCGGTGTCGTTTTCCCATAACCTTTGGCCACTGGCGCCCTGTTGAATCCGACCAGACCCATGGAGGACGCCGGCGGCGACAGCTCCGGCGGTGGCTATGGCGGTATGACGGTGGAGGCCTGCGAGGGTATGATCCGGAAGAGCTTGAAACGTACGGACGAGTTCTCTCTCTCTCTTTATCTCTTTCTCTCTCTCTGTCTTTCTCTTTCTCTGTTGCTCTTTCTCTCTCTACACAGACACACACGCACGCTTTCTGATTCTTGGGGTCGTACGACGAGCAGTTCCCATGGTTAAATTCCTTCGGGAAAAGATGGAAGAGGCTGGGTGCCCGGTGAAGGAGAGGTTCTTCAAGGCCACGGTCTGCACGGACAAGGTCAGCGGCGGCTACATGACCGGGAAAGGGGTACTGATTCTCCCTTCTGCTCTCTCTTTGTGTTTTCCTTTGGATGGCTGCTTCTCATGATCTGACTGAGACAATCAACCCGACGGGGTAAAAGTCATATGGGTTTTGCGGGACTGGAGATCCCCCTCGTTTGCCACCGTTATTTTGTGCTCCGTACTTCTGATCACAAATGCTTTGGAAGAAAATAGTGGGTTACTTCGTTTTGGGTAAAGATTGGGCATGCAGAGGGGGTTCTCTTTCGGTTGAATCTCTGGATTTCTGGGCTATTAGATCTTTTGCTGACTTAAAACTGCGAGAAAGATCGAACCAGGTGGATAGTCGGAAAGCTTGCAGTGCATGATTTTAGGTGATTCAAATAATTATGCTCTGGGAGAAGCAGTTATCTACCGATGGGTGGATAACTCTTCCCGTCCACTAAACGGAGGCATCCTACATTTGTATAAAGGAGCTCAGAATCCTGCAAAAAAACTCATCTAGCTAAGCCATCTTTCATGAACACACGTCTACACGAATGAAGATGATAAGCAATGCAATATCTGAACATAAATCACATTCTTCATTCTACCCAAAAAGTCTGGAGGCATCTTCCGCTCAATTCTAGCTCATTCAATCCCAAATCGGGCATGAAGGTAATTAGATTAATTTCAACGAGGTGATGAGTATGTGTGGTCCTAAAATTCTAAGATGCTCTTAGAAAAAGCCTGCTAAACACATCAATCTATTCGCCGGGTCTGTCACTATCCTTGGACTCACGTTTTGGATGCTCAAGACACCTTGGAGGAGGCAGGGGCTGAATTTATCTATCGAGTAAAAACCTTCTCTATGTAAATTAGTGTCTTCACCTTTTTTTGGATTAAACTGCCCAGATGTTGACTTTGTCATCTACATGGGCATCGCCCTCCCAACCATTGTGTATATGTAATGCGACTTAGTTGGCATCAGATTCCACGTCTGTAGAAATTTGCTTGGGAGAACATTTAAGTTAGAACAACAATTCATTTAGAAGGCACAGTGGCAATGAAGAATCGTTCATCTCTGCTATGAAAACTCCAGGGAAAAACCCATTATCGTGTTTACTACTTTTTTGTTTACATTTACAGATTACTAATTGAAGGTGTTCCCCATCAGTGTGTGCACGCATTTGATTGGTATCTGACATCAATAGAGAGAGAAACTTGAAAGTTTGATGTCTCTTTGTCCACTAGTACGGTGGTTTAGGATTATTTTCTCCACCCACTTGGGATTTATTTTTCACCGTCTATGATCTTCTCATAGTCTCTTTGCGGTTCTCAGCAGAGGATCACCGAGATGATATGTCTGAACATCTGTAATAATAACTTCCTATAATTTGACAGCTATATTGACTGATGTCGTACGTATCTAATGTCTGTATAGAATGTTGTCCCAACTGGGTTTAGATCTTCAACTTCCTCTTTCGTTTAAAGCCAAAATACAGGCTTTTCACTTGATGGAACAGCCAAAATAAAGCCAAAAACCTTGGGAGATCTCTTCTGTATTGTTTGCTATGCATTCGAAAATAAACGAAGAGTGCAAATTGCCGTCAAACTATCTCTTAAACTTCTCTGCATTAAATTATACATACTTGTATAGTTGAAGATAAGATCTTCAAACTACCTCAGAAGTTTCAGTAGCTTCTCCATTCAGACTTCTCCAGAGGAGCTCGTGTTCTTTTTTTTCTAAAGTCATCATAGAATGATGAACAAAGAGCAAGCTCTTTCTTCCACGATTCAAGCCATAACTTAGTACTCATCCATATCCAATTTAAGCCAGTGCAGTTCGCGCCTGCTGCATGTGGTAAAAACAATTGCTTTTTTCATTCGCAGTAATATGGCCTCTAAGCATTCCCTTCCATAAATCTCGTGCATTTTTTTGATAAAGCCTATCGTTCAGGTCTGAATGGAATCTAAATATCATTAATTTAAGACGGTCTTTAAAGTTTTCTCTAATAAGATGGACCTGGGAGGATTAGGTCTTCCTTCATTGGCTACTAGCACCTAATGTTTTGGAACAGGTATACATGTTCATGTCAGTTAAAGTTATGTTACACTAATGCCTCTGGTGGAGGATAATTGATTTATGAAGAATAATTAGAGGAAACGACAAAGCCCTGGGTATTATAGGACACATGATTTGGAAGGAAGAACGAATGCAAGTGATGTCAGTCACTGTTCAGTCGGTAATGTATAGAGGAAGGGTGAATGGTAACAGCCCAAGAAACTGAAGATAGTTGTCAATGGAGTTGGCTGCTTTAGTAGAACATAAAAAGTTGTATGCATGTCTGATTAAAGGTTGAGAAACATGGAGGAAAGTATCACGTTAACTTGTTATGAGCTAAGTAGGACTGCGTGACTTATAAGGATCTCATCAAAATTTGCTTTATGCTAAGCTGATTCGATTGTTGTCCTCAGGTTCCCTGTCTATTATGGGGAATTATGAAACATTGTAGCCTGGTCCTTTCGGGTAATGGAATTACCCTTCCACAAATCTCCAACCTAAACGTTTATAGGGAAGAGTTGGGAAATAGACAATATGGAGCGTCACCTCTTTCAGAACATTGTCCAAACTCAGAAGATTCTATCAGTCATGTTCAAAGATCATTCTTCAGGATGCCATTCAGGCTGCAAGGGTGTGTATTTCCCTCTAGACAGTCTTTTAGTCTTTCCTGACTTCCTTACTGCGAGATCATCTTTCAGTGCCCCACCATCTAGTTGATACTGCACACATATCGCCTATATGGCTTGCAGTAGTGCTCACTTGTCCAATTAACAAACCTAAATTGCATTCGTTATCTTTTGTGTATGTTTCTGCTGAAGACCTTTCTGAATGATCTTGAAGATTGTCCAAGCCCTTTGTCTGACCTGAGATTAGTGATTCCCCTTTAACTCTTATGCCCTCTATTGTTCCACAACACCTGCTGTGCCTTTGACTTCCTGGTATTTCATGCTCATTGACCCCTACTCTAAGAACGTTGAGACTAGATCTCGACTTTTTTTTCTTGTAATTTGTAGGCGATTGTCTATTTTTGGGGTTTAGAGCCTAGATCCTCTAATTTCAGGTTACGTCTAAATATCTTTTGGAGTTTTTCACATTAAAATATTTACACAAAGTAGTCGTTACATGAAGTTTAACGGTACATTTATGTTACTAAAGTTGAAGAAAAACATGAGAAATAAGTAGTGGAAAGAATGTGACATAAACAAGAAGGTTTTACATAAAAGTTGATGAGATAAAAGTTGAACAGCAAGGCACCTATAAATAAATCGATATTTTCTCGTCCCCATAATTCCCAGAATCAGATCTAGATCACTAGATCAGCTAGGTCCATCTCATCCTGATCAGGATTGGATCCTGGATTCAACCCTTCTTTGACTATACCTGCTGGGCCATTTGGTCCAAGTAGATTGGGCTAATCTATCCAAAATTAGCTTATTCTAGGACAGTGAAGTCGTTAAACTATTGATCCAATATATTTTTAGGGCGTTTAGTTAAGAACTTATTCATGGTAGCATTGTTCCACGGTCCTTCCCAACCAATGTCGATTGGGCACAGCTGCCCCTAACCTGGGATTATGAGCACCATACTTTTCCTTATAATTATTAGAGTGAACAGACTTTTCCTTGTAATATGAGCACCATACTTTTCCTTCATTTTTCGTAAATTGGTTCAATGACTACAGATCTAATGGTATAGGATGTCCTACATATGGGTGGCTTTAAATGTATCTCATCATTATTATCATAAAGCGATGAAGTATGCAATACAGAAATCCCCAAAAGAAAGTCTGCATGTTTCTATAGGTAATGTTGTCGATGATGGATATGAAGATACCTTCTTCTATTAAAGAGGTCCACTTTTGTGAGCTAAATATGTCAAAATTTATGAAAGATGCATCAGAGTTGACATTAAATAATTGAAATTATTTAATTATTTCCAAAAAAATATTCATTTTAGATGCTATGGGTTGGCATGATGATTGCGTTTTTTTACGAATTAATTTCTTGTATGAATTTTCTATCTTATAATAGTTTTCATTCAGAGAAATTACTAGGAAAATTAAAATTTTGAAAATCAAGCGAGACATATCTATGTGTGTATGAATATGTACACCCATTTATCTGTCAATTTATCACCTTCCTTCATTTTCTTGATCTGATGATTGACCAGTTGCATTTTATGAGTCAGTTGGAGTCACTCAGTGTTCTTCATTGACTCCCAATATATTTCATCTTCTGGTAAAGAACATTGAGCCAATGACATAAGCTGTGACCCAATATATTTCAATCTGCAACATAGTTCCTTGAGGGTTGATGTCCTTTTCTTTGAGAATTTTTAGGATAAATGATCCTTGAAACCTTATCTTGTACTGACATTACTGGTATCATCTAGGTCTCTATAGTCCTGTTGGTTCCTCTTATAAGAAGGCCAATTTTTTTATTTTGCTAGAATTTTCTTCTCAGGAATAAATTGCATGCCTTCTTGACCATCCTCCGTGGGCTTGGGGGGGCGGAGGGGAGAAGTTGCTGTGACAATCGGATCTCCTCATCTGGGGAGGCGCACTACCAAGCAGTTTCCTTGCGCCAGTAATAACCAAGTTCTCTCTGAAAAGTGAAAAGGAATAAATAAAAAAAAGCGACGTGTTCAGCAATAGGGACTGCCACGTAAGCGCTTAGTCTAATGAATATTCTCCAAAATATCTTTTGGGGAATGCTATGTTTCTGAAAAAAATAAAATCTTTCAGCTAATAGCACAGTGGATCCCGTATCTTCAATAAGGAAAAACAATTGCTTTGTTGTCAAGTTTTTGTCTAGGACTAAGTTCATCTGTTCTATGTTTCAGGTTGTTGTATGTAGTAATCATTTGACTTTTCAAGATGAAGTCAACCAAGTTATTATCCACGAACTCATCCATGCATATGATGATTGCCGCGCTGCAAACCTCAACTGGACAAACTGTGCTCATCATGCTTGTAGTGAGGTATATGCGGCCATTTGTCTGTCAGAAGACCTTCATATTCATAGCTTCCAATTCTTATACGCTTTTAAAAGGCTGATGCTTATAATTCAACAGTCCTCTTGATTTGCTTGGTGAAACGTTTTTATTTATTTCTATTTTTAAAAGTAGCTTTTCCCCAAATGATTGTGAGGAAGGGTTGAATTTACACGAAAACTGGAAAATCCACCCTGCAAAGAGTTGATATGTATACATCCAGAGGCAAGGCACCACGGTGAAGTGGCATGCTCAACGGTCTCTCATGTTTCAAAGTGGTTTCTGTAACCTTTTTATTTTTTCATGTAATCAACTAGATTCGTGCCGCTCATCTTAGTGGGGATTGTCACTTTAAACGAGAATTGCTGCGAGGACACACAAAACTACGAGGGCATGAACAGGTGAATCTTTTACTTATTTGCTTCAAGGCCTACTTTTGGTTTTGAAATTATTTGATGATCATGAAAGGCAACAGATATGTTTCCATGCCATTGAGGATCTAGAGTTTGCGGGAGTGAATATGTAGAACGTGTTATTGCCTTACAGTTCTCTCAGAGAGGCCATCACCCAGGCTCCAAATTATTGCCTAATCTTCCCGGTCAGCCCTACTTTTTTCTGAGTCAACTTTCAATGTTGAATGCCTTATGAAATCCGGCGTTCAGCGATGGAGGGTGAATCATAGAGCCAACCAGTATCTTGGTAGAGCTGAAGTCCTTAAGTTACAGGTTGACTTTGTGGGCCACAATGAATTTCTTGTCTTTGTTTCCAAAGAATTGGTGGTGAGGATTACAGGACTGCCCCTCCGAAAGTTCGAGGCTGGGAGACAGTTTTCAGCTCCAGCTTATGTTAATTTCGATCATTACCATGAGGCAGGGTGTGAAGACTTGCTTTTTGAAGGGTCAACTAGCATTCATTGATTTATCTTTAAATCCTCATAGATTGTTCCGATGATTGATTCTTGGGCTGTAGAAATCACTTGCTCTGCTGATTACTTGTTGTTTTGTGGTTGTTTTTGTTGTTGTTCTTTCTTAATTTGTGTCGGGCAATCAAAGGAGTGCGTCAAGAGGCGAGTGCAGATGTCCTTGGCTAATAACCCCTACTGCTCTGGCCCATCCACCGCCAAGAACGCCATGGAAGCTGTCTGGGAGATCTGCTACAATGACACAAAGCCCTTCGACCGGGCTCCTTGAAAGAGCTTAATAAATCGATTATACTGGTATCTGCTGTGAAGATACCAGATTTGGTCCCCGATTCTTGTTTATTTCTAGGTGATTACTGCCTACATTTTTGGCACCAATTAAAGCAGGTTCCCATCTGTCCATTTTTCCCCAAGTTTTTGGTGGGATCTCATGAAGGAGGGAAGGGGTGTTATGTCTCCTAGTGTTCTTTTTATTGCTGGCCATCGGCCCAAGATTATCATTTTTTGCATGAAACGCATATATCTGACGGCACATTCTATGACTCCAAATTTGTTGGAGTTTCTCAAAGACTGAGGTATATCTTTTTGAGTGCTGAATCGAATGATATTTGGGTATTTCTGTTGGTCTATTTCTAATAACTTTTTTTTTTTAAGCAAGTGATACTGACTCTTTTTAAATCATCTTATGCTTCATTTCTTCACTTGGTTTAACCATAAACAACGGATGGGAAACTATTAATTATAGTACATCAGCCGCATCAATCCATGCTCAGCTTTGTACATATGGGATTTGGGCTTAGGATGGTCGTACAGCACGCAATGTGACGTTAGATTTAGGTTGACCCATCTCTGTGGTTGGCCCTGAAAAGAACAATAACCCAAGTTCAAACGCTACATGGAAGACAGAGAGAGGGGTACCAACCAACCACGCTGGCAACAAGCAAGGAAATCATCAGCACCAAGGTCATAAATCAATTGTTCAGTACAAAAGAATATGCTCTCTAGTTGACTAGGCTGAATACTAAAAGATCTTCGGCCTAGATCCTATCCAGTTATAAAGGTTACCCCTATAAAATGTTACAACCAGCAGCAGGTTTCTTACTGCTGCAGACCCACTTCAGCAGAGCACCTGAATGACTTCTATTACATCTGAGCCCTGTGCATGGGTGAAGAAGAACCATCTTCCAAGTCTCTGGTCTCGCCTCACATGCACATGGCTTCCCAAACTCTTTGATGAACAATGATGGTAGCGCCGGCACCACAAATCAGTACATCCCTTTGAAGATGGGGTTTGTACGGCAAATGCTGGCCCCATATTCCTCGTACTCTGCTTTCGTGTGGCAGGCCTGCAGAAGTTAAGAACATCAGATTTCCTTCCACCTCCAACACAATGCAGTAAGCACAGCTAAATATTTAGAACAAAAATGATCGTCATGGACATCCTTTCTGATGGGGTTCTAATTAATAGTGTTTGAAGCATCATAGTTTCTATTATTACATGCATAAGTTAGACGCAAGTGGCCATAAGAGCAAAAATAAATTATTATTTTATTATATCATAAATGCTAATCATATTAGTTTATCTGCCTGTTCCATGATCTGGTGTAGGATCAATATTATACTTTGTTCAACTATTTTCAGACAGAATTCTAGATCTTGACAGTCAGAAACAGTCTCCGTTGTGTAAGATTAGCATTCTGGTGCATAGCATGTTATTCCATCATAGGGTTATAAGTAGAAACAAAAATTTTGGGACTAAAGAAACAAAAAAATTCTCCTGTTTGAGGTTGGAGATCATGTCTCCTCTATCAAGAATGGTATGGGATACACATGCGGCTGAGCTCAGACTTCGTTGGTTCCTTAGGATGCTTGACTATGGACAAGAGAGACAGCCTTTCATCAGTAACCACTACTGGCTGTTTAGAAAAAGATTAACAAAAAACTATAGGTAATCTATTGCCGACCCTAATCAATGCATAACAATTGAAATACATCTAACAGTTAAAAAGAGCCATAGTACTGGAATATCTAGGTCGTAGGAAAATAGTGTAATTAGTTGAGGATGTTTTTGGAAAAGTGTAGGATTTCTCCTTATATTAAGGGGTGTAATGGTTGAATGGAATTGAGGCGGTTTCCCCCGTTCTCCCCTGTCCTCCGTGACAGAGGTCGTTTCTCCATTTACAACACATAGCTTATGATGAAATGTGTAAAACGTGATATTGGAAAAATAGCTATCTTTCAGGCGATTGATACTCAGAGACTTCTGCAAGTTTTCTCATATCAACCAGAAATCTAGACGAACTATGCAGTACGCTATGTGGAAACCATTGATCCCTTTTAATGGAATATTGTATCTTTGATGTAATATCAAAAACCTAGAGAGCTACCAAGCTACCAAGCTTAAGAGCTTAAGACTCAGTAGACTTGGTCATTTAACATAATTCAGATGAAGAGTGGTGGGAGACGTCATCGTCAGCTGTGCTTTGGGTGATTCAATGGGAATCTTCTGGCTGAGAAATTCATCAGGCTTTAAGGGTGTTCCAGGGTACTTATTTATCTGAGCCATTCAACAGTAAAAGAGTCGGCTCCATTAGCAGTCCTTGAAACTCTCATGATTCATTTTTCAGACAAAAATAAGAGAGGAAGGAGCTTTTTGATATTTCCTTTCCCATTTAAAAACTATCGGTCATTCGCTCAATCATATTATTTAATTCTTCTCAGAAAAAATCTCACCCTTTGAAACACCAAGTTATTTTATAGTCTAGCTCCTTTTCCCCCCTCCCCAACATTAAATCCTCTACCAGTTCTGCACCCATATATGAAGAACATGCTTTGTCAAAAAACTATGGACTCTATCCACCTGTTCTTCACCAACTCTTTTAAGTTTCTATGAATCCAAGAAAACGCATATCTGAATAGTCTAGCCTACACTCTATCTAATGCTATTGATAATACAATGGCATTCAATAAAATACGAGACTCAAGCATAATTTGCCTACTTTTCACCGAAATTCTGATGTCACATTGTGGTCATAGGGAACTAAAAGAAGGTGAGATGGAAGTTGGTTTGTATGAAATTTACTGATGGGATTTCAATTTCCGTCAAAACTTCCATTGCTTAAAAAACTTCAAGCATTCACCCTTTGCTGTCGATTTTGTGTTTCTAAGCCAGTCCCAAGTGTTACTTTCCATACACCCAACATCCATGCTGGTTGCTTGATAGCATTATTTGAATGATGAAACTTTGATAAAGACTGCGTTGTATATTTGATACCGGGAGATATAAATCGCAGTAAACATTTATTAAAAGGTTTCATCATAGTTTGCCTTATTTGAATCTTCAATCTTTAAAAGAACCGGGTAGCAAAAAATTAGATGAACTTGCTTAACTATAACCAGAAGCTCTGATTTCGTAAGAAACTATACGGTGATATTCAAAACCCGTAGACAATATCAAAGTTTTATGCTGAGTTGGGTCATGAAAACATAATAAAGAAATAAATACATAATCTACACAATATCAAAGTTGTAAAAGTGACTAAAAAGATCAACGTGGTCAGTAGTCTTATGATTTGCGAACGAGGTGAGAAGATAGCTTTTATGAGAAACAACTGCTTAGAAGAAAGCCTAAAAACCCCAAACATAAAGGTTCGGTAAGAGAAGTGAGGCCTTTGCCTTAGATCCTTACCTATCGAATGTTTACATCACGGTTGAAGGAGAGATGTCCATAAGATAAAATGTGTTCAGAAACTTCCACCGAGGACTTTTAATATATGTGAATATAATCCCGGACTTGCATAAGTTAGCAATTTCTTTGAGAAACTAGCACCGTATTATCCTCTATCTAACCCTCAACATCGCCAGTTTCTTGTGATCATCGGCAGCCTTTGTCAAGATCCCAATGTCAATACAGTTCTATCCCATTTATTGTGTATGCTACGGTTAACCCAATCTAATATCCTGTTTAGTCTTCATCAGAGCAGTCCGCACTCAAGGAAAGATAAAAAAGAGCATTCAATAAAAATTTAGGACAGCTACCATGATGAAAAGCTGAGAAAATTGCATACAGCAATACCACCAAAATATCCTGATCAGCGAGCTCTAAATCAGTTTATACTACATATGCCGTCTGGCGCATATCTTAACGGGCTGAACCGTAAGTTGGCATTCGTCATTTCAAAAATTGTGATATCTTGTAACCTTTTTTACTACTTTTGTTCCCACTGTAAATTTTTCAGATCATAAATTTAGGGCATTTGGCCTTTTCTCATATTAAGATCTATGGGGCTTGATAAATAAATTCAAAAATTATTTAGAAACTGAGACAGTTTTCCGAATAAACATGCTGCAATAAAATAATCGAGCTAAATTAATAAGTGCACACGAATTATATATTTCAAACGGCAAAAAAAATCACTACATAAAGCAGACTAAAATGTATTCACATTTGAATGCGGTCATACCTCATAGAATTCAGATGTTGATGCAAGCACAGACCCCCCAAACCAAACTGCAAACCTTTGAATTGGATGACTCACCACATTGACTTCAACAGGTTGAGACTGGAATGAGAGGAGTCTGTGTTAGTGATGTAACGAGAATAAACTGAAATCATTAAATACTCAATGCCAACCTTTATGTCTGCACCATGGCGAGCATTAGAAGCAAGACTACGGGTATCTACTATCTTCTTTAAATCTCGTTGCAACCTCCTATTGAAATCCTTGAACATGGTTGAACCTCCAGACAACACAATATTCTGAATATGGTTCAAAATTGTCGTCAAATAAAAATTCACTGATTTAAAAATTAACCTTTTAATACTACAATATTTCCTGGCATATGAACCTTATAAAGAGCCCTCCTAGTGTCGATTGGTGCTGACTGGATGCACTTGTCAACAACTGAAGGCAGTGGAGTGGTGAATTCATCACTATAAATCTCTGGATTAAAGAAAATCTGCAAATATAGTATAAAGAGCAGAAAATTCATCAACCAATGGTGGACAAAGGCAATGGAGGGGCAACTTGTCTTCGCAGAGAAAATAGCATTTAAAGTTGGATACCAGCAATCTACCCAAAATAATAATGGAAAAATAAGACTTAAGAAGCCGAAGGACAATTCGAAACATATCAATAAGCTGCATGTGGCGTTTGTAAAAGAAAACATAAATTGACAGTGAACTATATTCAGCAGTATATTGTTTAGTAAATAGAAATTGACTTTGGAGTATCACTCAGTAAATTATTTAGGCAATCTACCAAAGATAAAAAGATAAAACAGAGCCACACCATGTTGGTACAACATTCCAGAGCATGAAAAGCTATTCTAAGTAAATAAAGTAAAATAAATTTACACATTAATTGTCTTCACCTTAATTGATACTCCAAAAACTCAACAATGATTTTGACTCAAATCAGAGAAAATATGATCAATAAAAAACTATTAAGTTAAAGTTCAAAAGACTTCACAAATTGAAGCATGTTATCAGTAGAAAAAGAGATGACACTGCTCTCAGAGAAAAGGACTGTCGTGGAAGTTGCCCTGAGCCATGAGATGGGCAACTAATCTTATCACATCCCGTGTCTTCCAGGGTGAGATGCCACATAGGAAAACTGGTAGTAAAATGATAAAAAAGAATAACGAATAAAAAGAATAATATGGATTATCAAAACAAGGATGCAATACAAAGAATCAAAATCCTAAAATCCCTTCAACAGCAGTGACAGCACGAGTTAGAGGGTGAGACAGAATTCAAACACCGACTTTGAGCAGCATAGCACAAGGTAAAGATTCACTCTGCACAAATCACTGTACTAACACCACTAAAGGTAACTGAGACAGACATAAGTTCAGATAAGGATTAATGAGAAGATAGAAATCCCAGCAAAAGTGACACAAGTGCTACACAGGTTGATATCACAACTATTTTCTTGACACAAGAATCAATGTTTCAATAATTTTAAAAAAATATTAAATCATAAATTATCAGTATGTACATGCTCTGTGGCTATATATATATCATGAACTATTTTTTAAATTTAAAATTATAAATTCCTTTTATTTCCCTCATTAAAGAAACAGGTAACATAGGAGGCTTTATCTAATCAATTATTGTAAAACAGGCGCAAAGAAATTGTGAGTAAGGCATCAAAAAACCACCTCAGGGCCAAGGAACCTTTCGTAGCCAATATCGCATGAGTATGGTGCTCCAGTTTTTGGTTTGACGCCAGTAAAATGTTTAATGTATTTGGAGGGCTCTTTGTCATACTTGTTATACTCCTGCCTCCACAGACAAAACAATCAGCCAAATCAAAGAAAATTCATTTACATTTCTGAACTGAACAACTTCAAAAAAACAATTACAAACGAGGACTACATGTGTGTTTAACAATATAAATATTCCCAATTAGAAATACAAGTGAATCGTTGGCACCATCATCATCAATTCGAAAGTAATTTCGCTGGGTGGTACCTATATTTCCATCATCATCAGTAGCCAAAACTATGAGAGACTTGGAATTACCTTTACTATGTCTGAACAAGTGTAACAATGCATCTCTTTAACCTTTCGAGCAACATCAAAAGAATCTTCTGGAGGTATATGTTCTCCCCTTTCCTATGGGAAACATGAAATTAAGAGAAATTAGAGAACCAATTTAATCAATTTTTCAGAAACTACAATGAATTCCATGAAAATACGGAAAACTAATCTTCTTACAAGAAATTTGATTCTGCATTAGACCAGAGACACAAATAAAATTTGTTACATTATTTATGAAAATGAACCATGATGCCTATCTAAGAAAACCCATCTTCTGAGATTAAAATCGAAAAAAAGAAACATAGGTTCAACAAAAAGATTATTCCTCCATCAAAAATGGGTTGTACAAGTGTCAGCAGCATCGTAATAGTGAATGCAAGGAAATCAATAAAAAATGTGGATATTTTAATAGGAGTTTTCAAGTAAAGCATTTGCAAAAACTGCACCATTCCTGAAGTAAAAAATGAATTTCTGCATTATACAAGATTTTCCACGCATGAAAAACCGCCACTTGATTATTAACTTATGGATGAAATATCCTAATGCGGAGACTGTCTTCTGAGTAACACTATTTGTCAGCTCTTTCCCCTTCCAACATGATATGGAAACGACATAAGATTGTTCTCTAGACATTAACTATATGTTGGAGCTGAATGATCATGATGCCAACCATCAGTGATAAATTACGCAAATACAGGTCCAAAACGGACTGAACCACCCGAGAACAAAGAATGAGAACATCCAAAGAAAAATGTATTGGGCTTTTCTGAACTCGAACAAGGGCCAATAAGCCCAATGTAATCCAGCCATTTTATTTTGAACTTAAGCAGTTTTTTAAGCCGTATGCTCGAGTTTAAACTGCAAATATTAAATTCTTCAATAAGTTAACTTTTTTGCTACATAAACCTCTAATCAATTGCATATGTTTGCAAATAATGAAGGAGATCACAATAGTTGTTCCACTGCGCCTGGTATGAGATCAAGCTTGTGCGGGAATTTAAATGCTTACTGATGAAATCTGTTCTGAAGTGAGACATTTTGAAGAAGTTAAATTTCTTTTACATTTGAACAAATGAAAGAAAACAGTTTCAAGATTTATTACACTGAGCATCTATATACATCAAAATTAAAATGGTAAAACCAGGCTCATAATGCAAAAAGAAAAAGGAAGGCACACAATATATCACTGCTAAAAAGATTTTTCAACTAGATTTCAATGTGTAGGTTATCACTTCTCTGCGTGAAGTGGACAGGAATAAATAAGAAACAAAGGGGATTAATTTATAAGAGAATGGCAACGACAAGGAAAAGGACAATATCAACCAGGATAGAATATGTATAGAATCAGATTCTCTCCAATTAAGCGATCTAGTTTTCATGATAACAATGGCATGACAAATAAAACTTAATTGAAGAGAAAATGACTTCATACTAAGTTAAATTGAATATCTGCTCACATCATAACAGCCTTCAGAGTAGAAGGCAAATGTTCTACTAGATTCAGATGTTAATGCATCTGTTTAACTAGGTTTAGTAGAATAAAGGACAAGACAAAAAGTTTGATGAGGGGCATCAGGAAAATGATAACTAAAAAGAGAATGGCAAAAGCGGGATGAGCCATCAGTCATGTAGAAACTAGTATGAGAAGACGAGCTATGCACACATGTGGCGTGATTGTCATCAATGCACGAGCTATGTACATAAAAAAGAGTAGATTGTTTAATAATGCAAGAAAACAAAGAACAAACTAAAAAAAGAGGTCCTCTAGGAAGTACCCGCAAAAGCTGCTGAATAAACAAGGTGACATCTTTCCCTGATATTGGAATAGACTTCATGCTGCTTCCAATAACATACCCATCAGCAACTGGAACAACATGTGTACCCCCATCTCCAACATCGACAATAACTCCTGTCATTTCGCACTGAGAAAGGTATTGGTTAGAAAAGGAAGACATACATAACATCTTTTCTCTAAAGAGCTCATTCCTTCAAGTAGTTAAGACCTCAAACACAATATTGACTGAATTAAACTTTCATAAGTTGCATGAGTAATCACTTATTATGAGCTAATTCCTTCAACCATTTTAGTAGCATAAAAAATATTTTACACAATAAAAACTTCAGAAATGTATTGAATAATTTTTCAACATGCATTCTATTTGTCGAAATCAACTAGCTCGACTAGTCACTCATCAGCCACTCTGTGCTAAAGATTAATGATTTTCGTTTAAGTCATCTAGTAGGCATGAAAATTTAGGCCTTCAGAAGCAAAGATTGTATATGTGGCTTTAGGTCTACCATGCCTAGTCCTAAAAAATTCTGTCACAGCAAGCCCAAGTTGCTCCTGTACCCAAACATATAATCATTATCCATACGAGATTATGACGAAAAAAGTCATAAGTTCCTGCATTATAAAGAAAATGTTTAGAGGGTGCCGTTTATGGATAACTGAACTTAATGCCCATTGACTTTATGTTCAAAGCTCAAATAGATTACTAAAGGCAGCATCTCAGAGACAGGAGTATAGCCTGGCACATTTTCAAGCTACCAAGGATTCTTAGAAAGGGAATACCTAGAAAAAAGGAACAGTTCAGGGAAAATAGAAGGGGATAAAATATAGCCTGAGGTATGCCCTGCTCGCATTAAAAAGTAACCAGACTTAAATAAACTGAAGAAAGAAGAAATATCAGAACTACAAGGACGACATAGTCTCCATGAGCAACTGCATAAGTCTACAACTGAAGATCTCGCTGTGTGACTTATGGGGAACTTAATTTTTTACATTGGATAGATGATTTAGAAGACTGATGCTTATATCTTCTTTGTCACAATATTGCTATTCATAAATATATAACAGGAGAGTAAACTAAAAACAAGAGACTATCGAACCAAATCAGGGTCAGAGAAACTTACCGATAATAAATAAAGTGACACGAAAAAGCATGGATCGGTTAATTCTTTATATTTTTTATATTGTGATTCTTAGTTTTTAGGGTTCTTACATATAAAAAGCGAAAGTAATTAATCAATCTCCCTGTGAATACAGAGATTGAGATGATTATTCATCCTCTGAAATTGTATTCATGACCACTGAAGCCCATATACTGCTTCTTCCGTTGTCTATGCCTCTTTATACTTATTGCAGGGAACAAGAGAGATGCGCTTCTCAGCATGATTTTGCAGGATTGAATCTCACAAATGGAACAAGGATAAGTAGGAGTGTAATGGCAAGGCCATTCCCAAAAAGATCAAATAGCGTCCAAATGATTGTATTCCCATGTCTCTAAATGAGGAGCTCAGAAAGGAACCAAACCATTTGTCTTCAGGAAGAAAAAATCAGATAAGGAGATTCTGGAAGACATTCTGCTCATATTTCTCGTACAAGCGAGGCAACACACAGTCTTTGATATAAGTGGATTATCCATAAAATGGGCATGACCCCATTTCCATTATATTTTTGGCAAAAATATAATACGTTTGATTGGTTTGCCAATCCTATATCACCTCTCGTAAGCACAAATTGGATGAAGTTTTCAAAGACATAGGTCTATGAATAGCACTGAGATCTCCCATACGAAATTGGAAGGCTTTTTAAGTTTTTTTGAAGTCTACTGTTTCTCAAAATCTTCTCTACAGATTCACACATCAAAGCCAAGTCACTTATAGCCAGTTTGAGTCACAACGGACTCAGCACCTTTTAGCTAGCTTTTTTTACTTTCTGAGTTACCAAAATTCTAAAAAGTTTGGATTTGAAAATAATGCTGAAAGGAGTAAAACAGCTCAAACAATACGATTAAGAAAGATTATTATATTTGATTGAGAATAGCTTTTTATGCATAATTCTCATCGATCTGACATTCAAATCTTTTGAAGGATCCTGTAATCCTGAAGCTCTCATGTCTGTATTAGATCCACCCATTAGGCAGATCGCATATCAGTAGAAACGCACATTGTTCTAGGAAATAATAGAACTACTAATGTGGTAATTTATGAATCTACAGAACAATATGCTCACGATTATCAAAAATTTGCATTCAGCAAAAGACCAAGGTAAGTGCGGACTTTTCTAAAAAGTATGGGTAGATCCCTGATAATTAAAATATGCCACGAGAAATATACACTATATTACATACAGTGACCACATTTGTCCAGTCTACACTTCACCCTTTATCAAAACTATGGCTTTCACCCCTAAGAAGGATGTTCAGTCCTTCATGCATCAACAACTAGTGACCCTCTTTCACTTCTGAAATCCAACCCCCTTTCATAACCATAGTCACTTCTTGAATTCCTAGACTCAAGAAAACTGGCTGGTTTAACGAATCAAAGCAGTTGAGCACCCATTATCATTCGCCATTGTATTATTTGAGATTTGAAGCTGAACTTTTAATAGTTGTCATGTAGCTAGGAAGCTATGCTAGGACCAAAACAAAGTATTTTCTCTGCTGATTCTATGAGCTAAATTTATAGTGTGAACATAAGGAGGATGTTGCTGCTGAATGAGATTGAAACACCAGAGCTGTCAAAAAAAGCTGAGACTGAATGCCAACTACACCGATTTAGTACACAGAACTTGTGAAAATGTTAATTTAGATAAAAAGAAAATAAATTTCTCATGGAAGATCTAAATAGTCAGATTTCATTCACACTATATTTTCCAAATACCCAGGCAACCCAACATCTACATTGGGATAAAATGAAAAAAGAAGAGACTTACGGACAACTGAGCGAAAATAAGAAAAGATAATGTGAAATGAATGTTAGAGGCACCTAATACTAAAAATAGACAATACCAACCCTCGATGTTGTGTATCCCGCAGCAAGAGCCAACACAGGCTGGACTGCTATATACAGTCCAGGAACATTAAATGTCTCAAACATAATTTCCCCAGTATACTCTCGATTTTCTGGAGCAGTTAGAGGGCTCTCTGTCAGGAGAAAGTAATGGTCCTCAGGATCACAGCGTAGGTAGTTGAATATACATTGCTGCCAGAACTTTTCCATTGCGTCCCAATTTGCCACCTGTTTAAGATACTGAGTTACAGTTTCCAAGAGGGGAGAAGAGGAAACCTGAAATGACATTTGTCTACCTGGCCATGCTGAATAGGATAACTGAGGTTGTATGTACCGCTGGAACGAGATCGTGAAAGAGCCTCGTCCCCAATGAAAAAATCAAGATCAGCCATTACACCAGCACTGTGCTGTACCAACCAATTTCCCTTGCTAGAAGCCCTGGACTGATTAAGGAAAGATTCGTTGACAGCTACAACAGTCGGAATAATGAAGCAAGGCTCCACGTTCCCAGCAAACCCCATCTTGGTATACCTAGAGGAGATAAAAACAGGGTAAAAATGAGTGTATGATGTATACCAAACGATATTACTATACCAAACCAATCGATATTACTATACCAAACGAGGCAAGCATCCAGAGTCCTCATGCCAAAAGAATTCGCATTGAAAGAGATAATGGACGAAAAACTGGCAGTAAAGTTCAAAGAAAAACACATTTAGAATTTTATGAAGAGGCTAGCTACTGAGGGGCAGCACGAGGAAATGAAACAGTACACACGCGCAGTTCATCACAAGTGGAAGGGAGAAACCCAAATAATTTGAAATGTTGTTGCAAACAAAAAGCTATTCTAAGAGTCCCAAGTCAAGGAGAAACCCACTCAAGAGGGAGGCATAGCGGTTAAAATCCCCCATGAAGATGAACTCCACACTCTCACTGAACGTCAGCATTCACATCCCAATTCCGCATACAGTCGATATCCAGAGAACCTACTATTATCGAACCAGAAATCGCGCATGCATAAGAATTCCAACAGGAGCATATAAAGCTAAGAGAATCCTCCTTACCCGGTGCCATTGTCGATGACCACGGCAGGGCGAGAAGCCGCGTCCATTCTGAAACCCGAAAATCGACGAGAACAAAGGAGAAGACTCCAGAACACGGGCTCTGCTACTCTCCAGGAATCAAAGGGTAGAAGAAACTAGAAAAGAGCCGCTGCCGTCGCAGGATCTGCTCCAGTCCAGATCCAAAACAGGGTGAGCTGGCTCGGCGGGGCATCCGCTCATAGTCTAGAGAGGCACTGGAGGGCCGTCCGTGGTGGTCACTGGAGGTCCCCCCGCTAACCTCCCGATCTGTTCCCCGCCCGTCTCTCCCAACCCAGGGACGACCGTGGGGAAACAGTGAGGTGTCGGGATCCCAATCGATCCCTGGCCAGGGACCTCCGCTAAAAGGAGGAAAGGAATGGAGGGGGCCGCGAGGAGTCGGTGATGGTCGCTGTGGAAACAGCACGTAAAGGAGGATCCCGTCGTCCAGCCAAAACTATCGCCCGAACCAGTCAAGCAGACGCTGGTCTCTCTCTTCCTCCCTCCGTCTCCACCCCCCCGCAGGAGGCGACAAAAGGGACGATTGTTCCTCTCAGTCAACAGCCAGAACGCCCAAGCGAAAGAAGTCGGGCCAGTTCTTTATCCTCATTATTGTCCTAAGTTAATCAGATTATCGTAGAAATGAAGAAACCAAGCGTTGCAAGGATGTTCTTCAATAGATCCAGTGAAACATAGAACATACCGTCAAAACTTTATTTGAAATTATTATCTATAATTATCAGAAAATTATTGAGAGCCACGGGGGGCACCCCGTATCATTGCATATAAAAATTATCTAGCAAGTATGATATGTGATATAGAAGACATTACTAATGAGAAGTGGGTGTGGGCCATGCTAGTGATTGTAATTAGTGATATTAAAGGAAATATCATATAATTCATAGATAATATTGCAAGTTTATTACATGTATGCTATAGTCGTTAGAGTAAAAAAGAGAAAAATCTACTTGTGAGCATTGATTAGTTTTTACGCTCTTATAAATGGCTTGAATTATAGAGGTCTCTCTCTCTCTCTCTCTCTCTCTCTCTCTCTCTTATTTATTGGGCCCCTAAAAGTCCCCACAAGAAATTAAATGTACCAGTGACAAAATTCCATAATGAACCACATGTTAACTATGAAGAAGATTCAATGGTTAGTTACTACTAGTTCAAGACATCTATTTTCTTGCTACCAGGACATAAATATATTATTATCCCAATGTGAGCTAGATAGAATACCAAGAGGGAAGGTTAATTAGTTCTGTAAAATATTTTATCATGTTTACACTAAAATAATTTAGGTTGATTCTATTAGTTTTGTATTAGAAGGGTTGACACGATTTTTCTTGTGTCAATAAAGACTGGTTCAGGTTGACACTCTAGATTGATGCAAACTGAGTTCACATGACTGATTCCACATTAAGAATAGGAATAAAATGAATAATTTGATTTTTAATGGTTCAGCCTTACTTGGTCGACATCTACTTATCATGAGTTTCTACCTTTAGTTTTTACTATTCTCTCTTAGAAAGCTACAACTAAAATTTGGAATTTCAATCAATCTCTTTACATGATAGATTTGATAGTTCTCTTTTCCTTATTACCAATACTCTATAGACTACAAGTAAAAGAGATATTTAACAACTTAAAAACATATTCTACTAGGGAGTGGATTAATTATTTGATTTTGTGGGCAGTTGAGCACTTGGGGATGTTTTGGTGATAGCATTCCTATAGTAGAACTTTGAAGAGAGATTTTTAAAGAATATAAGAGGATTTGTTCTATTATTGAACTGCTATTTGAAAACTCTAGTAGTGGCATATTTAGATCGCCTAAAAATATGATCATTAAATATGAGATTTTTGAGATTTGATTAGTCAAAGATTATCTCAGTCAAAATCTTAGTTTGACATGCTGAACAATCTATGCAATCAGGTGTCAATTTGACTAGCTTTTAACCATTGCTCTATGGAAGTGTTAGCATCAAACTTCTAAGAGGAAGTCTTGTTTTTCTCTCTCTTGATATTTGTATTTACTATATTTACATCTACATGTGGATAAACACGCTTTCTCACATCTAGCATTTAGGTTGAAACTTACAATGACACAATTTCTTTATACTCGACTTTATCTAGATTGCCTATTGGTCAACACATAGGTCGACACATTTCCTCTTTTATTATTTGTTACTTAAGAAAACCTTTTTTTCTTTAACTTCAATTTCCTTCTAATGTTCATGTTTGATAACATTTTTTTTCTCTACATAATGTCTAAAAAGCATATTGTAACAATAAATAGATTATATAATGATTTTTCTTTTATAAGATTGCAATTAGTGAGTCAAAAATAAGTTTCAAACGAATTGGCTAATACTTGTTTGTAAGGTATTTGATGACTTTCAGCTAATAATCATTTTCATATTGACATAATAGCTATAAGATAGTGATAATTTAATGATTATCTAAATTTTTTACCTTGAAGTAATTTATGATTCTCGTTTGAAATTTAATAGAACATTAAGATATTATAGATACCATGTTGACTTCTACTTTTAGATAAAAGAATCACTTAGGAGTGTAAAAATTTTAGGTTAACATCTACAACCTTACATGCTAAATAAAAAAAAAGAGTAGTGAAATAGGGTAAAACCCCATTGTTGATGCCCTTGGTTTTTATAATTATAAATGAAAATTTATTCATAAGTGCTTATCTAATATTGATACTTCTTATATGTATTATTTATATAACTCAAACATTTAATACACTAAAAAAATATACATTTTTTTATTAAATGATTATTATCTTATTATTAATGATCAAATGAAAGGTATTACTATTTGAGATTAAGTGGTTTTCTATCTTAAAAATACTTGAAGATAACAATATTATCAATGTAATAATCATCTTGAAAAAAAATATTAATTGTATGATTATATGGTAAATGGCAATACAAACCATGTAAAATATTTTATCCTTGATTATGTAGTGGTTAATATTTTCAAATGATGTCAAACAGATTTTATGTATATCTTGTGCGTAGAGTTAGTAAAAAAACAGAAAGGATTGGATATTCATGTTTCGAAGAGATCATCTCAATTAAGACATGTGAGCTGCTTACATGGAAAAAAATTAAAGATAAGTTTGATCATTTGATTTGATCTGAACACTCGACTATTTTATTTCAAGTTAGAATTTTTTTAAAGTACATGGGACTTTTCTAAGGTCACAAACTATCAAAATAATTATTATAATATAAAATTACTTTTGCCCTTCTATGTACTTTCTCAACAACCAACATATAAAGACTTCAAAATCTAACAAGTCAACTTGCCTTAAGTTTAGTGATGTGCATTTATCGTTTTGTTTAAATGTCCATTATCTCATAATATTTATAACTAAGATTTAACAAAATATTAATATAGATGTAAGTCTTAAGTCGAACACAAGGAAATTGATTAATTCGTCATGAAAAATTAATTTAGTTTATATACAAAGAAATTTAAATATTTTATCACTATTTAATAAAAATAATAAAATAGAAAGGTAAAGTGAGAAGAATAAAAAAAATGAAGAAAATGAGGAAAAGAGAGAGAGAGAGAGAGAGAGAGAGAGAGAGAGAGAGAAGAGAAAGCTCTCACGAAAGAGAGAAGATCTCTCATGAAAGAGAGAGAAAGAGAGAGATAAAGAAAAAGAGATCGATCGAGAAAGAGGGAGAGAGATGAATAAGATGATAATAAAGAGAGAGAGAAACACGATTAATCTATTTTTACAATGACCATGATTCTCAAATGAATATGTGCTCAAGAATTCACACACATTAATACATCAAGATTTGATTATAACAATTAATAGAAAATAAGTTGAACACAATCTTAACTTAATCTTAGGTGAATTTTAGAAGATTTAGAAAATGAACAAAGATTATTCATCAAGATTTGAATCAATTTTACTCATTTCTATCAAAATATATATGAAACTGAAATAACTTACCATAAAATATAAATAAATAATAAAATTATGTAAATAAATACTGAAAATAAGAAAAAACAAATTTGTCTAAAATTAGTTTGCCTCGTGAGCAACCCAAGACATCAGTGTGATGGCTTGATTTGGTCCGAACATGTCACAATATGTTGAAAGTTACAAAAGTATCATTTGGAAGCACTACACCATTTGTTGAAAAGATCCACCAAAAATAAGGGTCGACCAAGCTGTCACCGTCATCTGGGGAGAGAAGGGAAGAGTTGATCACTCATTGAAAGCCTTGATTCCAGTCGAAGAAGAAAGGATCGAACTCACGACCATTGGAGGGATTGATCAAGCAAAAGGAGGAAAGAACGGATGCCATATTCATGACTATTGTCAATATTTTAATAATAATCAATAATATTTATTTTACTAGAAAATAATTAACTATTATATTTATATCTGTAATGGTGATATGTGCAAGAACTTAGTTCCTAATGTTGTGAGTCTTCATTCACCATCAAATCATTCTTTTTGGTCACGTGCATGCTAAGTGACATAGGATTTGCAAACTAATGATGGAATGCTTTACGCTTTAGGTGAAAGTTTGTCCACCATGGGATCTACTTTATCTAGTAATATGACCCACTAAGCACTACTGGATCAAAATGCCAAAGCCGTTGTCTTGAAACAAATGAGAAGATTTATTCCCACATCATTAAAAAAATTAGCGATTGAGTTGAATGTATATCAAAACTACATTCCTAATGTAGAGATCCCTTCTCTTGAAAAAAATATGCTTAGGACCATCTTGGGAGAAGAAAATAGGTGATCTACTGTCATGCGCACACGTGTCTATGATGCTCTTTGCTCTATGACTGGTTGCTCCCCAGTACATGATAGAGAAGTATTGCACATGTGTATGAAGCGAGTCTTCTACCACTCAAGCGCAGCTCATGGCTCTCTTGGTTAAGGTCCACCCATTAGTGCACAACACAACTTCATGTCAACTACCGAGTGCCAGCTTGCTAGCTACTGATGATTTTTTATTTTTTTCTTATATTTTTAAAAATAAAAAATTATAGTAAGTCCTTTAACTTCAAACTTTCAAAATTAACAATATATTTTTGTATTTATTCTACAAGTTAGCACGTAAAAATTAAATAATAAAACTATTTAAACATTAAAAATCTAGCTTTAACATTCAATAGTTGACTTTTTGCCTATTTGGAAAAAAATAATAACAACATAAAGTTATAAGATGACAAATTAGTTATTGAGCATTTATACCAATGTAATAGAATGATAATAAAAAGTAATTTCCATTTTATCTTAATTATATAATTGATAACCCAAAAATAAAAATTTCTTTATGATTATAACAAAAGAACAATTTAAAAAACCTTGTGGCTTAAAGAAGATTTGCCCACTCAAGCTTCTAACTATTTGTCTTAAATTCGTTACAAAATTTCTTATTTTTCTATTTGTTAGAATTAAGGATAAGTGAAAAACCAAAAGGGGAGAGGGGTGAATTGTGGTTTCTAGGGGGGTTTTTATTGATTTTCGATTTAAGCTACATGTGTGTCAATCGATGTGTTCAAACACATGTGTCATAATAAGACTTCTTAGCACTCTATCACCAAGAACACAACTTTATACAATGATTTTTTCATCATCTAATTAAATTTACTCTCATAAAGAACTTCTTTTCAATATTTTACTAATTCCTTAAAAAATGAAACACTGATATTCACATAACCAGCCACCCAAATACCTCAAATTGACCTTTTTCGAGACCTAACCCCTCTCAAACTAAATATGACTACCAACACCTATTGTTTTTACCTAAAACACTCTCAAATCACCCCATAATTATCTTAGGCACTAATGGAGAGCATAGACCATCATGTTTGAGTTCTTTGATTGTTAGAATTAATTGACAAAGAGGATGCAATGTTCTCATTTGTCAGTAATGTGTATGATAGGATGAGCTTCATGGTAAGCATTGTCTCTTCCTCCAATTTTTGATAAAAACTTTTTCTTATATAGAAGCCTTTGTCCTTAATGAGTTTCCTTATTTCATATTTCAACATATGAAATCTCAATTCAAAAGCTTGCATTTTCCAAAACACATGGTAATGATGTTTCAGTCTTTCAATATCTGAATCTTCCTCTTATCATAGTCATTTCTATTTAAATTTGAATTAGAGTTTTATAATTTGACAAAAAATATTTGAACATCAACATCAGATTCAAATCATGAAGTGTAACCTTCACTTTTGGTCAACATAAGTAGTTGAATTGTTTTCAAAACTTGAATGTCTAATCTTTTTTCTTAACTTTTTATGATGTAATACATATGATATCTTAGGGATCATGTCTAACATCATTTTGAAATACTAAACCACTGCATAATATGGTTTGAGAAATATATAATAAAAATATATATTTCACATAATTTTCTTTGATTTATACCCATTATATTAAGGGTTAATACCTTAGATTTGATTATTAGTGATAAGATCATAAAATTAATCAATATAATTCATATAGTAACTATATTTAATTTATTAAATATTGATACATATATGTGACGTATATGTGAGATATATAAATAAGTAACAATATTCAATAATCACTTATTACTAAAAGTTTCATTAATAATTATCAAAATTAAGGGCATCAACATTATTCTCATTATACACCCTTATTGTAAATTTTATATTTTCTATACTCACCACTATATTTTTTCATAATTCCAAAGCACAATAGGAAACTCCTCTTCAAATACTTTCTCTTGTCAATTTTTTGGCTAATGAAGAAATAGAGAGTTTATATTTAGGATTGTCATCACTCAGTGGCTCCAACAGAAAGCTTGATCTCATTCTTCCCCTTCTACCACAACTCTCCTTGTTTCTCCATCCACATCTCTCCACTCCCTTCCTAGAGTCTGTATGCTCACCAATGTTGTTGTGATTTTTGGATGCCTCTCCATACCCTTCAACATGCCTACACATGCCCATCCACATGCCATTCTTTGTGTGCAATATGATCTATTAGAGCACCACCCTATGGCTACCTATGGAGGTCTATGCACATGCACGTACATACATTTGCTTATACTTCCTAGCATATTCATCATATTAAAACTACAACTTGTTATCTTTTGCACCATGTAGAAGCAACCTTATATCTTTATGTAAAATTACTTTTTTCTTATGGGTTCACTTTGACAATAAGTTTATATATATAGGATTATCTCCTTGTTGGCCTATTAAGATATTATTAAAGCTAGATTTTTGTGTTTTAATTAGTTTTCACTATTTGATTTTATTTTGTTAACTTGCAGAATAGATATAGGATATATTGTTAATTTGAAAAGTGTGAAGTTAAAATACTTACCGTAATTTTTTATTATTAAAATAAAAATAAGAAAATATAAAAAAAAGCTCCTTGCCCCATGACCGATTGACCACTAGGACATGGAAGGGGAGTGAAACACATGTGTGTAGAGTGAGGCCTTCACCACTCAAGCTTAGCTTGTGGCTCCCCCGATCTAGGTCTATTTGCTCGACTGTAACCCCAACTCCCCCCCCTTCTAAGTCAGCTACCTAATGCTGGCTTGCCAGTAGGTCAGGTGTTGAGTGTCGAGGTCAGTCATGAATGTCTCCAATTACCCAAGAGGCACACTAAATTTGGGCAACAATTTATTTCCTACTTTCAGCATTTACTTACCTTCTTTTGTCATTTACTTACATTTTATGACAAGTTATTTCTATTTCATACACGTTTCAATTGAAATGAGTAGAACTAATTCAAAACTTGATGAATCATCTTTGTTCTTCTTTTGAATCCTCCAAAACTCGTCTAAGATCAAACTAAGATCATTTTTAATTTATTTTCTATTAATTTTCATAGTTGAATCTCGACATATTTATGTTCCCAACATTCTACAAATAATAAGTATTTTTCTATTTTCAAACACGAAACTACTAAGATTAAAAGTTGATTAATGAGCATTCAACAGTTAAAACAAGTTGAAAACATTCATAGCTAACCTCATGTCATGTGTGTGAGTCTTCGAGCACACATTTGTTCGAGAAAATAAGTTGGCCATATTTCTCTTTTTCTTCATTTTTGTCTTATTTCTTCCTCTCTCTCTCATGAAACCTCTCTTCTCTTTCCGTCTCTCATGAGATCTCTCCCTTTCTCTCCCTCTCTTGATTGATATCCTTCTCTTTCTCTCTCTCAATCAATCTTTCTCTTTTTCCTTCTCCCTCTCTCTCTCTCGTGAGACTTTTCTCTCTCCATCTCACGTGAGATTTCTCTCCTCCTCTCCCTTTCCCTCTCTTTCACAAGAGATCTCATCCCTTCTCTCTCACATGAGAGCTCTCTCTTCTTCTCTCTTTCTCTCTCTTTCACGAAAGATCTCATCCTTTCTCTCTCTCATAAGAGCTCTCTCTTTTTCTTTTCTCCGGTTTCCTTCCTTTATTCATCTCACCTCACCCTTCTATTTTATTATTTCTATTAAATATTAATAAAATACTAAAATCACTTTATATATAAACTAAATTAGTTTTCATGACGGACTAATCAATCTCCCTATGTTCAACATGAGACTTACTTCTATACTAATATTTTATTAAGTTTTAGTTATAAATATTATTAGGTAGTGTGTATTTAAACACAATGACAAGTGCACACCAGATATGTTCAATGATTTCTTTCATTCTATAAAAGACAACACAACTTCTTAATGTAGTTGTAATTTATTAACAATTTCATAGTCATAAAGTTGGTTTTAGAGAGGCTATAAGAGAAACCAAGAGGAAGTTAATTGGTCATTTATGACAACTCTAAGACTCCTAGAACTATGACTCAAATTATGATGCTAATGCGTATAATTGTTCAACCTTCCTAGCTCACTCTACTATTTGAGCAGTAGGTCCTTAGGCTCAACCAAATAAAGTTGATAAAATCATTGAAGGCTAAGACTTTAGCTAACCTCCTCTAGATTTCATACCTCTTACCCAATTGATTCTTTCCTAAAAAAAACATTTTGGATTTACTACTCTTGAGAAAAACCTATATTTCCACCTAGCTAATCTCTTCTAAATTTATGGATCTATGAGGCTAAATTAACACTTAACTAATCTCTTCTAGATTCATAGCTCTAGGCCAAGTGAAATGCTTAAAACACTCAATAAGGATAAATAAAATCTATTCTAAATTCCGCATGTGGCTTCCATATCATTGATTCATTGACCTGGATATGTGGAAGCATATTGCCAAACTGATCTTTTAAATATTAGAGAATAATTTTTTGTTTCAATATTTGAATCAGCTGAAACTTTGAAGAGGGTGTTACATATACCAACTAAATTAAATATATTTAATATATAATGGTAAAAATGACTAGAAAAAAGGTCTAATGCATGTTCCAAAATTTAATTGGGGAATCGTAACTTGATGTTTGTTCCACTAGGCATTGACTTTATGGAATCTTAGATTTTAAAATTACATTTAATTTTTTGAGAGAGCCAAATGATAATTTTTATTTATGTTTTCTGAGTATATTCTTAATGGTTTAAGAGTATTTTATGTAATTTAAGAATATTTTAACTCTAAAATGAGGAGCCATAATATGTCAAGATTTTTATCACTAGTTTTCTACCTAGAGGATGCACCCTATTTCAAATAAAGTACTCAAGAACTCATTATATGAGTTTATAATAAAACTTAAGTCATTTAAAATTGTATTTATCTTTTGACAAATTAAAATCAATAAGCACCATTTAAAAAGAATTAAATAATGTTACTAGTTTAAATGTGTGTTCACTCGAGTGGCCCATGCAAAAGGCCTGTAAACATCACCGTGAAGTTCATGTTAGAAAATGTATTATCCTTTTACAATTGCTCAAGTTAAAGGGAACTCTTGAAAGATTAAATAGAGGGTAAAAAGTGTAAATAATAATATGGCATGCTACATGGTTTTCAATTTTATGTTATGTCTTGTCTTTCACTTAAATTTCACAATGTATTACTTAAATTTCACTTAAACATGTTTCTTTTTGTTTATAAATAATTAATTTTCCTTTACTAATTTAATAGGAAATTTTATTTTATTTTTAACTTTTTGTGTTGTCCACACTACATTTATTTTTGATATTATATTATCTGATTATCAAGGAATGGTGCCTAGGCTACTAACCAAATTTCATATTTAAGTAGGCATATATGTAGATGATGACATAATGGTTAAATGCCATAAATCTATGGATGATGACCAATATAGTGATTGTGGCCATAAAAATCTGGTCAAGATAATAGGCTATTTGTTTATTCAAAAATTATTCTCACCCCTAAGTATTTGACAACTTAGATGAGTGCAGCTCTCAAAATTTTATTAAATAATCTCTGATTTCAAAACATTTATGACAACAAAGATTATAATGATATAACCAAATATGTCTTCTTATTTATATTGTCTTTGTCTAATCAAAGATGTTCCTATTTCAAGGAGAAAACCTCTCTTTCAAAAGTGGATATTTCATTCATACTAAGCTACAAAAAAATGGGCATAGGATTATTGAGAAAAGAACTCCAAAATATTGAATGTATTTTAATGATAAATGAGAAATTTCTAACCTATTAATTTTATTAAATTTTGAAATATGAAATCGTATAATTGTTTGCTTTTGGGGCCCTTTTTATTTTGATGTTGCCATTGTGTACAAAAAGGTATTTAAGTAATCTTACTCTATAAAATTATTTTTGTGTAACTATCAAAATGTTGAAAACATGTCACTCAAACACTCAGTAAACTCACATGTGATTCAATATCATTTTTCATTTTTTTGTGTCTTTTCATATTTTCAAAAAAAAAATCAACTTATAAGGTCATTTACTTTGCAAGATGGTAAAGCATTAGTAGTTTTTTATTTCCTAGTGTTGTTGCATGAGTACTAAGCTTTTGCAAGTATCATCTCATGATCCTTGACAATCTCATAGTATGTGGGATTGTGTGCTTACAAAATTTTATTTTTCACTTCTTTATATTAAATGACTAGACTTACATATCCCCTCACTTGATATGTTGAAGTTTGGACCAAAAACATTAACACTATATTACAAAGCACTTGAAGGACAATACATTATCATACCAAAAAGTAGTCATTGGAATAGTGCCTAACTAACCCTTGGTAATTTTTTGTGACAATTTTAATCTCTAAAAAGAGAAAAATGTTGTCTTAAAATGGGTTAGCTTTAGGATCATTCAAAAAAGTGATAAAATTGCTTGAGTGAAATTTTATATTTGTGGAGCATTTACTAAAATATCATGTTATTGAAATTCATTCTTCCACAACAATGTTCAACATCTCTATGCTCAAAGAACATATGGAATAAAGGTTTTAAGCATTCCTTCTTTACCTTGTTAAAAAATGCTTCTAGTGATGCTAATATTACAAGAAAAGAATACATATACTACATTGGCATAGATTGAGTTGTGACTTCACTTAGTTGACATGGTAAATACCAAAGTGGAAAAGTAATGTGATTTATAATAGTCTAGCACTCCATACCCTAAGGTTTTACCCCTCATGTTCACTAGTCTCTAATTTAGTAGTGCAATTGAAATTTACAAGCTTAAGAGATTAGTAAATCTTTCACACAATAGTTTCACATGGCCTAGCTTGTTACAATCACTCTTCTAGAGTGCCTTCACATAGAATATAAATAAACTTAAACATTGTGCCAAGAAGATGAACTTGCTAGATTTTAAGGATGATTAAATGCCTGAGAAAGCTTGTGGCAATATTACTCTAGTAATATAACTTTGATAAATGATTGGTGAATAATTTGGAGGATTTGACAAGTTGGTTAGAAATTATTGGAAAGGTCTAGAGGACAATTTATATGCTCCGAAATCTTGACCATTAGAAATCAAACATTTAAATTATGATTGGTCAAATATTATTGGGTTGACGTGTTGGTTACCCACTATCAAGCCATGTTGTAAAATTAAGTTTTGTCAATAACAAATTTTTTGACCAAGTCAATCTATATATGTGTTAATCAAAGATATTCTAACACATTTTTGAGATTCTAACTTGTTAGGATGTACCACCCTTATTAGAGATCTTTTTCTGTGTTAGATTATCTACCATGACATACATGTTAGATTTGATTGAGAAAATATTTTTTGTCTCTCCTAATATTTTATGCTCTTGAAAGGTCAACACACTTTCTCTCTCTTAAACTCTTGAAGGGCCAACACAATTTTTTGAGGTTTGCAAAATTCATTTTCTTTCAGATCAATCAGCATATGTTTTGTAGGCAAACATTACCTTTTAAAGTGAGTTAATATGACACATTTTCTCTCTCCTCTATTTTCCTCTCTATAACTCGTTATTTTGCTCTAATTTTACATTTGAATTTTTAATATCTATTTTCCTCATATCATTTCTGTAAAGCATATTTCCACAATAAAAGAAACTTGATCTAAAGACTTAGATCTTTATTTTGAGTTAGTGTGGTGAAACATATTTTTAAGTAATTTTTCATTTATCTTGATGTGATGAATAGCTCATATTAAAATCCTTAAACCCAATAGGTTACACACTTTAGTTCTCCAATGAGAGGATTTTTCCATAAATAGGTAACAACGTAGCACAATTTTCTTATCATGCAGAGGATATGGTAAGTAGTACAAGATACCAAACATGTGAAAAATGATTTTTTACTTATTTATCAATTATTTAATATCTTAATTTTTTTCATGGCATATCTTTCATATTAATTGTTCTAATTAAATTCTATTCAGTTAGCTCAGAACACACTGTCAATGTGTGGACCAGACATCAGAAATCGTAGGATTTCACAAGTATGGTACAAGGTAGTTTGAACATATAAAATTGGAGAAACTATTTTCTGTATTAAATTTATTATCAGAAATTATTCAGGAATACTGAACTGTATATACCTTTGTCTCCAAGTCACTAGATCCAAGATAGATCACCCAAATACATCATGAAACAAGTACTTTTCACACCAAATAAAACAATATATTTACAAATGTACATATCCCTTACTCTTGCCGGATCTTAGGGTTGAATCAAGAAAATTACCTGTTCCATGCCCTAAAGAACTGTGATCAGTCAATTATGGAGCTCTGAACTAGTCTACAAACCAAGAGTCAGCTGATATGCGTGGGGTAACAGATATCATACTGAATCAATTAATAATCGGCTGATCCAGGTAGATCTTGTATGAAAGTTCTCCTGTTGATTTGGTGGCTGGGGAAGATGCTAAACTTGAAATTAGTATAGTTTGCCGGCTGTCTGTTTTCTTCGTATTCGTCCTCTTCCTTTTCTTCTTTTCTTCCAACGCAAGTTTAAAATTCCAGTTGCCTCTTCTCCATCCGTCCAACCCCTTCTCTCTATTCCTCCCCATACCTCTCTCTCTCTCTCTCTCTCTCTCTCTCTCTCTGTCTCTGAAATGATATATATATTGTTCGAAACCCAATATATAAGCTTTTAAAATATAATGGTCCATGTAGCATCGTTGGCACAATGGCCCATTAACAACCTCCTCGGAGACATCCGATCAAACACTTCCTGCTGTATTCAGACGGGTTTTAGTATCAAAAAGGCTCCACCCGGAGCATGTCAGTCAGGGCTCGTCTCAACCCGACCAACCCGCTGAGTTGACCCGTCAGCATTGAAAAAATTGTCCGCCCAAGGCACGAGATGGCCCCATTGGCCTCATTGAAGACCGCTCCCACCCGGCCGGAGAAACTCGGCCGGCTTTGACCGAATCTCTGATTCAGAGATTCTCTTCTGTCAAGTACAGACCGAGGATTATTCTAAGAACAATTCACTATTACAGTAAAGTTCCTAAATTTATGAGCCACTGCCTCCTTATATTTCCTTTGATGCCCTCATATGTATCTCTTTCACCAGAAAACACCATATATGAAAAGCCCATTTCTCTAAATATAAACTTTTTGGCCTTGAATGTGAAGTGGGACATTCACCGGGAATGATTCTTCAAATCTGCGGCGTGAGCTGGAAGCTAGTTGGGTCGCCTGGGGAGGAGGGGAAGGCGCACGTGATGTTCTGCCCCTCGTTGTCTTCACGCGGACTTTGACCGTCCATCACGGGAAATATCACGTGGGGACGTACGCCACGTGGAAACCCAGAAGACCGCGCCACGGAAGTGTTGCAAAATAATATATGGCTGTCGTAACTTTAGAGAAATGTTTACAAATCTGCGTCTACATCGAGGGAGAAAGATGTCGGGAGGGTCTATGATTATACGTGCCGGTACATGCGCACGCTGCATGCAGACGTTCGCACGTGTGGTCTTCTAGGTGCCTCCTGCTTCTCTGTGTAGCATCCGGAGAGAGAGAGAGAGAGAGAGAGAGAGAGAGAGAGATGTGTTGGATAAAGAGAGACGGTGAATGTGTGGAGTAAAATTGAGAAATTGCATCTGAGAGTAAGTGAAAGATGAATGAGAGAGAGACAGGGAGATTGTATGGATGTGGGTAAGTGAAAGAGAGAGAAATTGCTTATAAGATAGAGGAGTGAAAGCAGGGGGAGGAGAGAGAAATTGTACGAGAGTGACGGAGTGAAATATGGAGAGAGAGAGAGAGTCATGGTGAGGTTCTTGTAAATGGGTCCCGAGTTGTGGTTGCGAATGACATAAGAATCCAATGAAGGAACAAACAGAATCATTCAGCACAAGTTGGAGTTGTTTTCGGCTGCAACCTTGCACTCTTCCTTCTTGAAGAAAACATCAAACCTCCTCGGGTGCCTCTTCCAACGCGCACAAAATTCACGGAGAAAGCCTTCCGCACAGTGTGGATGACCAGTTCATGTCTCTCCCACCTTGCGAGAGAGAGCGCATTTATCGGAAATGTGAGCATGAGTATGTCCTTAAGAAAGAACATGCGATGATGATAGTACTCATCTTCTCTTGACGTGACAGAAGTGCACCCGGATCGCACCAAAACATCTTTTTCACAGTTGCACAGAGAGATACAGGCCGGAGGGGGGGATTCGGCCGGGCTTCTTCCGTTTCCTATTCTACTCGATCTTGCTGGGACATGGTAGATTCGGTCGAATACAAGAAGGCTTTCGACCCAGTATGGCAAAGTACGCGCAAGAAATTCATATATCCTTTCACAGCGGAAAGGCCTTGCTTGGACGATTAATAGCCTAAAAATGAGGCCTGAAATCCTATTTCTGGCTGAAGAACGCAGCATGATGCCCTTCTTCGTCCAAGGTTTATCCAGCAGTGAAAGTGAGCATCGGAAGTGTCACAAATATAGACACAGAGATACATAGGTAGATAGGTTCGTAGAGAGGGAGGGTTGTATCTAGGTATATTGATAGACAGAGACGGACAGAGAGGGAGAGTTATACGCAGGTACATCGATGGAGAGATAGATAGATATATGCTTGGAGAAAAAGAGAGAATGGGGGAATTGGGAAAATAAAGGCGAGATGAAGAAAGTGTGAAAGCTTATTTTTTTCTCAAAAGCGAAGAAGAAAAAATACAATGAAAATTACGTGCGACGACGGCGACGCTCTTCTTCATATATCACATCACAAGACAAAACTAGTGGTCTAACGATTGCATCAGCCGTTTGTCCTTGTAGATAGAAAGAGAAAGAGAGAGAGCATCTGATGAGGGAGAGAAGAGACGAGAGCGTCCTTCAAGGCTGCAGCCGGTTGTGGATCGGCCATCTCCTCCTCACCTCGCTGTAATCTTCAGCCCACCACTCCATCTTCTCTCGATCTTGTTTGCCCTTGTTCAACATCTCCTCTCTATTGTGATGACGACTGTTGTGAGCATAATCATCATGACCACGATGACGATGGTGATGGGGATGGTGGCGATGTGCTTGAGATGTTCTTGCGCACTCTGCAAATTGAGACAAGCTCACTGAGTCAGATCGGAAAAAGCCCGAGCGGAAAGTGTAAAAGGGGAGAGCTGAGCGATGGTTTACCAGCTATATGCTGGTGGTGCAGCACGGAGAGGCTGACAAGAATCACGATGGCTACCAGAGCTTCTACGGCCGCCGCCTCCCGCCGCCGGCAGAAGAAAGAATGTCTCATCCTCCTCTTTCACAGTAGAAGTCTCCCCTGGGGTTTTCGAAAACCCCTTCGTCTACTTAAAACCCCAGAACTCTCTCTCTCTCTCTCCACTCCCTCCCCCATAAACGGCGTCCATTTCTCACGTGGAATCTTCTCCTCTTGCGTGATGAAGTCATCAAGGACATGGGTTATTTGAATATTCCGGCACTGGCGACCACATCGCTATGCCCTCTTCATGGGGATACAAATGGCTATCTCCCTTGTCAGGCTGTATCAAACCTTCTCTTCCCATTATAATTCATCCTTAAATGAGATAAAAGTTTAACTTCTCATCTCTTTTCCTTGCTATCACCAAAAAAGAATCTCCTTAGCTTTATCGCAGTTGACATTATACTGCTTCTTGGTGAGTTGGGACTTCGGAAGCCAAAGTTGTCGAGAGCAGCAACGTGTGTTTTAGCTTATAGGGTCTGCATACCTCAATTTTTAAGTGGTCAAGGTGCAGGGTTAGAGAGTACCTGCGTCGGATAAATTTTACGGATTAAAATGATATCGCACTGTAGTCTTCCTGAACTCATTACATGGGAGGTCCGGATCATATGAATGCCAATAAATATGATAGTACGTTTTCAAGTTCTAGATAGTTTTGTAAGATAGTCTAGATTAATAGTTCTGATATAAAAACGATGAGCACTGGAGGTTTTTGTACACTCTATAAAATGAAAGCAAGAAGAACACACGTCCCGATATTTCAACACCCTTGTTTATCCGTAGCTGCTTTTAAGAAGAGCAGTACTCTAAGAAGAACACCCTTGTTTTAAATAATCTTAAAATAATCACTAGAATTTTATATCACGATGAGTGAGACATTGGAGCGGATTACTATGGCACATGAAATGAGTTCTGTTATGATAGGGGCCTAGGAATTTTAGGGCCTAGGTTGTTTTACAACACAAGGGCTCAAAGGCCTGACGTAGCTTTAAAATAGGACACATGCATGTGCCCGTTTTTAGACAAGTTGACTACTTGGAACATTGTTGAATAAGATATTCATATATATCCTTGGTATGCTCTCACCGACAAGATTTTCAGTTGTCAATTTTAAACTGAGAAGACGTTTAAAAGTAAGTACCATCATGACGAAATAAAGTTTGTGATTTTTAAAGTGATATGTAATATTCAAAATTGATAAACATCCCCTGTGAGACTATTGCAATCGTCTACTCTTAATCTTTCACAATGAAAACTCAATAGATGGGCTAGTAAAGAGGTTGAATTTCCTTATCATATGACTCAAGATTATAGGCTTTCATTTTTTAGGAATATTCCTGAAAAAGTTTCGATTTTATAATTTAACAAAGAATAACGAAAACTAGTCTAAGATTGAGAATTTATTGCTCGAGGAATGAATGGAGTAAAATTGTGAAGACAAATCATGGACGTGACTTGGAAAACCTTAAGAGCTACAAGTTAGTTCTATTCGTGGTGAAGGGTTGAAATTTCTATATATTGAGTTGAAAATAGAAATAGCTTCATTCGGCCCTTGTTTTGAGGCCCAGTGCTAGAAAAACTGGGCGTAGTTTGCCAATCAATATTCCCAAATTAGATGGATTTGAAGTGACTGAATATAGGATCCAAGATTGCTAATGGACTTATGACACTGTGCTTCTCATATTGGGCCGTGAAAAATAACACGAGTCCAATCCACTCTTTATGTATGCATTCATTGCTTTAAGTTTCCTACTGGTTAGGGATTGCAAATTTAGCTAACATGTTTATTACCTCCACGTATGGACACCACCCTCTGTAACTTAAATGCTAAATATCACTTCCACCAGGACTAGAAGATTATTTGAGTCTGATAATATTGGGGTTAGAAGCTAAAAGTGATACAATATTCTAATTAAGGAAAATCAATTTCCGAAGTGCATACATATACATCCGAAATGACCTTACCGGTACCCAGATTAGGGATTGGCAGCGCGTATATCCTTGAAGGGTGCTCAATGACGAGCGGGTGGCAGTTTCCCAAGTGAACTGGTATGTTTACTGACAATGGCTTGGAAGTGAACAGATCCTTCTTCTCATGGGCGCTGAGTCTGGCAATCGCTTTTGCTGGATTGATAGCAGATCATAGTCCGAAATGGCTGATCTTGCACAGTTTGAACTTAAAACCCTAAGCGTGGCATGGTGTGGATTTTTTCTCATTATAATTAAAAATAAAAAGTCGGAGAAAAAAAATCCGTTGCATGGACATGTGATCCCCTACAACCATCCAGATTAAAACTAATTCATTGTTATCTGACTTAAATGGACAATCTAAATTGAATTTCCCACTTCCCATTCAAATGGATCCTAATCATTTCATTCAACAGACATGAACCACGAATTCCTCATGTAATCGTCCCTAGCGCTACCCAATCATGACCAGCCATGAAGAATCATTCACTGATCGGCTGATAGCCATGCAGATTTCCCGCGAGTCCTCCGGAAGAATGAAAGCCCTCCGTTCAGACTTGGTCGATTGCAGGCTTGGTCTGACGAAAGAAGAGTCGCCCCTCCACCGGGCCGCCGCCAGCGCACGGCTCGACGAGATTGACGTCTGGTTTCTTCATGACGAATCTCTGGTGGACACTTGGACTCTGCCAAGGTGTCAAACCCCGCCACAAGCATTCACGTTGGACCCGCCACCAACGCTGAGAAGTAAGTCTCACACGCGACGGCACGGGTAGTGGCGGTCCTCTTACGCCACGGCATCGGCCACGTTGACCTCGCTGGCGCGACTCTCGCCCAGTCACGGTTGGAAACGCGGGAATAATTTTGATGGCGTTCATTCGATATGTTCGATTTCCGACCACACGTTAAATACTTGTAGGCATTATCTTCTGATTGTTTTGATCCTTTCCAGGGTTTTTCCCTCAAATTATACGCGAACTTTTCTTTTCTGATGTGGGTCTGGAGATCTTCTTCAAGAAGACTTCTCCAAGATTTCTGTACATGAACCGTAGTTTCCTCTGGTTCACATTTCGATTCTCCATAATCAATAATATCTCATCTGACGAATCTCGGCGAATGTGCATGAAAAACTAATATTACCGGAGGTTGATCATAGATCTCTCAACAGGGATGCTTAAAGGACTAATCTCAACAATTTCTTTAAACCCCCTCACCTTGATGTTTCTTTGGCCTTGTCTTAGATGTTTAGGTACAAGTGTTGATCCGAGAGAGAAAGAAAGAGAGAGAGAGAGAGAGAGAGAGAGAGAGAGAGTACCTCTAGTTTATTCCATACTAATCAATATATGTTCAAATCAGAAGATGATTAGACAATCAAATTCTATGATTAAGTCAGTTGTCAAATGTTTCTTCGTCAGCCCATTAGTTCTTACTTTTTGAAGCTTTATTACCTCACCGTTATGATTCTCATACTCCAATACCCCAAATCTTCTCTCAAGGGATTGTGCAAAGAAAGACCATTCTAATGCGTGGTGTAACTATTTATACAATTTTAATGACTTACCTTTCTGGTAAAAGAAAAATACATAAAATAGTGATGGGTATGAGCATCATAAAGTAAAAACTCTTATTATCCTTTAAACCAAATCTAATGTCATCTTTGCATCCTGCTTGGACAATTCAATCTTCAAAGCCTTTGTTGTGAAGGGTGTCTCCACTATCATAAGTTTTCAATCTTTATGGACCAGTTTCAAGGGACTGCTGCAATTCCAGAATCCTTGAGCATTGGAATTTCATGGGTGATGGCACTGATTTCCTATTGAACGTATTGCATTTCTTACCTGAACATTGCTGAATGATTCTATAACTTGTTAGTGTTGAATCCTTGACTTTGATGATGATCAAAAGAAACTTTTATTTGTGTCCATTGCAAAATACTTCTTTAGTACATAATAACATTTATCAGTTTTAAAAACATTATTTATGGTTAAATAGAAACTTGTGGAAGATAACTTTTTTCCTATACTATTTCAAAAAACCTCATAGTTGAGCAGAGACCTCTATATAGATTGAAATAACATATATTATTTCGACATTTAGTTTCTGATTCTTGTACATCTTGAAAGTTTTACTTAGATATAATGGCTTTGAATGGTAAAAGGGCAAATAGCATAACTCAAGACCCAGCTGTTTGCAATGAGGAAACATGTTGGCTCACTTCATAACACCATAAAGCTTCAACAAGTATGGCTATAAGAATCAAGAAGACATTTATGTATCCCAAACCCATAGCATCAACAATAAAAAGCTTATAGAACAAGTATTTTTAAGAAGTTTAATTAGAGAAGATTTGTTCAAAGAACTAAGAGCATTAGTATTTGAATCCATGCTTAATTGAAAATTTTAAGGTAATTTCCATGTGATGACAATATACAAATTTCTTATATTGTATTTAATTGATAAAAATCTCTTAGATACCACAGTTCAGTAAATTGATTCTTTGAGGATCATTAAGGTTTTCTTAAGTAAATGATTTTATTAGTAAGCTAAAATATGTTTTTCTTGGCACTCAATCAGGATTTAGGATTTGGTCCTTGTACAAACTCTATATCTCCATTTAATATATATATATATCTATATATATATATTTCGAATGGTATAAAGCTTAATGTGAATGAAAATTAGGCTCTATATCCATTAAACAATTGATGAACATGTCATGAGGTTTATTTTCTCATGATGATTTGACTAATTACCAACTTGTCGATACCTTGTGCAAATCCCTTTTTTTTTTTACTTATTCTTCTGATTCAAATGCATATGAAGTGGTATTGAGAGGTAGCTTTCATTTTAGTTTCACTTATTAGAACTATGTATACATAAGTTGTGCAAAAAATCCTTCAATAATTATATCCCAAATAATTTCTTTATTTATATTTTATTGCCAACTCGTGAACAAGAAACAGACTCAAACGTTAATTGTGTTATCAATTGTAGGTAACACCCATGACCTAATTGTCAATCTTAGATCACTATGATATAAAAAATTCAAGAAGATATATATATATATATTTATATATCTAAAGTCATTTTATTGTCAATCTTAGATCACTACAATATTTTATGCCAATACCATCATCAAAACTAGGAGTTGCATGCTCCTTTAGTTTAACCTTTATTTTAAAAAAAAGGTCCTCAATAGAATGAGATCATGTTGAGATAATGCTGATGCTCAATGATATGAACCCTTGAGGATATGTACAACAGAATATTATCCGTCATTTTCATTGCCAAGCTTAAAATGTTTGATAGCTTTTTGTACTATTATTAAGGTCAAAACTAAGAGTTCAGTGATGAGAATGCTCTTTCAATTCAATAATTGAAAAGAAGAGATATTTCCAATCAAATTAATAGTAAACTGATTGGAGATTCAGCTAGACATGGCTAGTTGTGTTAGGCCCAAACTTGAATCATAGAACTAGGATGATTTGTGGACTTAAGAATGATATGTGAATGTGATATTTGATCACCAATCATTCACTCTTGGAAATATATCTTTAATAGCGAAGTATGATGTAAAAATTTATTATGTGATATCCTAACTTGTATATATCTTGTTATCTTTTTTCCAAATGTAGATTTAGTATAAAGTTTGCCAATTTCTTATCATTGTGTTTAGTTCCTCATAAGGAAGCATGATGTCAACAACAAGATTTTCAGAATCTCATTTCAAGAACAATAAATTAAGAATAATTTTTTGTTAGTTGTCATTACTAAATATCTTCAATACATATTTTCCTTGTCATGATTTCTATTGGGTGAGATATTTACCAAAAAAATTATAAATATAACATAATTTAGAAAACATTCACATTTTCCAATCACATTTGACTTTTAAGGTAATACTTCATAATTAGATATTGCAATGTTGGTGTTTCAAATGGGCCCTTCTTCATATAAGGAAGCACAATATTAAAGAAGAACGTACATTATATTCATACGTATTTTTTAAAATTAAATATATTTACAACTTTGTTGAATACGTTAACATTTTAAAATCATCTATTTAATCTTAACCGGAATATATTCTCCTCCAATCAGAAATAACTGAAATTCCTCCTCAAATCTCAGTTCATTATCCTTTGGTCACAAAGTTCATCATGAGGATTTGGTCAAAGGTTATTATCCGTTGGTTATAGATTTTTCCAATATTTGTTAGCCTTTTCCATGATGTAAGTTATCAATAACATCATGATCTAGATATATTATCATGTTTCTTACATTTCGCTTCCAATAGTGCAATCCTAGATTATCAAATTTAGCTTTATTTTATGCACTAAATTCTAAATATCTATATATATATGATTTTTCTATTTTAGATCAGTTTTTAGCAAATATATATGTTAATCATATGAATGAATCAACGAGTCAACTGTGATATTTCAGTCAATAGTCTATCCAAGTAATGAACAACTATGGTCAAGGATACATAAATTTAATATAATAATTCTTGGGTTTCTTGTGAAATCATCTTTGGCTGAGGTAGAACCGATTTTTTTCTTGGTTGAATGACAGCGATGGTGAGTCAAAGCAAGCGACAAGACCATGCTCTAAGCAGACATGTCAGCCTCCTCCTTTCCCTTCAAGGCAATAATCATGTTCATCGTTCAGACTTGACCACCCATCAATTGACCCGGCGGAGAGACGGTTGACCAAACCGTGGCCACTCGCAAGCCGCCACCAGACAGGGGACTCATCCAATGTCGGCGCCGGCGATGGGCCCGCCACGTGGAGAAGAAGAACAAAGCCTACGCTGTCGGACAGGCCAGGGGATATGTCTCCGGTGGCTGATTTTCTGGCAAGATATTATTGTGGGCCCCAGCTGTTCACTCTGAGCTAATCTGGCGCGTCATCAAGGGGCGCGGCGGGACATGACACGACTTGCCACGTGGCTGAGAGTCTTATCTTCTCACAGCTGGAGGCCGCACTAAAAATATCTACTGTGGCGCCGAGGTGGATGAGGATGAGCACGCCACGTCAGGAAGGGGTTTTGGCCCTGTGGCTCTCGGTGAGCTTGGCTCTCTCTCTCTCTCTCTCTCTCCCGCCCTTTTCTCTCTCTAAGGGACGTTGGGCTCGAGCTTAGGAGGCCTTTATCCTCCATGTCACGTCCCCACCACGGAATTATAATAAGCATCACAAAAATACTTCCTTACCCTCGAGAAAAGGATACATGTACAATTACATTGAATTCGGTGTTAACTGTTGATTAAAGTTATTGATATTTTATTAATTTTGTCATTAAAATTAATCCGTCCTGCCCGCGGCGGGGGGGGGCGCGGTTCCTCTATATATAGCTGTCGCTCGTGGCAGAGTTCGCAGAAGAACGGTCGTCTGTGGGAGGCTCTGTGGAGGCAGCCGACAGCTTTGGCTTCGTCGGAGGTGGAGATCGTGGCGATGGTGCAAGAGGCAGCGAGGTTCGCCGGCGCCGGGGGGCTTCACGAGTCCGCGCTGACGGTTACCGGCAGGAATTTCGCCGGCGACTGCGGCGGCTACGGCGTCGGCGATGGGGGATACTTCTCGACCCGAGGAAACACAGCTCCCGATGCTCGCGTGGTCACCTCTGGTGGCCGGAGCATCCCCGTCCACTCCAGCGTGCTGGTTAGTCGTCGTCGTCTTCCTCTGCGTCGTTCCTCCTCGATTTCTCCGCTTCCTGATGATGGCAAGGATGGAGGTGGGAAGGGAGGGGAGGGGATGCTCTCGCCTCGAGATCTGTCTGTACTTTGCATCTCTTGATTCGGTTTCCTCCGTTGCTTGCTCCTGGATGAAGGGAAGTAGAAGTGGTGGTAGCGTAGGAAACTTTCTGGTTGCCGGCTCCGTGTCCATTCATTCAGAGATTTCCGCCTCTTGATGTGTGGACCGGAGTAGGCGAGCAGGAGGGCTGTACTGCAGATTCTCCCTGCGGATGGTTTCGTCGCTTATTCTTCTTCTTTTTTGTCGGTACTCCTAACTCTGTTCTCGGCTTCTCACCGTCTCGACCTCAACTCTTTGCAGGCGATGGCGTCTCCGGTGTTGGAGGCCGCGCTCTTTGACCGGCGGCGCAGGGTTGGGAACTCAGACAAAGCGCCTCCGGCGGTTCCCATCCTCGGTGTCCCCTGCGACGCCGTCTCGGCCTTCATCAGATACCTCTACGAGACCAGGTCCGACTTCTTCTCCCTCGTCCCTCCGCGTGAAGCTCGGTCGCCGGTTAACGTCTGCGACTGTCCTATTCAATTCGGTAGAACGATTTCTTCTAACCGATGCCGGGGTCAGATCCGGTCTGTCCGTCGCTTCCACGGAAGAGAAAGGAAACCTCGCAAGCGTTCGTCCTGGTTTCGCTGATAGAAGGAACATATGATCTCTCTTCTCGTCTTCGACCCCGGAGACTAGTTACCTGCATCTCCCAATTGCCCATCCACATATCCCTTCTTCCGTTTTCCTATTCCCCACAGAGATCTCCGCTTCCCAAAGACGCTAGCGTCTGATGTGTGGAGGGCTCGTCCTCCAGATGCCGATGATAGGAATCCTCTGCCGGCGCTGATGGTGGGGAGATGTGGGCCGCTGCAGGTGCACCAGCGAGGAGATGGAGCGGTATGCGATGCACCTCCTGGCGCTGTCCCACGTCTACCAGCTGCCCCGCCTGAAGCGCGCCTGCGTGGGGTCCCTTGTGGACCGGCTCGACGCCGAGACGGTGGTCGACGCCCTCCAGCTGGCGCGGCTCTGCGACGCCCCGCGGCTCTACGTGCGGTGCATGAAGCTGCTCGCCGCCGACTTCGCCGCCGTCGAGAAGACCGAGGGATGGCGATTCCTACAGGCCAACGACCCCTGGCTGGAGCTCGAGATCCTCCAGGCCCTTCACGAGATCGACCTGGTAACCCTCACCGGCGACGACGACTTCCCACCATTCGATTCCTTCCCTCACATCTGCGGGGTATCATCCTCTGATCTGATTGCCCCCTGCAGAGGGAGAAGAGGAGGGCGAGGAACAGGAAGGCGCAGAGCGTGTACCTGCAGCTGAGCGAGGCGATGGAGTGCCTGCGCCACATCTGCACTGAGGGGTGCACGGAGGTGGGCCCCCACGACGGCGACCGGCCATGCCGGAGCAGGGGGCCCTGCCCCTGGTTCCGCACCTGCCAGGGGCTGCAGCGGCTGATCCGCCACTTCGCCACCTGCGAGAGGAAGAAGACGACGGCCACTGGCGGCGGCTGCGCACAGTGCAAGCGCATGTGGCAGATCCTCCGCCTCCACGCCTCCGTCTGCGACCAGCCCGAGCCCTGCCGCGTCCCCCTCTGCAAGTAAGCTTTGGAAGCAACACTGCCCCCTTGGCAGCTACCTGCTCCTCCTCCATTCCTTCATTTCCCCTCACCTTCGCTGCTCCTCCCTGCAGTCAGTTCAAGCTGAGGACGCAGCAGCAGACGGGGAAGAAGGGGGACGACGACGCAAGGTGGGGGCTGCTCGTGAGGAAGGTGGTATCTGCGAAAGTGATGTCAGCTCTGGCAAGAAAGACCAACTAAGAGTGGGTCCTCACCTGGAAAGTGATGTCGGCATTGACCCCACCCTCCTCCGGATGAATGTTCTCTCACCGACGGCGGGCCGGAGGGGTTAGTGATCGTTAATTTTTCTTTCCTATTATGTCCAATTCTTTATTCCTTCCTGTGTGCAATTACAGTGTCTGTGAGAAAAAAAAAAAAAAAAATTCGTAGTGAGCGTGAACTTGCCGCGGCATTTTCGACCTGCTCTTCCCTTTTTTATTTCTTTTATTATTTCCGCGATAAACAGAACGAGAAACATCGATTTTTTTTCTGAAACCCTTGGTGGGTTTAGGGGTTCACCGGAGTGCCCTTCTTGCCTTCTCCTATCCGGGATGAACTCGGTCATCCTGATGATGCCACGTGGCGCCACCGTAGAGCTCTCCCTGGGTCGATGACGCTCTTGATGGGGGGGGGGGTGTTTGTGCCACAATACTTGCCGGTTGATCGCGGCGGCCAAATAATTAATGATTAAAAACGGAGATTTGGTCCGTCACTTGTTGCCAACCGACGAGATTCCGACCTGCTAAACGTGAAATGGTGGCGGTGATGACGATGCTGATGATGATTGATGGATGTTCCCCGGACCTTCTTTCGTATTTCCTCATCCATCTCCACGTTTAAAAGGCTGGAGATTCGTTGCTAGAGACCATGTTGTCCTGGTTCCCATCTCTCTCTCTCTCTCTCTCCCCACGATGTAAGCGAAGGAAGAATGCCTAACAGCTTTTGTAGGATGAAGCTATTAACTTTTGAAGCTTTTCTAATTTTGATGTTAGTAACATGCATGTAAGGGTAATATGATCATTTTATATCGCCAAATTTTCTATTTAGTGTTTAAAAATATATGGAAAATAAGCTGTAGATTGTATGCATAACCTGTTATCCTTTTTAATTTCCGAAAAAAGAGTTGACTCACTAGAAAAAATAAGTTTATACACTCAATAATGAAGAACATTATATGGGAGTATAAAGTTAATTTTACATTGCCAATATGATTCTACTATATTTTATCAACTTGAAATATCATATTTTAACGTCTGAAAAGAAATAGTGTTTTAGATTTATTACTTTCAAAGTTTGTCCTTACTTCTTTGTAATATGTCAGTAGATTCCCTTATTGATTGAAGTTTTAATAATAATATGTCTAACTTTGTCAACCCACTTAGTGGAGAAAATGTCTTAATGCTAAAAGTAACTAAGATACTACTCACATGGAGTCAACTCACTTAGGAAGATAAGTAACAACAAATTGTAAATAAGACAATATAGGGGTATAAGAGTAACTTTCTACTAGAAACATACTATAATATTTGTATAACACATAAATATTTTATTTTTAATTTATTAGAATGTTTGAGAAAATATAAAGCATTTAAGATGTGTTATCTATGATTCAAGAAGTGAATCCAATTAGTACATGGTAAGCATCAACACTACGAAACAAATTGACATTAAAAAAAAAAAAGTGTTATAGTATAGATGACTAGTTGTTGGTGAATAGTCAGTGGAGTGACTATTGAAAATTGAGTATTTTTAAGGTTAAAGGTCCAACAATCAAGAAGAAGAGTTTCTTACAAAGGATTTTACACTCTTAGAATAAAATTTTCAAATCATTTCCAAGCATTTAAAGTGGTTTCACACCAAAAATAATTCGTGCACCATGGGCTCATGCATCCATACTTCAAGAGATAATTTTTTCTATCATTTGACAATTGTACTTTCACATATTCAAGGTGCATAAGTTGTTGGCCTATTGCTCTAGAGATTGCATACTAATCTCTAAAATCTATCAAAGACAAGCTCAGTATCAGCTAGTTGGGTTGATCTAACACTTTCAATATGTTGGCTTTAAAGGATACTATAAGTTGTGACTTAAAATATTATTTTACACCTATAGTTACTTAGTTCATTATAGGTAAGGCGTGTCTTGTCAAGCTGGTTAACCTACATCCAATGATATCTTTGTCATCAGTAGTGGTTGAGTCTTATTTATATCTGGTGAGTCAACTCATTTGATCACTAACAATATTAAGCACTCTTCAAATATCATGAGTGAACTCATTTACCTAGCTAGTAACATTAATGAACATTCTTCATATGAGGTTTGCTGAGTCACTCCTTTTCAATCACATTGCCTTATTATTAGCAAGAATAACTAACTATTTTACCAACAAACCTCATGTGATTTGGAGGCTATGTGCAAACTTTTGTTTGTTTTCCTATTCATGAAAGGGGAGCCTCCTCATTTGGTATTAAAAGTTTTTACAATCATAGTGACTAGCACACTTGGTAAGAAAAGTCATATCACTTTGTAATAATAATTTTCACAATAAAAATGATGGAGGGCTTTTATATTTTCAGTTGACTCACTTCACCAAGATGCCACACAAATAAAGTGAGTCAACTTATTCAGTACAAAGAGTCTCAACACTTCTGATAGCCAAGAGAAAATACAATACTATAATAGAAATTTCATGTCACAAAATATTTGCACAACCTCAAATCAAGACACAACATTATATTCTAACTATTGGAAAAGTCAAGTATTTGGGATTTATTTTTTGAAATTCTTATGATTTTACTTCTTTGTTAGAAGTAAGTTAAATAATGAATCTGCTCACTTAGCATAAAGAAGATATTAAAAAGACAATTAGTGTTGTATTGTGGACTAGTTATCAGTTAGCCTGTAAATCGTCATTAAAACAACCACTAGAAATAGTTATTTTAAAATGATTCATGATCAAAATTGGAGAAATTTATTCTATAAAATTATTAAACCCTCCAACATTCAAGATGTCACTCCAAAATTTACAATTTTCCATCATTCTCATATATTGAAAGTTATGGAACAAAGAATCTATGGGAATTACATCTACACTTAGTGAAAGGTATCATAAAATTAAAGGAACTTCGTTCTATTATTTGATAAGTGTATTTTAATACTTCACGTGCTTAAGCTAATGTAAAGATGTAAACTTAGAAAAGGTTAGTTGAGCATCATCTGATTAGGCATTGTACAATTATAAAATTAAAATGCATTTCATAGAATGCTTTGGTCAACTAGAGTTGTTAAGTCTAATGGAAGCTTGCTTAATTATTTATGTTTAGTCAATTGCACTAAAAAGTGTTAGTAGCACCTTAGGACACGATCTTTAGAGATTGGAGTTTGCCCAATTTTATGAACAATTATGAAATTTTGGTTCTTATTTTCATTTTTTTTAGTTTGCATAGTTGGTAAACTCAATTGGCCAACAGTAACTCCCCCGTCTAGTTGCTTAGATAAACTTTTGAGAAAAAACAAGTTACTAGATTCCTGGATTTATTCCTAGATAATTATTAATGCTTCAATATTACTTTAGAAGTTATATGTCAATCTCCAAACACTAATTGAACTATCATGTCACCCTTGCCTACAAGGTAATGGTCATCCTCCAACTAGCTTGAAAGCTCCAACTCACCATATTCCTGATTGTGAACTATATTTTAGGACATAATTCAACTTGAGTAATGCAGTTTTAATTTCAAATTGATAACTTAGGACATAATTCATAACAAAGTATAAATTAAAAATTAAAAATGTTTAATTTAATTACTTATAATCCAAATGTTATGTATTTTTCATCAAGACAATTACAATTTTCATGTGTAGTGTTAAATTCTAATATATGTTTCTCTAGCAATTTAAAATCATTAGTTGAGACGACTAGAAAAGTTCAACAATCCCTTCATTCCAAAAATTATTTAAATAAATACTACATTAATTATTCAAAGACATTGTAACAATCAATTAGGAATATATTAATCCTCAATCAGCTTCTTGATTAAAACCTTGGAAGATTTTTCCAATTTATTATTTAAACCATTAAAATAAGCTACTTAATTAAATCATTTATTCTTTCTATTACATATAGTCTGATATTTTCAAGATAAGTGATAAAATCTAAATTAAAACTATCAAATTAAGAGAATTACACTCAACATATGATAATACATTAAGCATTATCAATAGACATGAAACTTCTAACATCATCAAGATCAAAGCAAAGAGTTTCATGATGTCCAACATTTTGATGATGGCATATTCAATAAAAGTTAAATAGTCAAAATTGATGGAAACTTCCTCTTAAAACTTGTAATACGTTGGCTTAAAATCTGAAAATACATCATAAATCGACTTAAAACCCACTAAAATGCAACTTGGTACATTATGTGTTAATTAATCAAGATAATAAATTTGATAACATTATTACTTACTAAATATCAAATGCCATAACATATGAAACTAAATATATATAACATAGGTGCTTTGACAAGCATGAAAAAGGTGTAATGTAACTACCCAAAGTAAAATTATTTTCCTACAAAGTATAGTGTTCTAATTTTTTTGGTTTAGATTCTTCTAAATTTCTGCTATATATGCTAAAATTCATGTCAACACATCAGAAATTATGTGCATTATGAAAAAATATAATAAGCCTCATTTCAGTTTACAAGAATTTACGACAATACCTAGCTTCACATAAGTACAAGAGAAGTTGCATTACATAATCATACGTATTGAAGTTTTTTATGCTGTTAAATGAGAATTTATATTATAAAACAAAGGAATATATCAAGCTTCATCACAACACAATAAGTTATGTTTGAGAATAATAGATTATATCAAGTTTCATATGAAATTATGTTAGAATGAATGAAGTATCTCAAGCTTAAGATTTTAATATATTAAAAATATGAAACCATACACAAATAACATAGTACGTCAATTACAGCATTCCAATACATGAATTCACACTATGATAATTTTTTATATAAACTTTGATGTAGGAGAACATCCAACAAAGAGTAAGATGAAAACTTCCAGATGTAGATGGCTAGAAATTGATGTGCCAAACATTTTCAAAGCGTGAAGGATGGACCATAAGGATGAGATAACCAAAAATCAAATCAGGCCCATAGTAAAACACATCAAGGACTAGTGTCGTTATTATTTTTTATATATTTCTGAATTTTATTAACAGCATTTTTAATATATTATAAGCATTTTTATAACTGATCCAACTTTTTAGGGCCATCCCAATTGAATTTAGGTCCATTAAAAGGCCACTGCATAGTAACCCTACCATAATTCTTTTTTCATACAAGCTTTTTCCTCTTCGAGGTTACTCTCTCTCTCTCTCTCTCTCTCGCTCTCTCTCTCTCTCTCACACACACACACGATTTGTGAATTCAAACATCACTCTTGTGGATTCAAGAGCCTCCTCATCAAGGGTAAATGATTTGAGTATTGAAGTTTTCATGTTCTACACCAAACTTGTATTGTAAAGTATACAATATTTATGTTGACGAGCCAATATATAGACTTCTACTATTTTAATATCGTATATGTGAATCTATATATCTTAGTATATGATATTATTATATTTTTTATATAGTTGCTTGGATTTTACAAGAAAAGTATATTTCTAAATTTCTTCAATCATAGCACAAACCAAGGGGAAATATTGAAACTTTATATTTTCGACCTTGCAGCCAAAAATTCTTTGTTTACTTAACAAACACTTTGCTTGATTATTTCTTGTGTATATATTTACTAAGTTTGAATGAGTATGTGATAACTAAGCAAAATCCAAATTTGTCTATGAAAAGCTCAGTTTTAAAAACTTAAATCCAACCATGTGGAATCTTGGTGCTTACTTTGGCAAGTCATTTAAAGGTATTACTTCCACTGAACCATTAAAGGAGTTATTTAATCTTAATAGCAAATGCTTGATCCTCTTAAAGTTCACCTGACCATGCAAAGCATGCAAACTTGATCTAACTTATCATAGTTATAGGACTCATAATACCTATACTTGCACTTATTTACCAACACATAAAAATAACTGAGAAAAGACCTAGATTTCAATAACCTAGATTTCAATAATTCAATGATGACCCAAGAGGCTAACTCAATGCAGTCCAAGGTGAAAGGCATGCTACCCTATCCAAGCAGATTGCAAAAGAACCACACAAGGGAGAAGGGAGGTGCTGAAGGTGGGCAATGAAAGAGAATCATATTCTCACATTGGATCAACCACATTGACTTACAGAGAATCATACACTAACAAATAGGACCCTAACGCAGTCTTATAAGAGAAGGATTATGCCAAGATGATATATAGTTAAATTGAGATAAGAATGCCCTCTCCAGTATTATTTGATATAAACTTAATTATATATTTATATTTAATGCATAAGATTTATAGAACAGAGTTTAGTACGATAAATATCCACGTTGAATCTCAGTAAAACATGTAGTATTTCCCAAGGATTTGACGAAAATATACTAGCTCTTTAATTCAAATCTTTTCACTGCATGAATTCCGTCAAAAATTAGTTCCAAATCCAAACAATGAGTCATTCGACTCAGAAAAATCAACAGTTAGAGAACACAAAGGTTGGCATACCCAGTTATCACGTTGACCCATTGGACTGGGAGAGGAATCACCACATCCATGGAGGAAAACAGCTCAATAACTACGACCCCAGTAGGTCCACTTCTTGGCAGGCTTTCCGGAAGCAAAGCAGAGGGTCCCTGCATAGGAGGCGGTTTGGAGTGAGAATATGTTATCTTAAAACTACTTTTTTTCCTAGCTGGCATATCAGCCAAAGTCAACTTTGCTTGAAATGTCAATAACCGCACAAAAGAATTGTCGAAAGAGAACGCCTCTGATCCGCAGAACATGACAGAGAAGAGAGAAGACCGAAACTGAAGAGAGAAACAAGGTCAAACACAAACAGAAGCATATTTTCGTCAAGTCCAGCAAGCATATCACCCAAAGTCAACTTTGACTGAAATGTCAATAACCGCACAAAAGAATCGTCGAAAGAGAACCCCTCTGATCCGCAGAACATGACAGAGAAGAGAGAAGACCGAAACTGAAGAGAGAAACAAGATCAAACACAAACAGAAACAGATTTTCGTCAAGTCCAGCCATCATGAGGTCCGTCCCCATTACGCCAGACGAAGTGCCCCTTCGAGATAGGAGCGCAGGGCAACCCTGTCCAGGGTTGGACGTCTCACGATTTAATTAATTCGGCCACCTGGTTCAATTCTTATTCAGGTTGATTTGCAAATGCCTCCAGTTTTGTCCCCTCACAAATATCTGGCATCAAGTGTCAACGATTGAGGAAATATCTGATCTCAATCAAAAGATCTCTGACTCCCAGTCTGGCTAGCAATTAGGCCCATCTCACTATATTCTTACTAAGAGCAATTCCAATAAAATCAGATTCTGCTACTTGAAATCCGATCATTAAAAGCTCAAACACCGAATGGAATACTGTCCGCTGTGCAATCCTGATCGCAATACAAACTTCGACGATTAGCACGATCCATCCCCCATGATCTTAAAAAAAGAGGGTGCGAACGATCTCAGCCTCGCTCTAGTGAGAGGTTCAAGTTGGGAATTACTTGGGAGAAACAAAGAATAAGTATCAGCTAGTCCACATAAGAACGATTCTTCTCTGATAAAACAATTTAAAAGCAAATGATTGATCCCCTTACCGGGTTATTTCTACCTTCAGCTATTATACTTATCCAACTTATTTTCATTTCAACCCTCCCAAACAGAGAAAACCTAAAGCGCATCTGCGGATAATAGCCACCGATATAACGCCAAGCATCTGAATCATTCACAATCTTTGCATGGTAGATATTTTGTTTGCAATCTACGTTTCATGTACAGTGAAATATCCTTCTTTTCCACAAAACCCAATCTTTCTCCGCAATAGATTCAGCCTATTTAATATCATACATAAGAATGATTTACCTCTTAACAAGAATAGCTAGTAAACGAAAGATTAAGCTAAAAAAAAAAAAGCCCGCGTGTTTGAATGATTATCAACGTGCATATTGTAAGAAAGTTATAGCTATTTACAAGAATAGCATGCAAAAATAAAAGAGAGGATATGATTTACCTTCAGGAAGTTCTGGCTGATCAAATGGGGTGCACAGCGACTTTGCTGCTCCCATTTCACCCTTTGTCCGTGCTTTTACATCTTTTTCTACTTCCTAAGATAGCATAACCAAAACCATAACAAAAAATGAGTTGTGTTTTTTTCTTTTTTCTGGAGAACAATAGAGAATATAGAGGGATTTGAACTTCCGTGCATGCTTTGCCCTTCGATGCTCATATATCATGTCAGTCCTCTGATTTAGATAATTTTAGCAGCATGAAAGAAAAACAAGCAAACAAGAAAGTAAAAGGGCAGGGATCATATTGTTGATGAGTAGGCAATCAGGCCATGACAGGTGTCTTATTCTATGGGATGAAGCAATACATTCCATAATATGCCAATTCGGCTATCAGTCAACAGACAATTTAAGCACAAAAACATGTTGACAGAAAGTAATCATCACAACCTCGCATATTACCCTTCAAGCATATTTAAAACGATTAACTAGATTCGTGTCGTATCACACTAGGAGCACTCGTACATACACCTATTAAGACAGTTAAGAAAAAACATTCTAATAATAATAAAGCCGAGGAGAATATGGTGTAGCTATATTTATGCTAGTTTTCACTCAGGAAGAGCCGTCAAAAAAAGATGGCAGAACAATGGACTAAAAGAAGTTAGATACCTCCTCATCACACCATGGAGCCAGGATCATTTTCTTATCATTGAGAGCAACCGCAAATTCATCCCATGTATGAACCTTCTGAATACAATCATCCCTCTTTTCCTTTGCTTTGTTAAACAGACTCTCATGGATGTTCTCCAAGATTTTCTTGACTTGCTCAACTAAATTGTCCATAGCTATATCCTGCTTACTACCATCATCACGTCGAACAACACGTACCTGTAAAATCAACGAAAAACAAATCATATTTCAGAGAGATGGTCGAACATTCAACCTGAAGAAGACAGAAAAAAATTATTTTGATCTCGTGTAACAAACGAAATTAACCCCAATACAGTAACAAGAGAGAAACACAAAACAAAAGAAGCGAGGTGTGAAGAAACGTGACAGATATTGTAAAATGAGATTCCAATATAACAACTTTCCCGGTCAATAATTCCTCAATAAAATGAATAATAACAAGAAATAGTACACCTTAAACTTTGTCTATGATAAATGACATATCCAGATGTTATTTTATAGTTTCCACTATGCTGACGTTTGACAAGTATGAGAATTTGGTATTATTTTACATGAAAGCTAATTTTTCAACAGGAAAAATGAGACTACAATTCCAGCCACCTATTTTCACTCCGATCTCCTTGACACATGAAGGAAACATCATAATATTTAATTGATATTTTGCTCAGAAAAGCGAGACTACCTGTTTATTGGCCAAGTCTTTAGGGCCGATTTCAATTCTTAATGGAACACCTTTCATTTCCCAATGAGAATATTTCCAACCAGGAGAATAATTATCCCTTAAATCAGCCTCAACTCGCAATCCTGCAGCACTAAGTAAGCTCACTGTTGAAGAGCAGGCATTGAATATGCCTTGTGTATCTGCATCCTTGTACGGCACTGGGATCACAATGGCTTGGACAGCTGCCACTTTAGGAGGTAAGACAAGGCCTTTGTCATCTCCATGAACCATTACCATTACACCAATCTGCAAGAAGAATTTAATGTGAGTTTCCACATACGATTTAACTTCGAACTGAACCAAAAACTCCGAAAAACCCTATTATAACTGAGACACCAGAAAGAAAAGAACTGCAGGTAGAGAGCTCGGACGTATTAGAAAGATTAGTCAGTGAATAATTTGGATGAAGCGTAGTTCCTAGTCACATATTAATGGCCCATAGTCGACTAATGAAGATTGATCTGAGTTTTCACAGAAAAAACTAAAATCACAATAGTATGAATGAACTTTAAAGAGGGCAGTCTGATCTTTAGACACCTTGCGACTTTTGCTGTACCAAAAAGGATTTGATAAACTTTCACCGGAGCGAACACCTCACTAACTATCTTTTGTTTCACGAGTATTAGCATTTCTCAACAAAATAAATGGTTCCAGTTACCCATTGTTAACAGAAAGTGATATATGGACAATTACCGTGCGAGTACTATAGGCCCAGGAATTCTGCCAGACCATCAATTTCTCTCGACTTTCATTCTCAAAGGTAATCTGAAACATTTTTGCAAAATTTTGTCCAAGACAATGTGATGTCGCACCTTGTATTCCACGACCTGTGTTTGGGATGAAAGCCTAAGAAGAAGAAGAAATGATTGATAAGAATAGATTAAAAAAATAAAAGTACTGCACCAGGAATATATATATTTCATACACATTATAGCTTTAAATTTTTGAAGTACTTATTACATACCTCAACACTTGTTGTGTATAGTCCACCAGCAAATTTTTCTAATTCACTTTTCTTCCCTTTGATAACTGGAATCGCCAGGTATTCCTCATATATTCTCCGGTAGAGCTCAAGTATCTCAAGAACCTAGACTCATGCAACATTTACCAGTTGAAACCGAAAACAATGAATGAGGAGATTTTAGGATCAATCTATGTTCCATTCAGAATTTAAAACGAAAAATGATAAGTTTCCCTAGGTTATTTCAATAAGAATACACATTCACGCAAGCAACATCTACAGATTCATTTCTTTTAAAATGGAAGAACCTCCAGCAAAGGTATGCAGATGGCTAGCCATCTACTAACTAGATACAATCATACATATCTGTTAAATATAAACCTATCGTAAAAGAACATAACCTGCTCTGATAAGGAAAGAAAGTAATAATGGTGCTCATTGCTGAGATGTTATCAGCTCGAAATTTTGAGGCTTAGATCAAGGCTAACTGAAAATGGATGGCACTGTCATGAACTTACCAAAAGTTAAACGTTAAGCAGAAAATACAGTAAAGGTAGAAATCAAAACTACTGTTCAGAATCAGGTCAGATATTTAGGAGATGGCTGGTCATCAGGCCAATCAATAGGTATACTAAAATCACTAACGCAGAAGCAGCTTGGTCGTGCATAACTCTGCCCAGAAGATATCCAGATATTTCTTCTGGCACTTTACTAGCAAGTTGTCGAAAGAAGAACTAGTAAAAGAAGCTTCTAACATTTGTTGTCAATTCCCATACAGTAATTTTAATCCGAGTCTGGACAAACCATTCCACATCAATGCTGCCAAACCACAAATATCTGAGGATTCGTCATGGTATTATCCAGGATGAGAAACATGGGATACAGAGACCTGATTAATGATTTCTATGAAGATACCGCAGAAAACACACTTCAAGGTATCCCGATGAGTGATTTTATGTTCAATTCCAATATGAGCTTCTGATGAGAATTTTCAGAAAGAAAATTATCTTGATTGGAAATAGCTTGTTCAAGTCACCATTAAAAACCAGAATGCCCCGTTCTTATATGTTTTACTTCATGATCTACTTAAAAGACCACTTTTTTTCATCAATTACTTTACTCAAATATATGTTGTGGACAAAGTCCAGCTGTTATAAATTCGTCTGTCGCCAGATTTCATATTATAGAATCAGCCAATACTTGACAGATCAGATTCTGTGACAATCAGGTCCAGCTCAGTCAGTCATCCAATGTGATGCCATGTGATGCCATCTGCCATCGTCTGGAAACTACAAGAGGAAGAAATGAGATGTTGCTAGGCCTAAAAGAACAGATTTCGAGAGAACCCATCACCCTAATGATGATTGCAGCCATAGACCGTGTTTGCCATCCAAAAGGGGATGCAATATGCATTTTTACATAGCCTTACATAATGTCACAAAATTTAATGGTTCAATACAAACCCCACGACAGATTTACCAAACGAAAGAGGAGCAACCATATCCCATTATCAACCCTGGCCTTACCATTGGTTTCAAATTAATAATGTTATCAGCATATTTGGATCCTGGATCTAAATTCACCCCTTCATTCTGACTACCCCAATAAAACCAGCAACTTCTACCTTCCCGCACAATGAACCACATCTACCCCATAACCACAAAAATACTGGCCAATATGGGAACTATGCCTCAGCATACGTTTCACACAGATGACTAATCGCCCACTTGATGAAATCTAATTGGTAGCATGAATTTAGAGCCTGTTGAGACATAGATCACTCAGATATAGGCCTAAAATCTCTCAAAAGTAGCATACAGCCTTTGCTGATGCATTGCCCTATAGTCACTGTGTAGACAAGATGTATCTGCTTGACATGGCAGCTGAGTGACTAATGTACAATTTAGATAAGTATGAAAGCCTACCCCAACCCAAGTGAAACTCAGAGTAAATATCTTCATTTCCTTAAAACAATAACATTGAATCTACTATCAAAATCGATTCACTTATTGAGTTCCTTTTCGACTTTCGGTGGTCAGAATGAAGGTGATACACTAATGAATAGAAAATATACTATATTTTCAAAGTAAGCCACAGGAAGTTAATAAAGAAATATTCATACTTCTTGATCCGCTTCATCTTTTGTTGCAAACGCTGTATGACCTTCTTGCCAAAGAAATTCGCGACTCCTAGAATAATGATCATAATATCAGCATAAATATTTGTTACAACAGACATATTATCAATATTTATGTTAACATGTAAGCATCCGTGGGTGCCAGAAATGTGAGCTAACACAATGAGAAAGAGAAACACGGAAATGAATTTTATAATTAGATTGTAGATTCGGTTAAGATTTTTCCATGAGCGAACCGCTACATCAGTGTCCCCTTAGCTATACAACTTACATCATTAAATGGTAGAATCAGTTGTCGTTAAATGGAATAAATCTAAAGAAACATAGCAAGTGACAAAAGAAAGTAGAGACAAGAAAGTGAGTTTCGAAAAGTGGAGTATACGTCTAGTTTTGAGGGAAGATAATTACTTTCCGGATTAACTGATTTCTCAGGAAAAAAAATCAGTTTTGGTAGAATCCCAGGTAAAATCCATGAAGGAAAAAAAAATATTCAATAAGATGGGCCAAAAGATTCCAACGTGTCTGGAATCAGTCCCATTGTTAAGGGATTACTTCACACTGCTGTCAGAGGTCCACTACTGTAGCGTCAGTGCGATTTCGGTAATACTTATCAGGCGATCTGCTCACCCCCCCCCCCCTAGAATGACGTCACAGGAACCACACCAATACCCATGCGTTTTTGTACAGGGATAATACGCTTTCGTTTGGTATTCTGATTTATTAATTTATTTAGCATTTGTTACCTATCACGTCCATCAAGAAATGTGAAATCTTAAAAATCTTTTTCCTGTTACTTCTGGGCACGTGATATTCATGCAAACACTAAAAATATTAACGCAATGAATATCAGGATTCAGCGATTACTGAGATGGGGAATAGGACTTCCTCAAGACAAATATTGGAAAGGGAACGAAAGGTTTGCATCTGTGTGCCTTCATACATGAAGCTGGAAGAGGTTGAATGAGCTACACGAGCATGAACTATTTTATTTATTTTTAAAACATTGCATATTTTCTCACTTAGGCGATTAATATTACATCCACATCCCAAAAACTCCAGCTAAGAAACTAACCACGACATAAATAAATGCAATACCTACACACTCCACAACATGGATGAGTGCATTTTCGTATTCCTAAGGTAGAATGTGCCCAGAACATCGGATACTGGACCAATTTATTTTTCCAGGAATAAAGTCAGGCAGAACTTTGCCAGACTAGATGATAATAAGGTGAATAAATTTTTCGTTTTCTACTAATCATGTTTGTCCTCTCAAATGGGCAAAATCAGGCATTTTGGAATGGATCTAGGTTGGAATTACGGTGTTCTGTCTTGTTTTGAGTCAAATGGAAAGAGAGAAAACAGGAAAAAAAAAATTATGAATCGCCATAATTTTATAGCATTTGTAGTCCACGAAATTGAATATCTGAGGAGACAATTCTGCAGAATTAACTAAAAAATAGAGTCCGATGTTTCTTTATAACAACACGACTGATACGATATCACGAAGCACAGTCTACCAACTCAATTGCATATAACAATGTACGAATAGTATACTATGTAGCGAAGATGTCCACCTGATAAAAGGAGTAGGATTGCTAAACTCCCATCGAACAACATTGCACCACTGGTTAAGCCTCAGAGGTAAGTCCCGATGGCCTCTTATCCATTTTGAATAATATGGATACATCACCGTCTCACTCGTGGGACGAACTGCAATAGGGACTTCTAACTCAGTTTTCCCAGACTTTGTAACCCAGGCCACCTAATAATAAGAGGCACATAAATGGTTAAGAAATTAGCATTTATCCAAAACTAGAATTCAGCAAAAAATAAGCAATACCTGAACAGACCAAGACCTCTGGAATAATATCAAGAGATCTTACGAGTCAAGTACAAAACAGAACAAATAGAGAAATCATAGGACCTCGTACCACAGAAGGAAAATATTGGGGAAGATACAAGGAATAAGAATTCCAGGGACAAAAACCCTAGAAACTAATTAGTAAGCGTCAAAAAAACAAGAAAATTCCTGCATCAAGGTGAGGGATAAGAGGGGCAGGACGATCACATCAAAGGAGTAGGAAAAAAAAAATTAAAGAGAACACAAGTTTAAAAGATAGCCATCTATTGACTGCTGCTGGACAAACCTGACCCCTCATAACTTAACCAAAAGAGGAATTTAATTTAAATTAGAAACCCATATGCAGACGAGGAAATTTTCTCCACCATATACGCACACAAATTTAAGTTGACCTCTAGGAATGCTATATGAAATGCACTCTGTTTTGGGGGATTGAACACCTAAGATACCCTTTACTACCTCTGCACACTGCATTTTCTGAGAGCGCATTGATACTACTAATGTACATTGCTTTTTCTTATTCAGGTTTAACATATAGGTGGTACAATCCAATTCCAAAAATCAAAACCATCTACGAAATATACAAAATAAATAAGGTAATGCAGATCAGAGAAAAATTTAATTTTTTTTCGTTATTCCATTGCAGAAATAAGTCCATTAGATGAGATATATCTCACCTCTGGAGCAAAACCTTCAATGTGATCCTTCTCCTTTTGTAAGACAGAATCTGATACAAAAAGAGGAAAGTATGCATTTTTGACGTTCATCCTCTTGATCTCCGGATCAAAAAAGGCCTGCATATTGACCACATTGTAAATTATGTAATGTGACAACTCAGAATAGAGAACTCAGGCGCACAGAAATGCAGTTCATTGGTGCAGGCCATAAGCAAAGTCAATAGAGCATATCCAAGGTATAGAAAACAGTATTTTTTTCCTTTTTTGATTCTTCAGCTATGCTTCCTTATAGACACTGTCTGAGATCTTGTGACTAAGTTAAACTACCTCTGTAACTGATAATGGCAATTCTTTCAACACATAGCCACCACTAACCCAGCAAACAAAGAGAAAATTAACATATACTCTAAGACTAAACAATTGTAAACAAAAGATGGTACTCATAAAATTGTTGAAATAAAAAAAGAAAAACAACACGTTTGAAATGTTATAGAATGCAACTATACGGCAACAGGAATCAGATGTTAATGAGTAAGGTACAGAAAGACACTATTTTACTGAAGATTGGATGATGCTAAAAAAGAACTGAGGTACAACAAAAACTCAACTTACATGCAAGTTCTCCCAAATAGCAATTGACCAAGGCCTTAAGATATAGCAACCAGAGATGTCATAATATTCGATCATCTCGCTGCTAACAACAACCTGGAAAACCAGTTTACACGTCAATTCTTCCAAATAGCAATTGAACAGTCTTAAGACATCGCAACTAGGTGAGACATAGTATTCAATCATCTTGCCACCCAAACAACTAAGTTGATCACCGCGTATTTCTTCAAATACAAGACGTTTGTTGATTTCATCAGTTGAACTGTGAGAAACATCCACCAGTCCTACTGAGGAGATCCGAGTAACCCTAGATGAATATCCAACTTGTGTATACCCTTGGTATTATGATACATTAAGCTTTAAAATAGAAAAGCTAGTTAGGAATTGAAGAAAGGCGAGGTATTAGGCTTACTTCAGAATACCATTCTCCAAAATTCTCATCTTTCTTATAAGTTAAACCAAGTCCAGTTTCCTTCTTCACTTCCTTCTTCTTTCCTGATCAAGTAACAAAAATTATATTGCCACATTAGAAGCATAGAATCATATGCCGTGTATTGATGTGGAAGTAATATGAGATGGCAGTCACCAGGTTTTGGTTTTCCATTAGTTCCTCCTTTGCTAGCCATAGCTTGTCTGCATTTAAGGTAGTTGGAAAGACCACTGTCAGAATACAATGAGTGAAAAGGCATATGTCAAATATGAAGAGAAAGCAAAGACTCCTCCCTCTCAACCATTGCAAAATTGATCCCAAAAAATACTCCAGCATTGATCATATTCCCTAACTTTCTCCAAACTTCCCAATAGTGAACATGCTTACATGTTGACAAGGAAATGAAAACACTTCTTGAAGATTATCGTAGCATCGAATTGTAATTTTAAAAAATCTTCAAATTCTCTTGATGAAATGAGAACAAAACAAGAAATGTTATAAAAGAATGTCAAACAGAGCATCAAGGGATAAACATAAGACAATCAGAAATTGGATAGAAGGAATATCTAAGAGAAAAACTTGTAAATGCACAAGATAGGCCAGGAGATAGCATAGAGTACGCGATTATGATAAACACAAGGTAAATAGATGCGATTAGGACAAAGTGCTCTCTGTGTGACAAAAGACATTAAACTACCATTATATCCGAGCAGTAACTGATTGGTTTATGAGATTATTAGACCCATTCATTATTGAGAGCATCATCATCAAATTTCATTATGCTTTCCAAGTTTTCTTTTACAAGGTAAAAATTTTAGTGTGATTTCAATACCATGACCTTCTTCAACGAATTTCTTCATGAAGTGGAGAAGCGGAGCGCGGAAGAGGGAAAAATAAGGGAGACGAGAGGAAGGAGAGAGCGTAAAAAAATGAATAAAGAATAGAAGTAATAAACGAGAGAGAGAGATGGAGACGTAGAGGGAGAAAACCCAAGTTGAAGCGTCTAACAGTGTGCTGCTAGAGCACAACACCGTTATTCAGAAGAAAGAGGAACTGGAATCCGCCCGTTAAAATACACCAACGGCGATGAGACAAAAACCCTGGACAGAACCCCATTCTAAATATTAACCCGCATCTGACCTTCGTAGGATAGTTCAACACTTGCGTGGAAAAAACATTGCTCATCAGGAAACTAACGGTATCATCCAACAGAAAGAGGAAGAAAAAAAAAAAGGAGGAATGATAAGGCGCAGATTGCATATAAAAGAAGATCTGTAACCGCGGGAATGAAAAATACCTGTGCGCCGAACACCAAGAGAAAACGTACGAAAGTCAAGGTGCCACAGGCAGGAAAGCTCCAATCTAGGGTGCCTCGGCAAGGCGCCCCAACGAGGAAGACGAACCAGGGGGGAGGGATTTTCTTCCTCCGGGGGAAATGTGGGCGGAGAGCCAAAAAGAAGGGACAGAGAGGGACAGAGAGAGACAGAGAGAAGCAGAAAAAGACGGAGACAGACTCCTCGTACCTGCACAACGAGGAGGCCGGACGAGGGCGACGAGTCTGCGAAGAGTATCCCACCCTTCGCCCCTTCTTTTCCGAGAAGAGTCAGCGCCGCTTCTCCTATCCCAGCCCGAGGCGGAGGAGGAGGACGATGTCTTCTGCGGCGCGATTTTACTGCAGAGTGGGTGGTAATGGGACCCACTTGGTGGATCCGAAAACCCTACGTCTTCCTCGGATCTTGCGCGATCAGTTAAGGCCTGACACAGATTTCTACCCAGATCTACGGGGACGACTCAGCCATAATGAAATGACTCCGACACTATTGTTTTCAGTAAGCTTAATTAATCAACTCTCCCCTCTAAACAAACCATTTAAGGAATACGTCCCTATGGTTCTCACCCACCCATCCTTTCAGGCCTATGGAAACTTGCCCCAAATCAGGAATCGGTCCTTGGGGTCAACGATGTGTGTAATGGATAAAAGTCAACCATAGTTGGTCACTACCCATTTTCTGAAAATATTAAATTTCAATAAAAATATATTATAATAATTAGCAACAGCCATTGTAGTGTATTCTTAAGCATATTCTTTTATGAGTATTTAGTATAAATAAGGTATTCCTCTAGCGCCCACATTAATTTTATAAACTTAATACTTTGTTAATGGCGTTTATGGAATAATTATATTTTTAATTAAACATTTTTTATTTACTGAAATTTTTTTGATAAAAATTAATAATCTTGAAATGAAGTTTTTCCCGATTCTTGAAGATTAATCCACATATATGTACTATGGATATGAGTTACTTCAACATCTTATTTAAGATTTTTTTGTCCTTTTTATTGGGGGAAATACCTAAAAAAAGAGTAATTATAGATGTCCATGGCTAATTAACCATTTGTAGTATGTTTGGAATCACTTTGACTTTTCAAAGAATGTGGTTTTTGTAGAAATTATGTGTGCTTTCTTAAAAGATCATTTTCAATATGGGCCCTATAAATGAGAATTAATGGATAGAGCTGACTTGAAATAGATAGGTCATGACAAGACTCCACATTGAAGAACAATAATACATGAGGGGCTATTTCGATAGGATATGGTGGTTTGAGGAGTAGAGAGAAGATGTTCAATCAGAAACATGGTCAACTGCTCGTTTTGAAGCTACAATTCTAAGAGTTTGCGGGAATTAAAGGATGATGCATCTAAATGAGCATTTCTCCCAAAAATATACCTTATTTATTTCAAAACATTCTATGCAAAGAATAAATATGGTAATTATTTTCAAGATATCTTGAAAATATGTTCATCAAAATCATCACATTTTCATTTCCAATAGCAAAATAAAATGCTGCATCCGTCATTATGATTCCACATTTAGATATCTTTTGAGTCAATTTATTTGATATTAAGATGGTTTTCCTATCTTTGTCAACACCATTCCTTTCATATCAAAATTATGAATTGAAATGGAATTGATGAATCAATTTTGCACTAAATTGGGCTTTAAATAAAGAGAACTGATCTTCATCCCTTGGTTATAATGTTGACTTTATCACCTAATATGGTGGGTAGCGAGGGGTTCTTCCCTTTGACTTCCTCTGTTGACCAATGCATAGAAGACCCATTTATTTCTTCATAAAACAAAAAAGGGCATGGACAAAAAGGGTGGTCAGATGAAAGAGAAAATGAGCAAAACATATAATCATAAATAATGTACTATATTCAATATGAGGCAAAACTTGAGCTAAAGCCTCTTTCCTTGAACAAGATCTATGAAGGCATTCAAGGAAACCTCCACTCCCTCATTGACTTCAATGCATTAGATCACAATTACTTATTTTAGAACTCAACCTTCTCAGGATTTTCAAAGTTGTGTTCATCTAATGACTCTTTAGACTGTTAGAAATCTATGAAAAAAATGGCAGTATTTAGAGGGGGTTTTATTTAATTAATCAACATCAAGCTTGATTGATGGTCCATGACATCTACCATTTAATTAATTTATAAGTGAAGCTTTATAAGGTCAATATGTGATATTTGGCATATTCTTGGATTTCGGAGTGGGAGACTCATTCCACTACGATTTATTCTCATAGTAGATTACTATAATTAGAACAAAACCAATTATCATATTCAAATCTTGCTCTAAATCCAAAAAATAAAGTTCTTCAGCCTACCTAATTAAAGTAAGCTCAGCTCAACGCCCTACAGAGTCAGCACAGCGAGGGCTTAGCGAAGGCATCGTCATACCACCTGGTCAAGTATTGGGTTGGGAACTCTTTATCTTCTCTCCCGTTGACTTTTTGGACGGCTCAGATTGTCTCAGCTCGCCGACCTTCACGTCCCCGGCTCTCCCGTCTCGCTCGGTGCTGGTCTGGATTTCAAAGCTTACCTCAGGCCCGTCGTTGTCTCTGGCAGATGGGCTTTCCCTAAGATTTTATTTTACTATTAGACCCCAAACTTTGTATATCCTTTGATTGGCCCCCAAACGCTTTCCATACTCTCTATGACCTTTTACTTGCAACGCTTAGAATAAAATGAGAGGAGTTTATTATAAATGTGTAAACTATTTAAGGGACTAACTGAAATTGTTCATCTCTTCGCCAATAAAATCCTCCCTCTCTGAGGGGAGGATCACCAGGAGGGCCGGCCAAAAGGAGCAGGAATGGGAGGCGAGCAGACCGGCGGCGCCGCCACCAATCCGGCGCTGGCTCCGGACCTCGACTCCCCCGACTCGCCGGGGCTGGAGTTCGCTCAGTTCGCCGCCGGCTGCTTCTGGGGCGTGGAGCTCGCCTTCCAGCGCGTGGAGGGCGTCACCAAGACGGAGGTCGGCTACTCGCAGGGCCACCTCCATGACCCTTCCTACACCGACGTGTGCACCGGCGTGACCGGCCATGCGGAGGTCCTCCGCCTCCAGTTCGACCCCTCCGTCTGCTCCTACGAGGCCCTGCTTGCCCTCTTCTGGTCGCGCCACAACCCCACGACGCTCAATCGCCAGGTATTCGACCGATCCCCTCCCCCACCCCCACTCAGATCCCCAAATTCCCAAACCCTAATTCGCAAATTCCCGATCGAATTGTGCCGAACAGGGGAACGATGTGGGGACCCAGTACAGGTCGGGAATCTACTTCTACGGGGAGGAGCAGCGGCGGAAGGCGGTGGAGTCGGCGGAGGCGAAGCAGGCGGAGATGGGGAAGCCGGTGGTGACGGAGATCCTGCCGGCGCGGAGGTTCTACCGGGCGGAGGAGTACCACCAGCAGTACCTGGAGAAGGGCGGCGGCAGGGGGGCGAAGCAGTCGGCTCGTAAGGGCTGCAACGATCCCATCCGCTGCTACGGCTGACGATGGCCGCCGCCGATCTTCAGGGACTCCTCATCTCTCTCTCTCATCTATCAAACTACTCTTTACAAAGTCAACGTTGACAATACTTCTCTTAGATCTTTGTCTGCGAATGTATCTTGAGGTTTGCTGTATTTTAAACTCTATTACGTGAGTATCATCTATGTAACTACTATTTGCGAAGTCAACGTTGACAATACTTCTATCAGATCTTTGTCTATGTATGTTGAGGTTTGCTATGTTTGAAACTCTGATTACGTGAGTATCGTCAATCAAACTACTCTTTACAAAGTCAACGTTGACAATACTTCAAACCCTGATTATGTGAATATAATCCCATCATTTACATGCTTTTATCTAAGTAAATAATAAGACATAATTAGAGTATGGATAGTTATTGCTCTTAATAAAGAAATTAAATCCCTCCATTTCTAGATTACTCTTATCTATAAAAATGCTATTTAAAAAGTCAACGTTGACAATACTTCTCTCAAATCTTCGTCTATTAAGGAATTTTGACATTTATTGTATTTGAAACCCTGATTATATGTATTTAATCTCATCATTTATATGCATATATCTAAGTAAATAATAAGATGTAAAAAGTATAGATAACCATTGGTTTTTATACAAAAATTAAATCCCTCAATTTGAAAATACTGTAAATGCTCCATTTATCAGGGAGGTAAAGACTTATTTACCTGTAAATAAATATAATCTCAAATCCAGTAAATATGTCCGAGAGAGAGAGAGAGAGAGAGGAGAGAGAGAGGGAGAGAGAGGGAGAGAGAGGGAGAGAGAGGAGAGAGGAGAGAGAGAGAGGAGAGAGAGGGAGAGAGAGGGAGAGGAGAGAGAGAGAGAGAGAGAGAGAGAGAGAGAGGAGAGAGAGGGAGAGAGAGAGAGAGAGAGAGAGAGGAGAGAGAGAGAGAGAGGAGAGAGAGGAGAGAGAGAGGAGAGAGAGAGAGATAGAGGAGAGAGAGGAGAGAGGAGAGAGAGGGAGAGAGAGAGAGAGAGAGGAGAGAGAGAGAGAGAGAGAGGAGAGAGAGAGAGAGAGAGAGAGAGGAGAGAGAGAGAGAGAGAGAGAGAGAGAGAGGGAGAGAGAGAGAGAGAGAGAGAGAGAGAGAGGGAGAGAGAGGGAGAGAGAGAGGAGAGAGAGGGAGAGAGGGAGAGAGAGGAGAGAGGAGAGAGGAGAGAGAGAGAGGAGAGAGGGAGAGAGAGGGAGAGAGGAGAGAGGGAGAGAGAGAGGAGAGAGAGGGAGAGAGAGGGAGAGAGAGGAGAGAGAGAGAGAGAGAGAGAGGAGAGAGAAGGAGAGAGAGGGAGAGAGAGAGAGGAGAGAGAGAGAGAGAGAGGAGAGAGAGGGAGAGAGAGGAAGAGAGAGAGAGGAGAGAGAGAGAGTATCAAGCTACAATGATGGTAATTTACGGATTTAGCCGTCTTCCTCGAACCAGGATCTGCGGCGTGAGGGCTAATAAGGCGATGGCCTTCACCGTATGGTAAGGAGGACGACGTAGGTCGGGAGAAGCGCAGTGGGGAAAGCAAGCGACTCCATCGATGGTGAGGGTGGCTACATACTTCGCAATGTCACTGGGCGCGTTCATCTTCTGGCAGTCGATGGACAAGGTTCACGTCTGGATCGCGCTCCATCAGGACGAGAAGGTGTCTTTCTCTCCCTCTTCCTGTCTTCGTCTCTTCGATTTTGGCCTCGAACCACCTTCAAATCTGGTTCCATGATTTCCATGGGGCTTACGGTTGGGGAGAGTGATATATGGATTTCTCTCTAGATCTCAGACCCCCGGCTGTGACCATTTGTTTTCTCTTAGGGTTTCGACGATTTTTCCAATGTGTGTGTGTTGGGAATCGTCTTTCATGCGGGTTGGTAGCTTAAACCAGGCGCCAAAGACTCAAAAAATCACAGCACACATGCAAACCAGGCGACCGATGACGAGTTCTGCTGGTGAACTTGGGAACTGGAGATGCCACATGCTTGAAGAACCGATCAGTCGAGATGGTTCAGATAATTTGCTGAATTTTGAGATTGAGGCCTTTAGCTTCTAGTGATTGTGTGGAATTTCGTCGTCTTTGGCACACATTCTGGCAAACTAGGGTGCCTGTGTCTCATATGCTGTTCATGATAGCAAACGGATCAAACTTTTCTTGGAGGCTTGCATACCCAAGAGTCCGTTTCATCGATAACTCATGCATAGGAAATAAATATTATTCCTCATGGGGATGATGTAGTCATGTGAACTTGAATGAAAATACTGTCAGAACGGGTCTCCTCTGTTGGAAATTAATGCACCGTGCAAATAATCAAGAAAACTCCATTACATATACCATTCAGAAAGGCTAGATGGAACCAGTCTTACGCCAATCTAGATTGCGAGTTTAGGGGTTGCATTAATATATTTATCAGTTGTTTTGATGACTATTTCCCTTCGACGGCTAGCCTTGTAGGCGGCAGAATGTTGGTTGTTGTTGACCCTCTGGGCTGCTATATGTTCCTAAAAGACGTCCATCTCATTTCTTGAACAATGGGGGGACTGCTCCACCATTTTTCCCTCGCCTCAAGGTTACGGTGAGGGAGCTATTTTGGTGGCAGAATTCTGCTTAAGGAATGCTTTGATCTACTGAATTTTTTTCTTCTTGTTATCCCCCAGAGGTACTTATATCCGATGTCTCCTGCTGAAGAACTAATCCTCAGTGCCCATGACTACATTCTAATGTAAAGATTAAAGCTAGAGTCCTCTGGATTTCTTATTCGTTGTTGTCTAGAATCATCTCTCTCAGCGAGGAACTGATAGGAGAAATTAAGAAAATAAGGCAGCCTGTACTCTTACTTGAGGGAAATTGCCAGCGATTTGATTTTCATGAACGTGTCATTGATTGCAAACAGCGTTTTATATATCACAAGTAGGGCATTAATTTTCATCTGAAAATTATCTGCGTATTAAATGACTTGTTATTTATAAAATTGTGTATCTTTCGAAGATCATTTGATAAGATGAGTTAAATTTACGAAATTTTCATATATTTTGGATAATAGCTTCATGCTATCAATATTAGTGCTCATAAAAATTTGAGTATCTATAATTAACTTGTGCGACTCTCTTTACTTTCGGTCAATACCCGCCTATTCAAGTTGCTTTTCTTTTCAGGGAATCGAGCTTGCTTTTCTGGCCTTTGGTGGCTGGATCCATTAAAATCATACATTGAAATGGTTTTACTGCTGTTTGTTTTATTTTTGAGGAGCGAAGTGGCCACCCACGACCTTGGCTTTTTAGAGAATCCCGCTCCTGTGTCGTAGGACTTGTAGCTCGGCAGTCCACCGGGGGGGTTTGTTTATCCTTCCAGTTTCGAGTGTTTATCATTCATGGACGCCTGGGTATAACCAGATTAAGCTCGCTAAAGAAGACCAAGAAAAGATTCTTAGCTGGGGGAGTGGGGCATACACATCCTATCCAAGAGATTATTTTCCAGCCTGTCCATTTCTTTTCACGAGTGTTCAAAATGCCCAAAGCATTGCAGGGAATAATCAATGCAATGATTGTCAAAAGGGTTATCCATTTGATTCGTTGGAGGATGGTGCGCTGAAGCAAATCAGATGGGAAGCAAAGCCCCAGGGGACGGATCAATCAGGTTTAGTTTTTGAATGACGAGGAAGATAAAAGTTGCTGGAGATGCTGCTTAAGTTTAATTTTTTTTTTATAATCTATTGAAAATGGTATAATGAGGAGGAGAAATACTAATATGCCAAATACTGATATGCACCTAGAATATGGCGTGAAATATTCGGTAGATAAACAATAGAGTTTCTTAATTGAGAAATGCATGCTGTGGTATCTCTCAGAGCCTCTGGTGATAGAGGAGAGCTACTTAGAAAGTAACCCTAAAAGAGCCCTTTTTTTTTTTTTCTTCCACGGGTTGGAAATTCATCAACTGTAGTCTTCGTTTGCATTTGATCTTGCTGTTGCACCAATATTTGTGATGTATTTCTAGTTGTTCATCTATTTTTCGCCCCTACTCTTTCAGAAGGAAAGGCTGGAAAGGGAGATGGAGATCAAGCGGGTCAGAGAAGAACTACTGGCTCAACATGCCTCGGAAGACTCACTTGCATAAGCTGCTCCCCCAATGGTGGAGTGCACCCGTCTGTGAAATGCCTCATCTTGTCTTATCTTTCATCTGAATGTCTCAGAAGATGAATGCTTTAATAAGTCAGTCTGGTTGTTTCATCTGCTCCAAGGAGTTGGCCGTGTGGTTATATTGTTTCCCATAATGGGAATATCTTGGAAAGGCAACGGTTGCATCTTAGAGTTTGATGAAGATATGATCGATCAGATGGCACCTTCTTCATCTGTTTTGATCTCATTATTTGCTGTTCTTTGAGTTGATTTCTGTTTATGGGATTTTGTTGCCTCAAAAGAGTAAGCTTCATCTGATCATCATTCATTTCTTGATGGTGTCCCTCATAAGAACAGGAGAAACCCCCCAAAAAGAGAGGGAAAAGAAAAAAAATGGTCCTTGAAAGCATGCGCTGCTTGAGATTTATGGAGCAATATAATGAGTGAGGACATTCTTGAGCTCCTGTGGGATCAAAAAGGGGATAAGATGAGGGTGGTCTGATGAGTTATCTTGGCCTCTCCCGTCAGAGTTCTATGCCTGTTTCATGGGGGTGTCAGTAGAGCTGAGCAGAACCCTCCACAAGAGCAAAATTGGGAGTGTGCTCGCTGTATTCCACTATGGCTGATGGAGGTAGGCGGCCAACGCATATCTCGTGTACAGTTGTGAAGAGTGGGAATAGCTCTTGCCATCCGCGGTGACCCAGAACCTCATAAACCTCTCGAGCTGTGGATACACCCTTCAAAATTTTTCTAAAATAAGAAAGAAGGTGATGAATTGATGTAAAACAAATGAATGCATGTTAAATTGTTTGTAGTTTCCTCTTGGAAGAATCTCCTTATTTTCTAGATCTCATCCAGCATGCAGAATGGCTGGCTGTTGTGTACTGTTGTGTGTCTCTGTAGCTTTATAACTTCACCAAGGTGACAAGAAGCTATCTTTTCCTTAGAGAAGAAAATTGGGTCTCCCAAACATGTTTCTTCCTGTTCACACGTATCATAGAGCTAGATGGTCTGAATGGATTCACTTTTTCTTGTGTGATTCTTGATTGCCGTCTTCTCTGGCCTGGTGTTCATCAGTGTAAGAAATAGGGACTTGATTTATGATAATTTATTTACCTGTAGCTTCTGGCCGCGCAACAGCTCTGCCTCGAGCTCATCGAAAGATCTTGAGTTGAAAAGCAGGGTATAAGACTAAGAGGAAATCAAGGACATGGAGGTACGTTTGTGAAGGATATGAACTACTGGAGGATTATGGGGAAGGAGAGCTTCAGGAAGGACCTTTTTCCGCCGCACTTGGCAAAAGCCTCTGCAACTCTCCTGTTTCTCCCTCCGACTGAAGCGTGAATGACAAACACAGGAGCGAGCATTAGGTGTCAGGTGGTGACTGGAGAAATTCATAGGGAGAGGGAAGAAGGGCTTGTATTGGTTTTCATACGGCATGTTGTGATGAGATCCGCCACACCACAGCTCTCGAAGAAGGTGGTGTCCTTGACAGTCGAGAACATGAGCTTGGAGAACGCCCGCATCTCTCTCAGGCCTATCCTCATGATTGCGGCCTGTTTTTTGTTCCAAGGAAATCTTTTAAATGATACCCAATTCCAGCGGGTTGAGTATGTTGTATGCTGCTGTGTACCTTTGTGTTGTTTCCCATCTCCAACCCATCAGCCAGACCTGGAAGCATTTGGGCATCCCATTGAATTATAGTGTTGAAAATAGGAAAGAAAAATAAACATGGCTTTCACTACCACCTGCTGCAATGGCCACAACATTCTTCAAAGTTCCGCACAGTTCCACCCCCTCTACATCCTGCACCTGTGAAATCCAATGTTTTCTTGATCATGTGAAATCCAATATTTATACATCATGCAGATTTATTTATTTATTTTTGCCTGCAATTCCATGATCCGACCATGCTGGTTAATTGATTTTCTTTATCTTCTTACTTTAATGATTCATACGGTTAGTCTTCTTTCCCTTTCTTGGTTGACTAATTCTGATCGGCTCATTTAGTCGGGTATGAGTTAGAAAAAAGATAAGAAAATAACGATTGTTATCTGAAAAACTGAGATTGGGGAACGGAGGACGTACCGCTGATACGAGGAAATAAGGAGTGCTGAACAACTGAACCCATCTCTGTGCCATCTCCTTGTCCCCTTTGTGACCGACTGTTGCCTCGCAAAACTTCTCGACTGCAATCTGTTCTCCAGCATCCCAGGTTAAGTGGTGAACTCGGTGAAAAGCTAAAAATCGGGTAGCCTTTTTTTTTTTTTTTTACCTCATTGGCGATGTTTGCTCCCATCAGAACACAACAGTTTATCCCCAGCATCTCGGATATGAGATTTGAAATCATGCATGGGCCATCCTTCTTGACCTCCATTCCTTTGATGAGCGAGAGAGCCTCTGCGTCGCGTCTGATCTTCCCGACAAGCCTTCTGCATATACTCTCCACGAACTGATGGGGAGTGACGAAGACCAGAAGATCTGCATCTTTCACTGCGAAAAATCCACAAGAAAAAGCGCCTGCTAGTTCTCGAGAATTCATCACGTGATATTTTACAAACTTTGTTCCAGTTTCCCCCAACATCCTTCCGCAGAAGGTATTTTCTTCGATAGGTTGGACGATTCCAGTTTTTCTGAGTGCCTACCTGCATGCTCGAGGTCGGGATCCGCCACCACGTTTGGTCCAAGCTTTATTCCTGGAAGATACTTGACGTTCTCCTGTTGGTTTCACGAGTTGTTTAACCGCATTCTCCAGCAAAGGAAGAGTTGGGGGGCAGGAGGGAGGGTTTTAGGGCGACGAAGATAACAAACATTACATTCGTTCTGTTGATGTACGAGGTGAGCTTATCGCCTGTTGGGAGGGTCTCTTCGTACACCCACATCTTCACCTCGTCTGGACGCATCAGAGATCGGAAGGTCAGTCTTCCTGCCGCTTTTCCTCCTGAATCTGCAGGTGTCCGATCCAGAGATAGCAAAATCCGGTGGATCCAGTTGCATGCGGGCGGCTCGCTCACCGTGGTAGGAGGGAAGAGCGGCGGCGTTGGTGGCGATGATCTTGGCGGCCACGCTCCCCCAGTTGCCGCTGCCGATCACCGTCACCCGACGCCTCCTCGCTTCCACCGTCCCGCCGCTGTCCGCTGCTCCTCCCGCCGTTTCTCCTTGCCTCTCAGTTTCCCGAGCCATGAGAGAGCGAGAGAGAGAAAGAGAGTATATAGAGAGAGAGAGACTAACGAGCAGAGGTAGAGAGCAGGAATGAGAATCAGCCTTATAAACTCAGGCGGGATCACACAGTGAGAGAGAGAGAGAGTCGAGTCCCCGTGGCGGTGTCGTCATGGCCGTCCAGCACGGCGGCATTTAGCACGTGACCTCACGCGCCCGCATCAAGAGGTTGGGATCAGACGGCTCTAAATTTTCCACGGGGCCCGGACAGTATCATATCAACGTTGATAATTTAAAAGCACCGTGGATATGATCTTGCGCAAAAATAATAATAAAAATAATGAATCTCACAGGGTCACGAATCCATTGACCACAGGCCATGTCCGAGGGGATCCCACGTGGGATCATCTCATCCTCCCTGGCCATCCACCCGCCAATCAACTGGCTTCCTTCATGGTCCCATAAGCTCGGCCCTCCAATGGCCTTGCACCAGGCTTACCACCTTCCTCTCTTGGACTACAACCACCAACAATCTTGTGGAGAATGAGAATATTATCTTACATTGCGCTTCTATTATTAAGATGGCCAATGATTGATCTATGATAATTATGATGGCCTATGAACATTCCAATAATTTTTCATAGATTTCATATCATAAGGAACTATGGAAATATGGTGCTTCATCATATTTGAGACACTATGATAATTCACAGATTATGATTATTATACCAGGATAAGTGGCCCCATTGGCTATCCCATGTCTTTAATAACCTTCTCACTATCATTAAACATATTTTATTATTGTATAGGTTCATGAACCGTAGCACTATGGTACATTGGCTTGTGCTTTGATTGATCTATGATTGTAAGCTCATGAGAATGACTAATAATTCTTCACATATTTTAATTGTAAAAAATCTGAAACTGTAGTGTTTTATCATATGTGAGTCACTACAATAAGTGACAAGTATGCTTATTATACCTTATCAATTATTATTTATATGAAAGTAACATTTTATGTTGAATATTTTCATTACATGCTAGAATGGAAACTTCCACATGCTTTAAATTCACTTTCCTCCATATCAATAAACAAAATTTTGTTATCCTCTATAGAAAACTCCATACCACACTTTGAAGCATGCAATTAGCCATCAACTATTCACAAGTATATTTGTACATAATCAGATTTTTAATGATTAGCTAGCATCTTATTCAATGGACACAACATGATTATTTCAACTATTTAGCTGACACAACATGATTTCTAGCTTAAAAAGAATTGGATCAGATAAAATTGCTATACACCCATAAATTGTAATAGTACATTTGAATGACCCTCTTACAATAATTTTATGCTTAGTTAGTGGTATCCAAAATGAAGTTGGGCAACATGGAAAATGTGTCAATGTTAGGACTACCAATGGAGATCCCTTCCTCGCCAATACTACATTGAGTTTGGACATCTCCTTAACAAGTGCATTGAGCAACAAAAAAAATTAAAAATAGATGTTGTGTAGGGCTAGACCAACCTAGACCTTTATTCACACTTATTTGACAAAAAAGAGATGGCACAATGAAGATATATCTTGTACTTGAGGTATTCATATGATGAGAAAATGTCTTAGATTGTTAGCTTGTTCAAAATTTCGACTTGTGCTAAATAGTCCAACTAGGGGTTGTGGTATTTTTCTTCCCATACTCCTTTAAAATTTGTAAACTTGAAATAATGGGCTTCACTTAGTAGTCTTAATTTACCAATTGGCACTTCGTAGAGATTAAATCACGACATAAATATTGGTAGTCTTCAACCTTAAAAGATAATCATATAAATATTTGTATACTATCTAACTGATCTTGGTGGAACATCATAACATAATTTATATCTCATCTCCATATTCATGCCATGTGATCATGGCAACAACAATTCAGCATTTTAATCATCAATGATGCCAAAGAAACTTGGAATTTAATAGTTTATTCTCATCTAAGTATCCAAATTTAAGTGAAGCCCATATGTGACTGTGTATTGATGGACAAAGTAATAAGGAATTTTGAAGGGACTCCACAGGTTTACTAATGTTTTCCTTAACACAAAAAAAATATAAGATTTCATTAATAATTAGACTGATTTGATTACATTTATCATCAAGCCTCTCATTGGAAAGCTTATTTAGATGAGTTTATATTATGAGTGATGCAATATTGAATTACTTAGAGGAGAAGTTCATCTATTATTTATTAAATGCAATGCCTTATTATTGGCTTCAAGTGAAACTTAATGGATTCTTTTTACTTATATTTTAAAATATTTTTGAAAAAGAGTAACATCAATCATTGTCGCCCTTGCATTCTTCAATTTCTATCTTTCTTAATTTCATTACATTCTTATCTCTTCTATCTCATCAATCAAATGCAATTACCTTTCTCCATGTTGTTCCAAAGTTAAATATATTTGCAAGAGCTTGGATTTTTTTTCTTCCTAACATTTTGTGATTTAATTTTTCAACATTCATTTGTTGGTTATATACATAAAACCTTTTAATGACTTTTATTTTTAGGGTTTGAACACTTATAATTAAAATTTTGATTTTTTATATTTTTTTGGTTTTGATAATCACAAAAAATTATTTCAATGTAAGTATAAATTAACTTACAAATTGAAGTTTTCTTCTTCATGGAGAGATATCGAAGTCATACCTTACATTCTTGCTTATCAATGAAGTTAGTGTAAATGAGATCTCAAGTATTAATAGGCAAATGTTACATCAAAGATTAGGCACTTTTTGTTAGATGCTTGATTACTGAGAGGATGACATGAATTTTGATATTTTAATCAATGAATTTATTGATTTTACTAGTCATGTTCAACAAAACCATAAAATAAATAACATGAAAATGCCCCAAATCATAAAAAGTGCATGAAACATACTAAATTTGTGAAAATAATGACTTAGTTGAAAAACCAACATAAATTAGAATTTGCACGACTTGATGTGTGACTCTTACATATGTTATGAAACTATACTATTAAATGATTTTCTATTGCATATCTTGATATATGTTGTAAGGATTGTACAACACATCCATGAGTACTAAAAGAACCAAGTTGACTATCATAAATTTCAAAAGAAAAAAATATTTAACAATTAGCTCTCTCAAAACATAATTTAATTCTTGAAACTTGAGATTGAGAATGATGTTCTTAAGAATCAAAGATTTGTGTGAAGAAATGAAATCGTAAAAAATTGATAAATGCTGTATGGACTCTCTCTCTCTACCCCTCCCCTTTGTGGAGTTGAATCTTAAAACATTGAATAAGTTGGAAACTTGATGAAAGGTTTGTTCATGTTATTTTATCAGTAGTGTACTTATTGCACAAGTAGCGACTACCATATGGAAGAGTCCCACACAAATTTATGATTTGATTAAAAACATGTAGGGTAAGATGTACTCAGGTAGAGAAAAGTGGTATGTGAATAGTTCCACATGATGTGTATATGGTGGAATTTTGCAATGTATCAAGCATCATATTTTAGTATGTTTAAACGCATGTAATTGTGGAGTATATTTAATACATGAAAAATTATGTGGCGTAATAGGAGACTATATTAAAATTTATATTTTAGCATATAATAAGTTGTATAATACATCAAGTATCATATTATTGTATGTTGATGCAAGTTGTGGAATATCAATATATATTAGTTCATTTTCGAAGTATGAGAAGTTATGTCATAGAATATGTATGTCAAGTGTCATTATAAATTATGTCATGAACAAATGGAGAATATCAAATTAGTATTTAAGTACATAGTATTATGTTATAGAACACATGTTGAACTTATTAATGATACATACACGACCTAGCATATTACATAAAATATTTTAATACATGAGAATTTCCTTGTGAAATAAGCTATTTGCTGAAGTGCAATATCCTAGTATATGATATTTATACTAGAGAAATTAAGTTTGAACATAAGGGCAGTATATAAATAGCTTAGTATATCAAATACAATAATTAAGTACATGTTAAGTACCTTGTGGAACAAAAAGTTTCAGCACAATATCTCAACATTTATCATAGAAAATGGAAGTATTGAACGCTGAAGTGGTATATAAGTAAATTTGTATAATTATATAGTAGATGCATCACAACATTTGGGTATACATAGTTGAAATGGTAGGTAAATGTTTTGGCATATTAAACGTGCATCTTCTTAGAAACTAATTTTGAAATTTCCTTCTTGAGAGAGGGTGAAAAATAGGAAAGGTTTTTGAATGAGATTTCCTTATAAGTTCAACATGTCTCTAATGGCAGAAGTCGTTAACAATCACCTCTGACCCATCTAAGCTTCTTGATAGTCTTATTTATATTTTTTTATAAAATTATATATTTCCTTGTTGGTCAAACAAAAAGTGAAAATATTGAAGAATGAAACTGAAGCTACACAAGATCTTCCTAGACTAGATCAAAGCAATAGTGTTTTCTATATTCAGCCACATCCATATGTGAAGAGTATGATAGGAATATAGTCTATATCATCATCTTGTTTATTAAAATTTTGGACACATTCCAAGTTAATGCATTCTTTCATAATAACTTACAGTGAAATCGCTCATAATTTTAATGTGATTAAATTTATGATTAAATATTGATTTATCACTCAAAGAAGCTTACCTTTCATCAAATATAGACAGCCTAAAATTATTAATATAGATGAGAAGTTCAAGAAAAATTTATATGTGGTTGATGGATAATTAGATTAGTGGAACCCAATAATAAGAATTGTTCTTAGAGAGTGGACATAAGTTCAATGATCAATCACTTCAAAAAACTACTGTATTTTACTTTTAGATCTAAGACCATCATAAGATTTATGATTTGAAAGAGAAGATCAAGGATCTTAGAAGTAGTTGACAGAAGTCAAAGATTAGATAACAATCAATTCAACCCCACTTCTTGATTTTAAGTGCAGCTTGAAATTCAACACGTTTTGGTTTCATTAGACCCATCTTTCTCTCTATCTCTATCTCTCTCTTTGTGTAATTATTAATAAATAAGACCCCGAAGAGACTTCCCCCTTCATTTACATTCAAGTAGGAGAGAAATTAGATGAGAATATCAAGTTTCTCAATTTTTAAATTATTTGTGCTCCAACACTGAAGCAAGATTTTCTCATCCTTGTCTAGCTCAAGTACTTTACAGATCTTAATGACTATAAGAAGTACATTTAAAATATAGTCATTAGTAATCCAACCATGCCCAAGAGGTTTAAAAATGGGCAAAGAGTGCACCTTTTAATCTACCTTCATGTATTAACTAGCATATACTTGTAATTGAATAATCCATATACATTGGATTAATTTTTTCATAGAACATAGAAAAAATCCAAGAGACAAGCAAGATGATTAGGAGCTTCTAGCATGCGTTTCTATGTGGAACCAACTATTTTGAGAGAGGGGTTTGAATTATCTATAACTTGTGTAAATGTGTGAGATCATGCTACAATCGCACAATATGAACTAAGCGAGATATTTTTTTGTCATATGGTTGAAACTTGGTTTTATTGCAAAATAACACGAAAGAAGCTAGTATTTTTCTCGTATGGCTACAACGGTGATTTGATCGAGCCACAGCAGGAGTCGGAGTATTTGTGTCATATGCAGGATATTCAAGGTAATTCTGTGCAAATAAACCTTATGAGTCCCCACTCTGGGGTCGTGTTTGTTCTCAGAAACGACAGACTGACGGTTTCAATCCATGCATGCCTTCTTCCCCCCCTCTCCAGCCAATCAGAACCAGACCAAACCCTCGAAAGGTCATCAGGGAAACCGGTTAAAGCCCACGCCTTCCTCATCCATCCGAGCCACCCGCCCCCCCCTCTCTCTCTCTCTCTCTCTCTCTCTCTCTCTCTCTGTGTAACCACATTGTTCATGCAACCTTTGGTTACGTGCAGTAGAAGGGATAGAGAATGAAGAAGCAAGCAAGAAGAAGAGAAAGTGTTTCTCTTCTCTTCATCGGACTCTTCTCTAGTTCGCCTCGCCGTTGTCATCCAGGAGCTAGAGGGCGAAGCCCGCAAGAAAGCTCGCTTCCCATTAGAGCACTATAAAGAGCTAGGCCAAGCCCCTGCAGCGGTGAATTCACTCCTTTTGCAGGATGGGGTTTGCGCAGGTGTTGCTGTTGGCGGCGGCCATGGCTGCGGCGCTGGCCTTGGCGACGGAGGGCGTCCACTTTGAGGAGAAGGACCTCGCCACTGAGCATAGCCTGTGGGACCTCTACGAGCGATGGTGGAGCCACCATGCAGTGAAGCGGGAGCTCGATGAGAAGAGGAGAAGGTTCCCCGTGTTCAAGGACAACGTCCGTTTCATCAACGGGCACAACAGGAAGGACAGTACCTACAAGCTCGGGCTCAACAAGTACGGCGACATGACCAGCGAGGAGTTCCGGCGAGCCTCAGCCGGCTTCAACCTTCAGCGCCGCCGCGGAGGGCTGAGGGCTTCCGGGGAGTTCTCCAATGCCAACGCCACAGCCACGCCGCCGTCGGTAGACTGGCGGCAGAAGGGCGCTGTCACTCCCGTGAAGGACCAGGGCGATTGTGGTGAGCCTTCTCTGCGTGGGGTTCTTGCGCTGGTGAAACCAGCCTCTGACATTATTGCTCATGTGGGTTTGCTTCCTTCCTCTCTCAAGGTGGCTGCTGGGCCTTCTCGGCGGTGGCGGCGGTGGAGGGGATCACCCAGATCAGGACCTCAAAGCTCGTCTCCCTCTCCGAGCAAGAGCTCATCGACTGCAACACTGCTGAGAACCAGGGGTGCGGCGGCGGGCTCATGGACTACGCCTTCGAGTTCATCAAGAACAACGGCGGCATCGCCGCCGCGAGGGACTACCCATACACTGCCGCCGACGGCGCCTGCGACACCGACAAGGTAAGATGGTGACTTCTGCAACTAAAGACGATCATCAAGAGCTGGAACGGCTCCATTACAAAACTATCTCCGGCGAGTACGCGCAGGAGAACTCTCCGGCGGCGACGATCGACGGCCACGAGGACGTCCCGGCCAACGACGAGGACGCCCTGCTGAAGGCGGTGGCCAACCAACCAGTCTCCGTCGCCATTGACGCCGGCGGGAGGAAGTTCCAGTTCTACTCCGAGGGGGTGTTCGCCGGCGACTGCGGCACGGAGCTTAACCACGGCGTGGTCGCCGTCGGCTACGGGGAGACGCCGGCAGGGACCAAGTACTGGATTGTGAAGAACTCGTGGGGCCCGGATTGGGGGGAGGAGGGCTACATCAGGATGGAGCGTGGCGCCGCCACCAAGGAAGGGCTCTGCGGCATCGCCATGGAGGCCTCCTACCCGACCAAGGGCTCCACCAAGCCCCGCCGTCGAGGTGAGAAGACCGGCCGTGTCTCCAAGGACGAGCTCTGAAGGAAACCTAGAAGATCAGGCCAGAAGAATAATTATGAATCTAACGACATAATATTGATCAATGTCATGTACTACTACATGTCTCGCTTGGGGTACAAGCCAAGTCAGACATTTTCAATGGTATTCTGCTCAAGGCAAACGTTGACCAAATCCATAAAAACAACTTGGCTGCATTCGATCAACACGCATATATAATAATAATAATAATAATAATAATAATAAAAATAATAAAATGCAATCATCCTGAATTTCATTGATCAAGGTAGGATCACAAGTGTCAGAGGAGCTGAGGAGGGTGAAGGTCCTCTCTTGTTCAGAGGAGCTGCATGTCAGGAAGCTTGACTATAAATAAAAAGTCCCAGCTCGTACCGCATTGGATGCAGAGACGATGAAGGTTAGAAGATGCCCAAAGTCGCCAGATATCATTCAATCATTCGTTTCATGTCTGCAATGATATCCGATCGAGAAGAGCGAGAGAAGCAATGAGCGGCCCTGTTCTTACCCATGTTCTTACTGAGAAGAAAACGATGTTTTTTAATAATAATGCCCATATTTGAAAAAACGATGATTTTACAGACAGTCCTGCTCTTGTGATTTCCAATCAAGGAGAGAAGAAGATCCCAAAGCCCGTGAAGAACAACGAATACAACGCAAGCAGGGGGAGAAGAGTCGCTTCGCACAGACAAACCCAGAGACCTGACAGCGCCCGCCGGAAGAAGAAAGAATAATTGTTCAGAGGAGAAGCGATCGTCGTCCTCATGGAGACCATATGCAGACGGTTCCGGTCTTGTCCGCGGAGGCCAGCGGCTCCCCCATCCCGTTCCAAGAGCAGGAGAGGACAGGGGCAGCGTGGCCCCTTAGAGTCGCCACAAGGCCCTTCTTCAACCTCGACCAGATGTGTACGGCCCCGTCGGCCGATCCCACCGCCACGTAGCTGTCGTCTGCACTGATGCAAGACCTGCTCCAGTTTGAGGCCAGCTGATTCCCACTGACCTTGAATGTCTCACAGACCTCCAGAGACCGCAGATCGTATATGTTGTGCATGTTGTCCCTCCCACTGGTGAGCACAGTATTCCCACTCCTGGATAGGCAGATGGAAGTGATGGCGTTGGAATGGCCGACCACCTCGTTGATGAACTTCCCCGATCGGCCGTCCCACAGCCGAAGATTGCCGTCGAGGTGGCCCGAGCAGAGTGTCAGCCCGTCGGCGGCATAGCAGAGCGCGTTGCAGTTGCTGTTAGACATGATGGTGTTGATGCAGAAGCCCGTGCCCAAGTCCCAGAGTTTGATGGTGTGGTCGTAGGCTGCACTTGCCACATGCCGGCTCGGTACCTTGGGAGCGTCTACGCTGCAGACCTTGTCTCTGTGGCCCGACAGCGTGTGCCGGGCCCTACCCGAGGCCGGTTCCAGTGCGTAGAGATTGTTTGAGCTGCACGCTGCGACAACAAGCCGATTGTCGTGGGTGATGGTCAAGTCCAGCACGGAGCCCACGCAGCCATGGAGGGTGGTGGCCAGGAGCCCTGTGGTGGAGTCCCACACTTTGATCTTCTGATCCTGCCCGCCGCTGACCAGTTTGGTGGAGTTGCTCTGAAAGGCTATGGAACCACACCCGCCGTCGTGGGCGTGGATTACGTGCCGGCACAGTGATGGAATGGTTGACTCTGCGTGGTAGTCGAGCCCCAGTTCAGTCCTACGGACCACGCCGTCCACCTGCTGCCTTGCTAGCTGCCCTATGCTGCTGACCTTGAGCTGGTCCATCAAGTCTTGGTACATGGCGTTGATCTGAAACCATCACAGCAGCATATAAGAAGGATTTCTGTATTGCCCCCAATATGTTAAGCAGTAGTTTTCTTCTACACTTCCAGTCGTTTGACTTTCTCTCCTGTAGAAACGGCTAGTGGAGATGGCCAAAAAAGAATTTATTTGTAACGTTGACCAGCAAGATATGTAAGTGCATAAGAAGAATCTGTGATGCTAAAAAGTTTCAGTCAAACTCGTATGAAAATGGAACCCGGAGAGACAACCATATCTAAATAATTCATTACATGTAGTCCAATGAAGAACTTGAAAGTTGACGAATCATTACATATCTTCCGACAATCAAACAGTTCATAAGAGACTGGGCTGCTGATTTCATTGCATGTATGACGACTCTCCCTGAATGAGCATGCTTGAGATTCAAACTTTCAGTTGTACCTCCTTAAGGTTAATATGAAAATGATATCAAGATGGGACTTTAGCCAATAATTAAACAGAGTTATCATACAGCTTCTCATTATATTCCTCTGACTGATAAAAACTCAATCAGCTCAAAAGCGTCCAAAATTCTTAATCAGAATGCAACATTTTGCATGAAAATATCAAACACCGATATCAGATCATAGTAAACATTATTTGAAATATAATGAGAGCGTTGAGATCATTTTACGCATTTTATATAACTACGAAAGTTTGTATATTTGTATTTATGTATAATCATCAAACGAATAAATACGAAAGTCAATTATTCGTTTCGCGCAGTATAATGCTGCACACGTTTAGAGAAATGAACCCTGAAATACACATTCCAACGTCATCTAAGGATCACAGTCTATACAGCTTCCAGTTCTACTAAAAAGAATACACGATTGGACAAAGTGATGTGAAGGGAAACTATGGTCCATGAGTAGCCGCAATAAGTCTATGCATTACGTTATTTTCATTAATAATCAGTATAATAAGGTATGAGACATTAATGCAGACAAAAATCTGGACTACTTATTAACGAATAAAAATCTTAATATTCCATTATGCTCCAAGAAAGTGAACAGAATAACTACGAAATTTAACTTTTTGTACTCCATGAGATTGATCGTCAACTTTTTATGGAACTTTGGTTCTTCTCCTTGTGCGAAGACAAATAGTCAATGCTGCATTTCTTGAGCTTCTTCACACAATTGATGATATCATATGAGAATCACATTTTTACTCTCCGGAACCTAAATTACCCAGCGATGAGAGGTTATGGCAACCTTTGTCACAAATGCAAAACAGACATGACCTTAAATGAATTAGAAACTGCGAGGATTATAGATTGCAAGAGGAAATGTTCTGGATCAGAAAAGTATTAATCACTTGACCAATAATTAAAAATGAAGAGACGGATGGATGAAATGGAAAGTATGGAAAGCTCACCAGAAGCCCATTGTTGGTTTTAAATCACAGGGTTAGGGCAAAATGATGGGCTAATTAATTGCCATGACTATAGACACCTGAGACTATAGAGACGACTTTCATCCTACTGAAATAATTAGATATAAAACATAGAAAAAATTAATTTGTCCACAAAGAAGATAAGCGATGTTCAAGTGTCCATTTCATAACCTTTTCAGTTAGCTCCTGAGGGTTCCCTTTTGAACTCTGTGATCTAATCTAGTTTAATTCGTAATCTTATCAGTCCCTATCAAAAATGCCCATTTGAAAAGAAATATGAGCATTTAAGAGCATTCCATGTTAAGAAAGTATAAATTTAAAAATTCAAGAGCAATTCTATTCACTGAAGAGACATTAAGCTAAAAAAGTTGTTGATCAGGACTAACAGGTGATAAGGGGATCATTAGATATTCCAATAAAATAAGTTCATGATGGAATGAAAGTGAAAAAAAATGAAAAGGTTAAAGTTTATTTTCGCAAAAGAAAAGATAAAGGCAACATATTCATTGCAAAATAATTTTTTTTTATCCAATACTGAATTTGTTTCAGGTGTCAGAAAAACATGATACCTCATTAAGTTTTTCCGCATCTTTCATTTTCTCCAACATCATTCGTTCAATCAGCATCTTATTTTCAGCTTCAGTGCTCCTAGATTTTAATATCTGCTCTTCGAGCTTTACTCTAAGTTCCTCATTCTCACGTAGGACGATGTCAAAAGCTCTTGATTTCTCATCTAGAGCCTCCTTTAACTTCAAGCATTCTTCCCTGTAGTATAACCATACAGTAAGTGAAATTTATTCAACATTTGGTTTGATAGGAAGAAAAATATTATGAGGGCAACTGACATCACGGATCAAACCTTGTTTGAGCTACCTCATTTTGCAATTTAATCACTGCCGCTGATTTTTCTAGGAGAAGGGCCTTTGATGTTCTGCATTCTGAAACTTCATCAACAAGCTGCTCGGAGAGTCGTGATTGGGCTTTATAACATTGTTGCAACTCAACTTCAAGGTTTTCTGCCTTTTCCTTCCATTCCAGACCCTGCAAGGATTTACAAATCATATAAGAACAAGGAGAGAGAGATGTAGAAGAGATTGCTTAAAATACCTTCTTCAGTAATGTCCTTAACTAGAATTCTCGCAAGGAATTCATCATCGTACAGAGAGTTTTCAGTCCTGAGATCTAATGAGGGAACCAGGTTGATCTATTAGCAGATCATATTCACCCACCCACTGATGCATTTTTATCAATTGGGCTTCCTCCTCAGTGTGTCATTTCCACAGCCACTTGGATATTATCACAGCACAGATCAATAATTCCTAAATAGTCCGACTCAAATCTTGACCCTTGCGAATCCATCTGTAAGGGATACAGCCTAGGTATTAAAAAGGGAGACTACCTTCTTACCACCCAAAATGTCTCAAAAGGGATTCACCCACCCATACGGAACACCAATTCCTAAATTTTCAGACGTGGAAAGGCCAATGTAAAACCCTACAATTTCTTCCAGAAAACGGAGTCCTTTATCGCTTCAATATTTTCTCTTGGAGAACTAAGAAGTATTACAACATCGCAACCTAGGCAAGAGAAAAAATTATATTGCTTCAATCAAAATCTACCGTCTATCTGATAAATACCAGAATTCGTAACATTTGTCGCATGAGGAAGCAAATGGGTTCAAGTTCTTGTGATGGGCAGGCTGTAAGAGGCTTCAAGAGGATCGAAATCACTAGAAAAGCAAAAGCGAGATGAACCTGGGCGGCGAAGGGCCCCCTCTGGAGAGCGAGGATGGCCGAAGCATGAGCGCCTTCCTCGAGAAAATGCCGCTTCCGGAGATCCCTAATGGCGCGCTTTATCGCCGCCCTTCCGGCCTCTTCCTCATCTTCTCTTCTCTTCAACCTGAAGATTTGAACAACCGAGAATCGCCGCCTTCATCATCCAAATCGACAAGTAACAAAATATTGGGAGAATAATCGGCCTCCGAAATCATCAAATCGCAGAACCAAAATAGTGAAAAGGAATACGAGAGATATGAATACGCAGAAGAATGAGGGAGTCTCACATAAGTTAAGCAGAGAAGCAGAGTCCAATCGTGAAAGCAGATGTTATGGCTTCCTGCCTTTTCTCCGCTAAATCCTTGCTCGAATTCCTCATCCGAAACTGAGGGCCCAAACGAGAGCAAGCGAGCGAGCTAGAGAGAGAGGAGAGAGAGAAAGAGAGAAACTTTCTGTTCCCGATCAAGTCTTATCTACTTTTGCCCCTTCTTCCTGACATTCATCCAAGGAGAGACGGGAAAACAGAGAGACTCTTCGCTCGCTGGGATTCCCTATCCCCGAAGACGGAGCAAAGAAGGCGACAGAGGAAGAAGTTGACAGTTGCGTCCGGCAATTGAGAGAGAGAGAGAGAGAGGGAGAGAGAGAGAGAGAGAGAGATGACGTGTCCGGATCAAACTGAAATACTAAAGGAATTGGGCAATGAGGGTCCAATAGCTCAACAGAAAGCCCATTAGTGTCGAGTGGGCCATATCCACCGCTCTGGGGGCATGAACGTTGCCTATCCTCGAAAGCAACCCACACGAGAGAAAGAGAGAGAGAGTAGAGTCGAGAGAGTGAGGGAGAGAGAGTAGAGTACAGAGAGTGAGGGAGAGAGAGAAGAGAGAGTAGAGTACAGAGAGTGAGGGAGAGAGAGGGGAGAGAGAGGGGAGAGAGAGAGAGGAGGGAGTCCATCCTCTTCATCATCACCCGCCTTCACTCCAAGCGAGCAGGTAGCCAAAATCAGAGACAGACCGAGCCAGGAGGGGTAGCGAGAGAGAGAGAGAGGGAGAGAGGGAGCCTCCATCGTGTTCGTCGTCACCTGCCTTGATTCCAAGCCATTAGCGTTACGCCAAGTAACACACGACGCAGAGAGAACAAATCGATCGATGCGCAGACGTCAAGTATCCCCATCGCCGCCCCCTCCTCCTCTCCCCAGCGGCGGCGGCGGCGGCGGCGGCAGCAACATGCGGCGCCGCCGGTCAGCGCCCGGCGGACTTTACACAGAAGGGGAGGAGAGGACCTCCCTTCTCACCCCGTCCGTATCCTGCTGAACCGGTCCACGCTCTTCCTCGCCTTCTCCGGCTTCTCCGCCTTCTTCCTCCCCTTCTCCAGGTAATCGACGCTCCTCCGCGACTTCTCCGTTGGTTCGAATGGCAGCTTCAGCTTCTCCACGCCGCCGCCCCTGCGCTCCTTCTCTCTGGGCTGGTCCACGCTGGGCCTCGGCCTCTCCCGGCGGTCGGTGCTCCGCCGCGACGCCTCGCACAGGTCCGCGCTGTGCCGCGGGCGCTCAATGCCGCCACCGCTCCTCCACGAGCTCTGAAAGGGAGGGGACTTCTCCACCGCCGCTATGAACTTCTTCAAGTGCCGGATGTACTCGGGGAAGTGCTCAAGGTCGCAGTGACGGCCGCCCTTGAGCCATAGTGGGTCGTACTTCTGCTTGCAGAGCTCCCACAGCTGCTTCCCATGGGACCAGTTCACCACCTCGTCCGAGGTGCCCTGCGGAATCACAAACAGGACCGCCGTCAACGAATCACGCCCTCACCATGAATCTCGTGAAGCCGCGTGAGAAATCGATCGAAATCCTGTGAATCACACATGAATTTCTCTCTCTACCCATCTGGTTTGCTTACTGAAACATGGATATTTACTGCACTTTCAAGCGATGATGTTCGGCATAGTTTCAGCAGAAAAATATCACTAAAAACCATACAAAACTCACGCTGTTCATAAATTCATGCCATTTCTTGCAAACATAATGCGGTTCTAAGAGACCTGCTTCCCACGAAATCACAGGAACAGAGAAAGAAAAAAAAAAAAAAAAAAACCAGGAAATGACTCAACACAACAAATACTAATGCTTGAAATTTCTCTGCTGAGAACTTAAATGGTTTCCAAGGAATGGATCAGTTGAGACTGAGGGCCAGCTCAGATTCTAGGAACCATCTTAAATATGTGATTTTTCGGGGATAATCAATGCTATAAATGTTGGTTGAGATGATCATGGAGGTGAAGCAGTTCTTCATCGCCTCAGGTTACACCGAGAACAAAGTGAGCATGGATGGCACATATGAATTAAAAATTGTGCCTTTTCAAATGGGCTTTCTGTCTTCATATTCACAGGGCGGGCAATTTTCCATGGATTATTACGATCGATTCAGTTTAATCTTAAATATGTGTAATATGTATGCTTCAAGTGGCAACCCACATCACATTATAAAAGATTTTCACCGGAATTAAGGTCACAGCATCTGATTCATAGCGACCTTATGTTATCTTGTGAATGAAAATAATAATTACCATCGATTCAACTCCTGAGTGTAAACTTTGTGATCATCCAACAGTGGACTTACCTCTAATAGAATAGGCTTTGATAGTTTGTTGACTTTTTCTTGGGCCTTGGCAAGTGCTACTGGTGGGAAACGTCAAAGAGAGGACCTTATGCTCTGTTTTCCATGGGGCATGGCCCTCTCATAGCAGCATCATGAATTTCAACGGTCAAACTTTTTCCTTTGAACCAAGCTTCAGAGTGTGAGTTGACCATTTTCTTGGTGATCACATCTCAGTCAGACCATTCTAGGAAAAATTCATTTGACTTTACCAATCTTAGTTTGGGTCAAGATGGCAGATGACTACAATGCTTAATTGGGGAAAGTCAAACTCATGGAGAAGCCACCAAGAAACATTTGGGGCTCCGGAGTGCAGATGACAGAAATACTGCTAGAAAGAATCCATAGGAGTATTTCTGTAAGACTAAGCGTTTAAAGAAGAGGAAGCTGATATTTTTATTTTTATTTTTTATATTTTTTAGGTTGACTAATTATTTATTCATGGAGGCTCCAACAACTGGAATATAAGTCAAATATAGTTGAGAAATATGCATGGATGTAAATCAGAAATGTTTAATCTAACCAAAATACATTCATATACTGTGCAGTCTTATTAAAAAATATATCAAAAATTGGCCCAATGAAAAAAAAATAAAACATTTTTATTTTTGCATCACCATCAACGACTATTTTTTTTCTTTTTTTGGGAGAAAATGCCATACGTGTGAAAAAACGCTTTTCCTTATTTATCGAACGTAATGATCTTGGTAGAATAGTCAATAATAAAGAATTCCAAACAGAAAAAAATAACATAAAAAAAGTCTCCCATAAATAAATAAAGAAACAAGAAATATGCCAAAAGAATCACAAACGTATTAAATTTCATTCATAAGATCAGAATCATGCATTTATTTATGATCCTCTACTAGTGGACTCTCACAAACCAAAAATATATTAAAAAATCAATAGCACCACAGCCAGGGTCTGTATTTAACACAAAAATAGGTCTGGCTCAAACACCAGGATTCCCGGACTGAAACGAAGATAATCCTTGGTGATTGTTTCCCAAATGGGAATATCCTACCAAGATCACCTCATGCTGATCATACCAACTGGGTTAAAATCCTAAGCCTCTAAAACGGCAATTCACCCTTCCAAATGATGTATAAGATCCAGTCAATCAGTTGACCAGGCTGAGGAAAAAGAAAACTATCACCCATATGGATGAAATGAACCATGCATACACGTACAGAAAGAACCCAGTTCATTCATGCCATAAGAAGGAAAAAACTTACATGAATCACCAAGACAGGACAGTTGACCGACGGGATTTTGTCAATATTCTGCAAGAGATTCATCTAAATTGTCAAAACACAATTTTTTTCTAAGGAAGTTGGACAATATCTACAGTCGCAGCCTCAGAAGAGCTAACCTTGTAGATGTCAAACCAGTATGAACGCTTCACAGGGTACATGACTCTCAAACCCGAGAGTATTGGACTGTGAAGGATTACAGCTCTCAAATTGGGTAAGCGAGTGGCGAGATCCAATGTTGGCCCACTCCCGAGAGACTGCCCGTAGAGGATTATGTCCTCTTCCTTGACTCCATAGCTCTTTTGCAGCCATTGGTAGGCAGCTTCAATGTCAGCATACGTGTTCTGCTCACTTGCCTAGAGAGAGAGAGAGAGAGAGAGAGGAGAAAGTTATGAGCAAATTCACCAGAAAATGTTGATTCTGGTAGTGAAATGGTGGCTGACCTTTCCAGAAGACTGCCCGTATCCGGAGTAATCATACCTACACAGACGGCAACCATGAGTGAGCCCAGCAAGATTACTTGGCAAAAAAGGATACTGTCATAGGTGGTGCTCTCTCTAGGAAATCTAGCTTTTTTATTTGCAATCATTTGCAAAGTCTGAGGGTTCCAGGACGAAGTGAACTCAGATTCTTAATCTTTCATCTAATTGCAATATAACGTGGCACCCATTTTTCATCTTTTATCGAATTTAATATACATAACCCAAGGGAATGATGAACAAGATGACGGGGAGGAAAACTTTTTCCTTTTTTTTTTTCACTTTAGGTGTTCTTGGCATTACCATCCTGAAAAATAAATATTTCATCTTTGGTACTTGATATTTCTCCATAGAATTGGGATGTTTTTAAGGGCTTCATATTGTTGATGTGTGTGCTTTCAACCAGAATATCATCAAATTAATCCCAAAGGATGTGAACCCGGCCAAAACAGAGACAGATCTGTAGATGTAAACTGGAATTAGCATGAAACATTTCATCCGAAAAGCTTAATTCCGAAGAACTGAGTTCGAGGTGGTTCGAGGAATCAAGACTGCTCACATCAACAATAATGTGCCTAGAAAATTTTATTTTCTAGAACTTTATGACCAGGGCTTGCAGAAAAACCATCGAACTCCACTCGATCAAGCTGCGAATCGATTTAAGTTTCTCTTTCCAGATTTGGAAATTGACTTGCTAAGATCATCAGCGTTCTTCCCTGAGCCGAGTTCTAAGCCGAGAAACACAAAAGGAAAGAGCAAGTTTCGTATGATGATTTAGCTACGCATTCATGGTGGAACATGCGAAATAAACTGCGCGCCACCGTCATGATGCATGGAAAAAATCTCACGAGGCAAACGAGGAAGCCCAACAGAGACGTTCCGTCGATGAATTCGTCCCACAGTGAAGTAATAAAAAAATGATTTTTTGTGGGAAATATTCGGGGTGTGTGCATCCAAAAAATGGAAAGGAAAGCAGCGTCCCGCCGCAACGGATTCGACACAAATGACTTGAAATTGGTCACAGCTCCAGGTTCCTCCGCAGAGCCGTCATGGGGATTGGATCCAGAGAGGAAGAGGGCAGCGCAGAAATCGATTTGGGTTTCATCTTGGAGAGGAAAGGAGCAAAAACGGGAGATACTCAGCTGGATTTGAACGAGTTGCAGAACGATCGAGCCGAATTGTGTAAATTAGCACAAGGGAAGAAGAGGGGACATACCCAAGGAGGTTGATGCGAAGGTGGATGCTGAGCTCGATGAAGAGCTCGTACATCTGGCCGAGGTCAGCTGCGTTGCCGTGAGAATAGAGCAAGGTGGAGGTGGCCATGGGGTAGCGGACGTAGATGGCGACGATCTCGTTTCCCCGCCGAGTGGGGAGCTGCAGGACTTCGACGTTTTCCCGGTGGGGGAAGCGGCTCAGCTTCATGAGCCCCGTCAAATCGTCCGCCACCAGCTTATACGACGGCGGGCTTGGTGGGAAGAAGGCGAACTTCGCCGCCACGCTCGATGTCACCCCTCCCATCTTCTTCTTCCTCCTCCAGACCCCCCACCCCCCCCAAAGCCCTTCACCCCCTCCAGTTCACACCTCTCTCTCTCTCTCTCTCTCTCTCCCTCTCTGAGTTTCGTCGTCAGGGGTCGCGTGCTACGAGCGGCGGAGAGAGACAGAACGGCTTACTCACTGAGCGGCCGCAAAAAAAAAGCTTTTTTCAGACATGGAGCAGAGAAATCCTCCAATTAGTCCAAAATTCACCGAACAGCCCCATGTGGGGATTCTTTCACCGTAGTTTCTCTCTCTCTCTCTCCCCACAGCCAAGCGTCTCTGATTCTAGAGAGAGAGAGAGAGGGTGTTCTCCGAAGACGAACACGAAGACGAAACAAGAACACGAATATTGAGTTGACGAAGACAGGAAGGGAATTTCTCACAAGATAATTTCGATCTCAATTTCCAAGACCCAGATTGATTGAATCTCCACTCGCGAAAGTTGCACTTGCCGGCGATGATTCCAATGAAATCTGTAAAAAAAACGACACCAGATTCGGTCTGATAGATCTCGAGCTGCAGCTGTTGTCAGCGTAAAATTCAGACGTATCGTGCTAAATAGTTATCGTTCCCTCTAATTACTTTGACGACGTCTGGATATTAGCTTTTTCCTGATTTTACGCGGAAAAAGGTCCTTTTCTATACATAAGAGTGAGAGAGAGTGAGAGAGAGTGAGAGAGAGAGAGAGAGAGAGAGAGAGAATGGTGCGGCCTTATCCGGGTTTCCGTTGACCGGGGGATTGCCCCAACGTCAACATCAATTGATGGAACACGTTCCGGGTAACGAGTGCAAGCAAGCGGTGGTCTGACGGCGACGGATCCGTCGCCTTGAACCGGGGCACGGTCAAGTAATGTCGTTTTCAACGCCCGTTTTAGAATTCCCCATGCATAAGTTTTAATAAAATTATGTTTTTGAAGAACCTAGAACTATTTATTCCAAAATTTCGCAGGCTACCCAGTTGACTCCACCGACGGGCCATGGTTCGTGACCTATGACCAGATGCAATGTAGTTGTTTGAACAAGAATGAGTCCAAGTGTGCCCCAATCGTAAGCGATCATGGGTATAATAAAAATGAGTACTTTTGACGTAGTCTTGGGTCTATGAGGGAAAAATAGTCACTTCAGCCACATACTTCCCATATTCTATTGGGCGTCGAACCTCTCTTGAAGCTCCAGCCAATTCATAGAGGAGCACATCATAGAGAGAGAGAGAGAGAAGTAATCTAGAAAAGTCGGCCCCACTACTGTAAGCATCATCTTGTGTGAACCCTCAATTTGAGTACGTTGAGCGAGAGGGACGGAACATAAGCAAGCACGCGAAGCTCCAAGTTAATTTATTGGCCATTTTTTGCGGGCTGAAACCGAAATGATATGATTTTCATGGATAAATTCTTAAAGGATTTGACACGAATAAACCTAGTGGGATTCCTATCCGTGCCCACGGCCTCATCTTTGACTTCCCGGAGTGGTAGTAATTTTTGTGTTTGACTTAACGCCGCATTTTGAATAACGTAAGTTAAATATTCTGCATGGAATCTATTTTACTTGTTGTTAAGTAGACTTTAATCATATGATATGATTATCTGACATAAGTTTTAAAAACCTCCCTCTCTCTCTCTCTCTCTCTCCCCTCACCTCAGCGGACAAGAATCACGTGGAAGGCCGGATTTGGGCCTTGCATCGCATATCCTTCCGGCGCTTTTCATTAACACCCCCAACAGAGTACATTTCTAGAGAGAGAAGAGAAAGAGAGGGAGAGAGCATAGCACAGACTGGACGTCCAGTGATGGGAGCAGTCAGAAGATTTACTCTGTGTTTCTGTGTACAGTGGACGTAGATAGTAGGGGATAGAAAGGCCGAGAGACGGAAAGAGACGGAACGAGACGGAGAGAGAGTCAGGGAGATATAGGTCGAGAGGGAGAGGGAGAGGGAATGAGATAGAGATTGAGAGGTAGAGAGAGAACGAGAGAGAGAGAGAGGTGTGGGCTGGTCTCCCATAAAAGGTACACTAACAGCCTTCTTCTGCGGTGCAATTCAGGGCACACACATAATTTCTTCTCTGAGAAAGGTTCCTCATCTAATTAAATCCATTCTTTCGACTGTGTCGAGCAATAATTGGTCCCCATGACTTTACGAGGGACCACGTGACGCCTGCCCGTGTGAATAATTGGTGACCTGCTCACGGGGGTTATGTTGGCTGGAGGAACGGTGGTTGTCCACACTTACTAACTAAAGGTGTTTCCTTTCCAACTCATTCCTCAACAGCCGCGGTCTATATAACTCCCTCTCCTTTCCTATTGTTATGGAAATTATTCTAATAACTAAAGTAAAACTTTTCCTATTGAGGAACTTTGTAATATTACCAATAAGAACTAGTTTGAGGTCACAATTTAAGCACTTGATATGCTGAATATGAGTACGTATTAGGTTATAGATAAAGTCTTGAAGACAATGTTGCATAAACATTCATCTATTTCCAATATGATTGTAGGTTTATATACTTGATAACTAGCCCTGGATGGGCTATGGTGGAATTTCTGTAGACCTATTCAAAAAGTATATAGGTGCAAAAAAATAGTTGAAGTGAGTCATACAATGCAGTAAATATTTTGAGAAATTGTCTCCCCCTTTCTTCACCTTATGCATGGTATGTCACTGACTTTTTTTTATAGTAAAGCATTAGCTCACCTGTTACATGTCTCCACTTATGGTTTTAGTTACTTTCATAGCTAATAGTGATGCTTTTATGAGAAAATGTTGTAGGTCTAAATCCTTAAACACTGAAAGATTTTAACATAAATGAAAATCTCATAGCACTTGAAGATTGTTGCCTTAAATAAGTAGCTCTCATGAAATAATAAACTTGCATAGGAGATCTTGAATTGGAGCCTTCTAGTACTCAAATGACCTCCAATTCATTGCACAAGGTATAATCCTTGGAAGTCAGCCCTATTTGTCAATGTATGAAGTTGTTGAAATCTTCAAAGAAAGTTTGATATTCTTACTACACTTCTCATGTTGTGAAAAGCCTCTAGGATTTGAATAATAATTAGTATGTTTACTAAAATCCTTCATTTTGTAACATAAAAATAGGTAAATAGACAATTATATTGCCTCATTTGAAGGTGACCCACAGATAAAATTTGTCCATATGAAGACATTATTTGACATAAAGTCAACATGCATTATGATGTATTCTTTTAACCTCCCTTTAATTCACATGACAAGTTTCCTAATACAGCATAGCCAAACATAATTGGGGACCAAATGATAGTTATTTTATTCCTCAATGTATTTTAAGAATATGACTTGTCCTACTAAAATGACTCACCAAGTATAAAGGTAGTCAATAAATAGTAAAACAAATTATATGACACATTACTACACTACCATTAACTAACTATTGGGTGTTCATAAATACTTATTAGAATAATAGAGCTAGTTCAAGCTTTGGGATAGAAAAAGGCATGCACATAGAATTATTACATTTCCAATGAGTAGTTACAATGTTATTGTTGGCTACTATAGCAGTGATGAATGACATATTTCTAACAACAAGTTTTGAGAAAGAAAATATCATACTCTTAGAATTACCTTTCAGCAACAAAAGTATTTTAACTTTCACATACATTGAGAAAATCTGCAACATATGACAAGCTAAAGCTTCTATTATACATGGCTCTTGACACTCCATGCCAAAGTATTGTACTAGAGAATTTTTAAGGTTTGTCTTTCCTACCTATTAAATTTTACCTTAGCGGTAGAGGTCTGTTATTATATGCAAGTGTTGGGAGTATTTTAAAAATGTTTAGGATTGTGAGCCTAGTATGCCAAGCTAATACCAATCATCTAACAACCATGCAAATTGGATTAACAAGTCTAGTGTGTAGCAATGAGTTGATGTTATATGTCAAATGTTTGTACTCAATGTTTGTAGCTTAAAAAAATGGAAGTAGGCTAGAAGATAAATGGTCGTAACTAACAACAATTTTATGATTCTTTTTAAAGGATTAACCTACCTAGAGTACTTTAATAAATTGATTCACTTTATGCATGGAGACCTAAAGTGAGTAACCCCATTTTGTGATCCTTAGAAAAGAAACCAATTCAACTCCTTTCTAATTTCAAATTATGGCCCACTTGGAACCAAGAATCTTTTGAGTAACTATGTTTATGGAAAAATACAAGAAATTCAAAAGTTGGTTAGCTCATTAACATACATAGTGAGATTGTTTTTGAAGTTTGCCATCACAAATGTGCAGCTTTTCTAACCCTTGTTGTTTGATGTTGACAAAAAAATTAAAAAGGTAAAATAGTAGTTTTATATTTCCAAAATTATGTTGAGAGTTTCTAAAGTATTCTCATAAAATTTTATAGCTGTTAGGAAAGTCACATGTAATTTTGAGATTGATTTCATGAATTGTGTCTCTTTATGTTTGCAAGAAGAGTGTTAACTCCTAGACTTGATGAGTTTTACCCTCAATAGTGATAAAGGCACTTTGTAAGGGTATTATTCTGATTTTTTATTCATGAAGTCACGTGATGTCAAATCTCTGACACATTCTTCCTTGAAAGTTTTTTTATTCACTTAGAAGAAGTGAGCTGACTTTGTATGAAAAATAACCAAATAAATATGCATTCAAATTTATAACTTAAAGAAATGAGCAACCCATCTAGGAAGAGTATCCTTAAAATTAAAGGGTACACACAAATGTAAACAATACAAAATCATTTGAACATCCTTGTAACTTTTTATTATGCTGCAAAGTTTCTATTTATTTTTTCAAATTTCCTAGAATTTGAGGACAACACATTGAAAAAGTTCAGTTTTACATTCCTATTTTCTCAATTCTTTAAGTGGCTCCTCTCTAATAGATATTTATGGACCTCCAAGCTAGAGAATTAACAACACAGGAGTTAGGCACTAAATTTTTAAAAACATTCATTTGTTCCTTTTTTGTATTTTTGGACTTTAAAAACTC